CAATACAAATTTGTGAGAAATCTAGCTGCAGAAACGGTCCAACTCATTGAAAGGGTTCTTTGATAGTTGTCATTTATTGTGTTTGTTCTGATTTAAACTGGAAAGACTGTGAATGACCAAACGACAATAAATGAAAATCCGCTTCTTATGGACTGATGGCTCTATGTGTTTTTTACCATATCTTGAGTTTGAACTGTTTGATTCTCGGTTCTGTGGTGGCAAATTCAAGTCAAGTTAAAGAAGCTATACCCGATTTATTTTCTAATGAGTTCATAAAAATGCATATTACTACATACAAGCTGTATTATAATTCGTAATGTAATTGAAAACTTGAGCTCATTGATTCAGCTTGTGTATGAGTTCACTCACAGAACAAGGAGCAGCGCTGTTACAAACAGGCTGCGTCCTCTAGCCTCTACAGCGCTGCTAAACACAGTAGCATGTTAGCAGAATTGGCTATAACTCCTCTTGCTGTACAGTGAGGAAGAGTGCGGGAGCGGGACCGCCTCGGACTACATTTGGACGCGAAACTAGCGGTAATCTTTCAGTTTTATATTTTGTTAGCAGTGCGTTGCTTTTGTACCATTTCATCAGTGATTGTTGTACAGCTTACAAGAAGTTGCCCTCATGCTAATGTTTGCATATGTATCAGATCGCAAATAAAACTAGATGGCTTTGTGGGAGGAGAGCGTAGGGGAAATCCGAAGCCTGTGAGCGAGTTGGGGGGCAGTGCTAAACATTGAAACTGAAAAAAACCTTGCAGAAACGGGTATAGCTCCTCTAACTACTGTTGTGATTTAGGGCTATACTAAAATAAAGTGAATTGAAATGAGTTTTGAGCGACAATTTACCAATAATTCATCTTATGATACATAATAAATTATCAATCATTTGTATTTAATAAAAAATATAGACATGCACCCTTCAAACTACGCAATTTAAGTTGTGTAAAAATCCCCTTCAAAATATAGAGTTGTTCCCAATACCCTGCTACATTTCTACAGTTTCAATGATTCAACAGTTTCAAGGATTCAACAGTTTCAAGGATTTCAGCAGTTTCAAGATTTCAAGAGTTTCAAGGACTTCAACAGTTTCAAGGACTTCAGCAGTTTCAAGGACTTCAGCAGTTTCAAGGACTTCAGCAGTTTCAAGGACTTCAGTGTAATCATGCAACCTAATAGGGATTTTTCCATGTAAACCAGTATAATGCAACTTAATAGGGATTTTTCCATGTAAACCAGTATAATGCAACTTAATAGGGTTTTTTCATGTAAACCAGTATAATGCAACTTAATAGGGTTTTTTTTCATGTAAACCAGTATAATGCAACTTAATGGGGATTTTTCCATGTAAACCAGTATAATGCAACTTAATAGGGGTTTTTTACATGTAAACCAGTATTAATGCAACTTAATAGGGTTTTTTCCATGTAAACCAGTATAATGCAACTTAATAGGGTTTTTTCCATGTAAACCAGTATAATGCAACTTAATAGGGTTTTTTCCATGTAAACCAGTACAATGCAACTTAATAGGGATTTTTCCATGTAAACCAGTATAATGCAACTTAATAGGGTTTTTTACATGTAAACCAGTATAATGCAACTTAATGGGGATTTTTCCATGTAAACCAGTATTATGCAACTTAATAGGGATTTTTCCATGTAAACCAGTATAATGCAACTTAATAGGGTTTTTTCATGTAAACCAGTATAATGCAACTTAATAGGGTTTTTTTTCATGTAAACCAGTATAATGCAACTTAATGGGGATTTTTCCATGTAAACCAGTATAATGCAACTTAATAGGGGTTTTTACATGTAAACCAGTATAATGCAACTTAATAGGGTTTTTTTCCATGTAAACCAGTATAATGCAACTTAATAGGGGTTTTTTCCATGTAAACCAGTATAATGCAACTTAATAGGGTTTTTTCCATGTAAACCAGTACAATGCAACTTAATAGGGATTTTTCCATGTAAACCAGTATAATGCAACTTAATAGGGTTTTTTACATGTAAACCAGTATAATGCAACTTAATGGGGATTTTTCCATGTAAACCAGTATTATGCAACTTAATAGGGATTTTTCCATGTAAACCAGTATAATGCAACTTAATAGGGATTTTTCCTTGTAAACCAGTATAATGCAACTTAATAGGGTTTTTTTCATGTAAACCAGTATAATGCAACTTAATGGGGATTTTTCCATGTAAACCAGTATTATGCAACTTAATAGGGATTTTTCCATGTAAACCAGTATAATGCAACTTAATAGGGTTTTTACATGTAAACCAGTATAATGGAACTTAATAGGGGTTTTTACATGTAAACCAGTATAATGGAACTTAATAGGGGTTTTTACATGTAAACCAGTATAATGCAACTTAATAAGGATTTTTACATGTAAACCACTATAATGTAACCTAATAGGGGTTTTTACATGTAAACCAGTATAAAGCAACTTAATAGGGATTTGTACATGTAAACCAGTATAATGCAACCTAATAGGGATTTTTCCATGTAAACCAGTATAATGCAACTTAATAGAGATTTTTCCATGTAAACCAGTATAATGCAACTTAATAGGGATTTTTCCATGTAAACCAGTATAATGCAACCTAATAGGGATTTTTCCATGTAAACCAGTATAATGCAACCTAATAGGGATTTTTCCATGTAAACCAGTATAATGCAACCTAATAGGTTGCATTATACCACCAGACCAAGACCCAAACGAAGACTCAGACCACCACCAGATAATGACCACAGACCAGGTTTCCTTAGTTACAGGAACCAAATTGTTTCAGCGGTGAGGGGATTTTTCAGTTTCAAGGACACTTTCAATACATTCAGTAGTTTCAAGGATTTCAACTGTTTAAGAATTTAACCAGTTTCAAGGATATCAGGAGGTTCAAGGATTTCAGGAGTTTCCACACTTTCAACAGTTTCCAGGTTTAAAAAAAGTTTCAAGGATTTCAGGAGTTTCAATGTTTCAACAGTTTCAAGGATTTCAGGAGTTTAAAGGTTTCAACAATTTCAAGGACTTCAGGAGTTTCAAATATCTATCAAGTATTTTAACAGTTTCAAGGCCTTTTAAAGGATTTCAAGGATTTTTTTTAGCAGATTTCCACATTAGATCTGTTCCGCAGTCAATCGCAATGGCTTCAGCCATTGCAAGTTTCTAGTTATTATTGTAAATCATTACTTTCAACATTCCTGCATTTTTGGGTCCTCCTTCACTTCACCACACGACAACCCTGGCCTTTTGTGATCTAAACTAAGTCTAAATCAAAGTGATAATAACCAGCCAACTCATAGATGACCTAAACATGTGATAATGAAAGGCCTGAGATAGACGCGTGTAGCATGAGGTGTGTGCGTGTCTGTGCTGTATACACTGTGGACATGAGCGGTCTGGGACGTCACTGTTTAGTCAGCCTCTTATGTGTCAGGGCTCCCGTGACTTCATCGGCTTCTCAAGGATATCCCGCTCCTTTCGAGGCACAATGAGCTGCTTCCTGTTTAGAGCGGGACCTGCCCGGCCTTCCATCAAGAACTTGGCCTTACGTCATTTCCCCTTTCTCCAAACACGACTATTGTCAGCGCCACACGCTTCAGAGAGCAGCGTTCAAGTGAAGTCATTATAGTTAGTTGACATTTCAGAACTTTTCCAGCTGTAGTGATAATGAGATTGAAGGACGTTTATGGATATTGGTCATACCTCCTCCTATGGACCTGTTGTTGATGCATTTCCTGCACTGGAAAAAATGATAAAATATGAGCTAATAATTTCAAGTGTTTTTTTTATCTTAACTTGAGTACATTCTGAATGTCCTAAAACAAGATTTGCCAATGGGACAAAGCCATTTAGTCTTAAATCAAAACTGCTGCTTTTTTTCTCATTCCAAGGGAGACATTTCTTGTTTGTTTTTTGTTTTTGTTTTTCATTTTTTAAAGCAGTTTTAATGTGCTCAAATTTTAGATACATTTTTCCAAATGTGAGCAGATTTTTTCAGTGAATTATCTGTTTGTTGAGTAATCGACAACTTTGTAAAGGCCTCCAAGACGACTGTTGTTGTGATTTAGGGCTATACAAAAAGAAAGATATTTATGTCCAATATTCAAAACCAGTAGAGTGGGATTGTTATGATAAGTCGTAATGGGAGGAATTTGCATGTTCTCCTCATGTCTCTGCAGGTTTCCTCCGAGTGCTCCGGTTTCCCCTACCACTAAAAACGTGTACAACGGATGGTGATGGTTGGACTCCTCGATGCACCAGCGTGTTGGGCGTCTCGCTTCTGTCATTACTGTGTGGGGAATCAATGGAAATGACCTCAAAATTGTCACCTTATGACACCTTTATGAAAAAATGAAATGACCATAGTTGATATGGGCTGAAAAGAACATGTGGAACTTTGTGACAGTGCTTCACGTGGATTGGCCCAGGATGTGCCTAGAAAGTAAGTAACTAAGTAAGCGTTTATTTCAAAGTTATATTTTTCATTCAGCAGAACAAAACAAACAAGATACAGAAAAATACAGTTTGAAAAGGGGTTGGATGAAGCAAATTCTAAAACTTGTAGTCTGACTTTTGACACTTACCATAAAATATGTTTCAGCTGACTTCCACCAGTTTGTGATCTCACATGAACACAATCTATCATGTGCAGAGTAATGTTATAATACTGCAAAACTATTCTAAAAACGGTCAATGCTTGAATCTTAACGCAACTGCACTTATGTCAACAATTGCGGAATTCTAAAAGTACAATTGTCGTCGATGGAGTTTTGTGACCTGAATCTTTCTTCTTCCACATGTGCAGAAATAGCTGCAAACTTTGGGGAGAAAGTGATGGTAGTAAAATCTCACAAGACAGGATCACTAAAGCAGCGTTTTGATGGTGAGTGAGGGATAATTACAGATGAGCGCTTAAGTTATTTTCTGAAATCTGGGGTTTCTGGGCTGAACAACCTCTCCTACAAAAAGAGGGCTTTGAAATGGACTTGTCTGACGTTTGGTTTGATGGCGTTTATTCAAAGCTTTCCCTTTTTCCATTAATTAAGCTTTTCGGGTTACAGTACCGTACGGTTTTGCCCTTGGGGAAATCAGTCATCTGCATTTCTCACATACTTCATCGGAGACCCTTATCTTAGCCTGGTTAGAACGTATATATATATATGTCTGGATGTTGTTATTCCCTCACATGTTGTGCATCAAAACACCTGCTTTCTTTGTGCTCCCTCATCATACATGACTCAGATTTACAAGTTACAACACGGCAACGAGTGACACGGGTGCAACCGAATGACGTCTTTTCTTAACCATATTAAAATTACAGGAATGGACAGATACATGGGCGCTCAAAGTTACCATTTGGCAATAGAGAAGCAGCACAATATTAACTTTTGCCACAACAGCCGCACAGCCCGAAAAACACAGTCTGACATCAAGACCAAACTATCCCAATCCAAGAATCTCACCAGAATGTATTGCAGTTCTGACCAGCTCAGCAAACTCCAGTCAAACCAGTTTTTGTACTTGATTGATATATGAATGTTAAGTACGATAAAAGACAGCGTTTCAGTGGGCTCAGGGCAGATTATTGCATGAATTAGGGTCTCTTGGATGGCTGTGGTAAATGTATCCCATGTTTATGATATAAGAGGAGAACCTTTAAGTGTGGAACAGAAGAGATATACAGTATAAATCACTAAAAACAAGATAAAACAGCAAATTAACTGAAATGTGTATACTTAGAGCTATAGGGTTCGGCTGGAGTAAGAAAAAATATATGAAAAATATAACATTTCTCTGGGTTTTTTACCATGGTGTTTCAACTTGGTGGTTTTTGGTCTTAGGTCCGAGAGTCCTTTGAACACAAATAACATTTCATTTGCTTTAACAATGATTTGTTGAAACAATATATTTAATTTTCCAACAATATTTATACTAATGCCAAAACTAGCTGAATTCTACCGGTAATATTTACAATGAATGAATGACTGAATGAATACTTTATTTCGAGCCATGGCAGACAAGAACAAAAAACAACAACAAAACAACAAAATAGAAAAAAAAAACACAACATATGTACAGTATGTTTGGTTTTATGACCAAAAAGTCAGCTCGAAAAGGAGTGGGAAGAAGTTAAGACAATTAAAATGGTCATATTCAAAGTATGTCTAATACCATAATGCCATAACATTTAAAGCTGAGGTGCCTTGCTTTTTTCATAACAATCTGAAAAACGTTTTCTTTTTGCAAACTTGTAATCAAAAAAAGCTGATCTTAATATGTTACAGAGGCCCAAAAACCTAATGAAAGGAACTTAGATTGATTTTATTACACAGTTCCATGTTTTTTCTAGTTTGAAAGTTAGGTGCTGCAGCTATAAGAAAAGGAAGTGAGTGATCAATGGTTTTGTGACATATCTTCTGGTAATTGAATAACAAACAGCCAGGAGCACAGAGTTAGAAGTAAATTCGTGGGAAGTAAACTTAAGTTGAGTTTTTAATCATCTAGGCGGAGATCAGATGTGATTTGTCACCGGACACACGTATCACGGACACCCAGTCATCAGCAAATGTTACTATTGCAGAGAGAGAGAGAGAGAGAGAGTACCTGAGGGCAAACCGCTGTAGCGTCACATCAGGAGGGGGAGGAGGAGGAGGAGGAGGAGGAGGAGGAGGAGGAGAGGAGGGGGGAGGCCACGGGGAGCGCACGGCAGCTGGGGGAGGGGGGTGTCGTGGTGGGACGTTTGTGGACCAGCCCACATGTGCGTGTCGAGTCCCGCTCCAGTCCGCTCCGGTCCGCTCCCACATCACTCCTGTGTCTCTCTCACATGTGAACCTGATGCTTTCGAGGTGACAGTGTCTGCGGAGAGAACTCAGCCACAAGCAGAACAAGCAGAGAGGTGCGTAAGAAACTTTTAAAACATATACAAATATAAAAAAACGTAACCGATATTTTACGCAGAGACTGAATGAATGAAGACAGGTCAGGCGTATAATCTGAATTAGTTAATGTGAAACAAGTGTCTGGATGTATAGGCTACAATTGCGATTTATTTAAAACTTTAATATGTATTTTCCCCAAAGATAAAATTCAGAGAGAGAAACTTTTTTAAGCAGTTGAAAGAAATCCAAATGGATGAGCTTATCTTGTGTGGGTCACAGTCAGAAGCAATTCAACACACCTATGTATCAAGTGTTAAGCGTGCATTTATATTAGTTCACTTCAATATCTTTTTGTATAATCCTAATGCACAACAGCAGTCGCCTCGGGAAGACTTTACAAAGATGTCGATTCTCCAACAGCAGATCAGAGAATCAAACCATTGGAAAACACAGGAAATGCAATATTAACAAACACATAGAAGCTCATGTTAATAAATGTCCAAAATGTCCCGTTCAATTTTAGGCACTTGAATCTCTTTTTAAGCTGTTTATCTGCCATTTCTAAATCCACGTGTTGTTTTTAGTTGCCTGCATGTATTTCAAAGATTGTACACCATTGATTAGAATGTATTTATGCATATATGTCCTTGCTTTATAGCTCATATGAATAAACTTGTTTTGTCTAACTTTTCATTGATCACAAATTAACCAGTCAGTTCCTGCTTGTGTGCGTTATTGGACCTTTTTGCAAAAAAATCACCGTTTTTTAAATATATCTATATGTTTTAGTTCATGGTGAAATCCAGAACAAAACAAGATTACATATTGACATTTTGTGGACGCAATTAGATGCATGAATATGAACAATGTTAATAACAATAAGTATCATTCTTTCTCACTCATTAAATACCTACTTTGCGAATCAGTAGCTGTCAAATGATTACAATGGTTTAGACCCACTGTTTTGAAACGACTCACTCAAAAATGTCAATTGTATTCAAAGTGCTTCTATTGTTTTCAGTGTCAAATCCTAATTCTCTCCTGCATCTCCCCGCAGCTCTGCTCTTACGCCACCTGCTGTACAGCGTCAGTATTGGAGAGATTTAACTCACTTCCAAACCTGCAGACCAGACAGGAGTTTCAACAGCAACCAGGCTTTTGACAATGAAGACGTCACATCATTTAGTGACTTTAACGTTTGGATTTTAATTTCTGAATATTTGGAAGATGCTCCTTTTCTGAGAATCATGGCGACTGACGCCTACCATTCTCCTCATGCTGCTGTCCCTCCGTCTGTGCAACCTATGACTCCATCCGCGAGGACAATTCTTAAAATGTTTGGCGAATATCAGAGCAACGAAGTTATCAAGGAACACTATAATTTCACTGGCAAACTGGAGAATAGAAACAAAGAGGGCTTAAAACCAGAGTCCATTGTGTTTTTGCTGGTCTGTCTGCTTATTGTGATTGAGAATGCTATTGTTCTGATTGCATTATGGAGAAATAAGAAGTTCCACGTTCCCATGTATTACTTACTGGGAAATCTGACTCTGTCCGACCTGCTGGCAGGCTTTACTTACATGGTCAACATCATCACATCGGGCGCCAATACTTTAAAAATGACCCCTGTACTTTGGTTTTTAAGAGAAGGTGGGGTCTTCATAATGCTTGCTGCTTCTGTTATCAGCCTGCTCGCCATCGCAATCGAACGCCACGTAACCATGGTGAGGATGAAGCCGTACCAAGGAGACAAGCAAGGCCGAATGTTTGCTTTGATTGGAGCAAGCTGGGTGCTGTCAATTTTCCTCGGAGTTCTTCCCATACTTGGCTGGAACTGTATCGGGAGACTAGACCAGTGCTCCACAGTTCTACCGCTTTTTGCCAAAAGTTACATTCTCTTTGATGTAACAGTTTTTACAGCTATATTAATGTCGATTGTGGTTTTGTACGTGAGAATCTTTCGCATTGTCAAGACCAACACGCAACGTCTCGGCTCCGGTCCCCAAAGAAAAGGCCTGTACCGCAAGTCCCAAAAGTACATGGCACTACTCAAGACGGTGACGATCGTTTTGGGGGTTTTCATCGCGTGTTGGTCGCCTCTCTTCATTCTGCTTCTGCTGGACTTTTTCTGTCCGATCAAAAGTTGCCAAGTGCTCTTCAAAGCGGACTATTTCCTGGGAGCCGCCATGTTCAACTCGCTCCTCAACCCGATTATTTACACACTGACCAGCAAAGACATGAGACGGGCCATTTTGAGGTTGCTCTGCAGACACTGCCTGATGACCAAAGACGGACAAGTGAAGAAGATCGGCATCCCCTTTCTGGAATGTAGCACCAGTAAAGCAGATGCAGCCTCTCACCGGTTAGAAGGCTTGGAGACCACTGTGTCCTCTGGGAACTTCACACCGTCCACCATTAAAGCCATCTACCCCAGGATAACCAAATCATGACACTGCCTCGATGAGACAAACATGGACAAAACCACTTGTTTGAACTGGTTACTGAAAATGTGATGGAAGAAAATAGGCACGTTTACATGAAGTTAAAACATAATAATGTTGTTGGATTGTTTATTTACGTGTTAGCGGGACTTATTTACGTGTTAGCAGGACTTGTTGAACTAACCTGACCTAAAGGTCTTCACTTTTATTTTTGGAGCGCTTTTCCTTCGCAAGGCACCACAAAGCGACTCTCAACCCATATCACATCAGGCATCAATCGTAAACATGAAAATCTACATATACATAAAATTGTTTTTTGTAAAAACCTGAAAAACATTAAAATCACACACGAGATCAAAAATAAAAAGCCACAGAGCATTAAAGAGAGTAAATATAAAATCCTTCCATTTAGTTGTATGCACAGCTTAATTTGTTTTTAACCTGGATTTGAAAATTTAATAAGCTAGCAGATCAGAAAAAGTTGCATTGCTACATAAACAGGCCACTTTCTATACGGAGACCTGGCTTCCCATAAACCAGGCGTGTCAAACCGGTCCTCAAAAGTGCCGGTGCGGCTGCAGGTTTTCATTCCAACGAAAGCAGGAGCACACCAGACCCCACCCATTTCCTCAAGTGAGTCCAGTCTTAATCTGGAGACCTGATTAAATGGGTGGAGTCTGGTGCGCTCCTGCTTGGTTGGAATGAAAACCTGCAGCAACACTGGCCGTTTGTGGAACCGGTTTGACACCCCTGCCATAAACGTTTCCCAACATATTTATCATATTTATTTTGGTTGTTGATTTTAGTACTTTAGTCCTATAACTTTTATGAAGTTCCAGGGCTCCAGCTTGAGTCACTTAACATTCTGTATAGAGAGTGTGTGTGTCCAAATGTTTTATTATCAACCACATTCTCTCCCTGATAAGTATGTAGCAAGTACTTTTATCCCCCCTGAGATATTGAAAATGTGGCATAAGGTATTGACACGTTGAAGGCCAATATTTCACCCAAAGTCCTTGCAGTTGAAGTGATAATTGTCTGGTTGCAGGCGTTTGACATGAAAGCTCAGAGCGTGTGTCTGCCTGACAGACTGGGAGTGAAGGCCAAAGAGACATTCATCCTCCCTGCCGTTCCCTTTGTGGCACATAATGGCACGTTGTTGGCCATCGCCGAGCCTCCACGCCCAGAATCTGCTGCCAGGTCTGTAATCAGGCCCTGCGAGTGTGGGTCAGCGGTGGGAAGGGTGCAGCGCTGGTGGTGCATCCCTGGAGGTCCTCGAAACATATGTAGCAACACACGAGGAGTCAGAAGCATTAGTGACACCAGGGAGGGCTGTTTTACCGCTCACAGATGTGTCGTCCTGAGCAGAAATACTAACGCTCCCATTGGGTTGGAAGGAGCTATGGAGTTATGTTGTTACAGTGGCATTTTATTCTTTGTATATAAATGCATTATACATACACATATATATTATTTACTGTCTTGTATAAGTTGTACATATGTGTAATCTTTGTATTGTAAAATATTCACTTAAGTTATGATTTCATTTACATTTTATACCTGCACTGAATAAACAAGACAATGGTATGTGACTCATGTTTACATTTGTATACATTTAAATAATGACTGTAAAATATAAATAATATTGTCAATGTCAATAGGCACACCACAAGAATGGATGTCTGTAGTTTGTGCGTCCAGTTTTTTCATCATTATTTTGTAGCATAAAAACAGCATCAATAAAATAAATCTTGATTGTTTAAATCTATAACTTGGATAAGCTTGTTGCCATTATCTTTCTCATAGGACTCTGGTGCATGTTTACACACCACTCTTCCAGGCTGAGGAGTCTGAAAAGCCTCAGGCAGTAAAATAATAATTGAAATACATTTCACATTTTCATACATGAAAAAAATGTTGACACAAAAAAACATTCTTAAAAACATTGTGTTTATCCCAACAGAAAGACTTTTGTTTAAGTAACACATTGTGAAACACACTGTCAAACCACATCATACTGTCGTTATCTTATTAGAAATCATCTTATCTCTGAAATACCTAGAGCTGATTGGCTGAGACCGTGGCACCCACCCCTTTTCACTGAAAAAGCTTAACTAACATACACGTGTGAAAACCAGTGACAGAACCAAACAGTTTTGAGAGCGAGGAACTAGTTGCTCCAATTTTTATCACTTATTTGTTTTGATTTTAAAGTTAGGCGGTCCAGCTTTGATTGGACAATAGGCAGCAAGTATTGTAACAGGTTTAAGTGAAGGTATACTTATATATATAAATGCCATTAGTAGCAATGAAGGATGAAGCGTTCACGGTCTGGAGTAGTGAGCGCTAAAGTGCAGCGGCCTTGGTCACACCTGGGGAAATTACCATGTCCCCGTGTCCATTTCTGGGTCACTTCCCAGAGCAGCAGCCCCTCACTGATCCTCCTGCAGGTAGTGAGTCCACAGGAGGACAGCTGCTCTGTCCATTAGAGCAGTGTTCCCCAACCTTTTGAACAGTGGCACAACTTTGTCACTGCATAAAATCAAATTGATACAAATTTGAAACTCTACAGCCTTTATTAACAAAGGAAAGTATTTCTCATCAATGTGTATTATAGAGCAAATCAGACATGCACAAACCAATCTTTGTAATCGTCTCTCATTGTTTACTTTTCACATGATTTTGACCAAGCAGGTGATATTGGATCATTTCCAAGGCACACCAACGTGCCACGGCCCACTGATTGAAAAACACTGCATGAGAGCATAGGGAGGACACAAGCGCAGCAGACATCAGTGGGAGATGGTGGAGAAGGCTTCATTATGAGCTCAAACCACGACCTTCAGACTCAAAGGTCAATGCTGGGGGAATTTACATATGATGAGTGAAACCTGAGCATCTGGAGTCAATCAAACTTATTTCCTTACTTTATTATTTCAACCTCAACTCACCTTGTCTGATTTTTGACATGTAGCAGTTTAAAGAAGAGATTACAATCATAAGAGAAAGTAATGAGTTTGAGCCAAAAGTACACATCAGAACATATACAGGTCAACGAGAGGTGTGATGTTTAAATGGAAGTCAGTGGTGATGAAAATGAGCCCCACCTCGACACAGCCACTTGTTAACCGCGCAGTGCAGATGTAGGAACCGCAGCCTAAGCATTTCTCATCACACCACAACAACAAAATAGCACCATTCTCAGAAGTGATGCCTCCAGGCTGCATGTCGTAGTGCTCTATGCAAGCAACATTCCCACAAAGCCTTAGTGCACACGGCTACTGAGTAACACCTTTATATGTGTACATTCACAGAAGGCAGATATTGTTAGCCCTATTTTTGTATAAATGCATCAACTCTTCTGGGGAAAAAAACTTCACTGAACTATTGCGACATCTAGAGGCCTTTACATCACACTACATAGGAAAAAACAATGTAATGAGTTATCAATCACAAACTTAGAACTAGAAAAGGAAGATTTATTTTACATATATAAAAAAGGTTTTGGAGATTCAGAACATACAGAAAACAAACATGAACAACAGTTGAGCGTCTTCTACCACTCAGTGCTGACAAAGCTCCAGAGATGGTCGCTCACTTCTCCTGGAGACTGCTTTGATTTGTCTATGTGAATGAGACTAGCCAGATCTGCCCCATAGTGCACTGCAAAACAAAATGAGAAATAATGGATCTCACCTTCTGGTTTCATGCACCTTCTTGAGAATTCCCTGGTTTAAATAAACTATGTTTTTGTTTTTACCTCCTAATCACATAAAATCCAGGGATAGAAAATATACAGTATTGTATTCAAACTAAACTTACCTCCTTTAAGAATGTGAGGCTCTGTGTCGTACTCCCACTTGATCTTTGTAATTAGGTGATACAATTTTGCAACATATCTGGGGAGATAAAGGAGAGAAAGCGGATTATTCATTCTTTTTTTTCAGTCAATGGCACAGAAAAGTACCAGGTAGAAAAATACAGTCAGTCATACAGTGCACAACGATAAGGACAAAAGTGAATGTACTGCATTTAGACATGATGCCTAATTACCCAAAGAAAGCTGATTAGAGAAGTTAAAAGATAATCTATCTTTGGGAGAATGATTTGATCTAGTTTTTTACTAACATTCTGAATGAGGGGAAACACAAATGTATTCTTACATAGAGGAAGGAATGACTTCTGTGGTATCTTCATTGACCTCATTCTGAAGAGTTTCCAACTCATGTTTATCATTCTGCAAGTTTTCAAATTCATTCTGCAGAAACCTGTGTCAGAGTTAAGTCAGAACAGACGAGCTCTAAACACTCAAAATATCTTTGCAAATGTTTCTTATTTCATTATTATTTATAAAAAGAATATCATCATTATCATTATATTCATTGCTTAACTTCAGAGGACGACAGGGATCAGGGAACATTACAATGTTCTGAAATGTGTATTTCTGTATTTAAAGGAATATCTAAAGGATACTGTAGTTCAGAGTCTGTGATCTGGCTCTTGGCCGTGCACTGCCTCAGCTGCTCCTCCAGATGGTTACACTCCTGCTCTCTCCTGCTCTGCTCCTCCTGCAAGTCCAGCAACCTCTGCCCGGCATTCTCCTCAATCTGGGCCACGTCTGACAACACAAAAACCGCATTTAGAGATTTAGTTCACCACCTGTATAGGTTGCACAACTTTTAAAAATGTCAAATTGCAATTTTTAGGATCAGATTATATATGTGTTTACTTTAAAGAAACTAGTACTTCAACTTTACTGTTGAGTGACAACTGAAATATGACACAAGAATACCATGAAAAATACACAAAGAAATGAGCAGAGAATATATATTGATTGAACTCTGAAACCAAGTGTCTCATTTCATGCACAATAACATAATATGTCAAATTATGTTATTGTGCATGAAATTAGTGTTAGTTCACTTGATAATAAAAGGAGGTCATGATGATTATATTTTAGTCTTTTTTAAAATATGAATTATTGGTTTACTATAATATGTATATGCAGTGAATTATGTATAAACAAGGTAATAACAGAGAGCAGTCACAATTACTTTACTACAATAATTGTTGGCTCCAGCCCTACTTCCATTACCAACCCTGGAACATAGGAAACTAATACAATCATAATAGTCGCTTGCCCATGAGAATCTGCTGAACGGTCTTCTTGGTGTCCGTGTGTCGGTCGAACAGCGTCTGAATGGCATCTTTGACCCCGCGGAGTTTGTGCAGCTGAGTGCTGTTGATCAGGTGCAGCAGGGTGGCTCCGTTTTCCTCCATCTCCTGAAACTTGTGACTCTGCGCCATTCTGCTCACAGGGAAGATATTACGAACTATTACACCAGGAATACAGGACTAAACAGGATCCAATCAATGGGTTTGGAGACCTGATAGAACGACGTTAGAGATATGCTGCTGGGAAACCTAGTATTGTAATTGAACAACCTCCCCCTCCCCATGTAAAAATGTCTTACTGCTTCATGGCCTACAAATACAAGTAGAACTCCCCCAATTTACAGCCAGTACGCTTTCAGGTTAACGATGCAAAAAACAAATATTATAGTAAAAACAAAATCCCTACGATGCATATTAACATAAATGTGTATTTTGCAGCGTTTAAAGTTGATGCTTTAAAGAAACACTAAATACATACATGTTCTTTCTGTTCTTTTCTTTATCTCCATCCTCCTTCCTGAATGACATAAGTTAATTACATCTTTTGGACTCTATAAGAATAACAGCTATCAAACAATGAACAAGATATTGGAAGACAATTGTAATCCCCACAATAGCGGCTTGGCATGAACTTATTATGGAACTATACAACATTGAAAAAAGGTCATCATATAAAAATAATTTCCAATTCATAATAAAAAATAGAACACGATTTCTATTATATGTTGTTGTTTATTTTATTTATCTTTATTTTTTTGTAACTATGACACATTTCACTAGGGTGCTTTAAAAATATATATGAGTATATGCACTTAACTGAGGTCTAGTACTGTAACTGAGGTCTAGTATTGTAACTGAGGTCTAGTATTGTAACTGAGGTCTAGTATTGTAACTGAGGTCTAGTATAGTAACTGAGGTCTAGTATAGTAACTGAGGTCTAGTATTGTAACTGAGGTCTAGTATTGTAACTGAGGTCTAGTATTGTAACTGAGGTCTAGTATAGTAACTGAGGTCTAGTATAGTAACTGAGGTCTAGTATAGTAACTGAGGTCTAGTATAGTAACTGAGGTCTAGTATAGTAACTGAGGTCTAGTATAGTAACTGAGGTCTTGTATTGTAACTGAGGTCTAGTATAGTAACAGAGGTCTAGTATAGTAACTGAGGTCTTGTATTGTAACAGAGGTCTAGTATAGTAACTGAGGTCTAGTATAGTAACTGAGGTCTAGTATTGTAACTGAGGTCTAGTATAGTAACTGAGGTCTAGTATTGTAACTGAGGTCTAGTATAGTAACTGAGGTCTAGTATAGTAACTGAGGTCTTGTATTGTAACTGAGGTCTAGTATAGTAACTGAGGTCTAGTATAGTAACTGAGGTCTAGTATAGTAACTGAGGTCTTGTATTGTAACTGAGGTCTAGTATAGTAACTGAGGTCTAGTATAGTAACTGAGGTCTAGTATAGTAACTGAGGTCTTGTATTGTAACTGAGGTCTAGTATAGTAACTGAGGTCTAGTATAGTAACTGAGGTCTTGTATTGTAACTGAGGTCTAGTATTGTAACTGAGGTCTAGTATAGTAACAGGTCTAGTATAGTAACTGAGGTCTTGTATTGTAACTGAGGTCTAGTATAGTAACAGGTCTAGTATAGTAACTGAGGTCTTGTATTGTAACTGAGGTCTAGTATTGTAACTGAGGTCTAGTATAGTAACAGGTCTAGTATAGTAACTGAGGTCTTGTATTGTAACTGAGGTCTAGTATAGTAACAGGTCTAGTATAGTAACTGAGGTCTTGTATTGTAACTGAGGTCTAGTATAGTAACAGGTCTAGTATAGTAACTGAGGTCTAGTATTGTAACTGAGGTCTAGTATAGTAACAGGTCTAGTATAGTAACTGAGGTCTAGTATAGTAACAGGTCTAGTATAGTAACTGAGGTCTAGTATTAGGGCTGAAACAACTAATCGATTAATCGACGACTAATCGATTATTGAAATAGTCGACAACTATTTTAGTAATCGATTAATCGTTTTTCTGGTTCACACGGACTCAAACAGAGCAAAAATGACATGAGAAATTTTGTATTTTTGATTAAAACCGACTTTGTTTTTATAATTTCATGAATATCTGTCTGTCTCATCCAATCAGATAGCAGAATTAGCACAAAGAGCCTGTTACAAACATTTACTTTAAGTTTACGCCATCAATACGTCCTCGAGTGTTGCCACTTTAGCTTTTTGTGATGAAAAAATTATTTTTTCTACACAATTCACAGCCAAGCGATTACTCCATTAATCGTAGAAATAATAGTACTGTAACTGAGGTCTAGTACTGTAACTGAGGTCTAGTATTGTAACTGAGGTCTAGTACTGTAACTGAGGTCTAGTACTGTAACTGAGGTCTAGTATAGTAACTGAGGTCTAGTACTGTAACTGAGGTCTAGTACTGTAACTGAGGTCTAGTATAGTAACTGAGGTCTAGTACTGTAACTGAGGTCTAGTACTGTAACTGAGGTCTAGTATAGTAACTGAGGTCTAGTACTGTAACTGAGGTCTAGTACTGTAACTGAGGTCTAGTACTGTAACTGAGGTCTAGTATAGTAACTGAGGTCTAGTACTGTAACTGAGGTCTAGTATAGTAACTGAGGTCTAGTATTGTAACTGAGGTCTAGTATAGTAACTGAGGTCTAGTATTGTAACTGAGGTCTAGTATTGTAACTGAGGTCTAGTATTGTAACTGAGGTCAGTATAGTAACTGATGTCAGTATAGTAACTGATGTCAGTATAGTAACAGTGGAAATGCACACACAGCAGAGTCAGACCTGATGAGTATTTGCTTCATCCTCGTTCAATGTTTACGTTTTGAGTCGTAAGATGTCAAAGGTTATAACAACTGGATTATACGGATCTAACGGCAGGTGAACGTTAGTTAATATACACCTACAGTGTCGTTTTGCGGATTTCACATTTACATCACATAACGGCATTAACAAAAGGACACAATAAACAGGAGAAAATGTACTCACGTCGTTGTTTTGGCTCGATTCAAACGTACTTCCGGCTGGCGCCAGTTCTCTTATTCTACGGCCACAAGTGCGTGTAGCGCCATCTACTGAGCGGAAGTGGATACAACTCCATTTCAATTATGCTCTTTCCTCTGAACCTGAACATTTAGATTGCATAGTTTTTTAATGGAAAATGTTTGGAATAAATGTACCCTATGCATGGGTGGGTGAGGTCACAAACAATGCCTAACCTGAAATGTTACAAAGTTTTAATATGGTTTATTTGAATAGATTATATATTTGAAAAGAACATCATTCTACATGACTAATCCAGGTCTTTCCACTTTGAAACATAGAAATATAAATGTAAACGATGAAGTGGTAAGCTATATTTCCATTCATTCCTCCTGGTGGGACATTCCTGATACACCCCTTCAGTGGTCCAATATTAAGGTGCAGCAGCTCCACTGCAAGCTCCAACTTTGTGACTAAACTCCTTGATATTTAAGCATAAAGCTGTGATTTAAAACATGTGGCTGAGTGTGCAAGAAGAACAATCTTACACGTGTCTAAAACAGAAAACTGTTCTGGACACAAAAGGATTATATAATCATTAATATAATATTTATGTATTATACTTGTAACTAGGCGGAACATGTCGAGTACGGTATTTGTCAGTTATAATAAAACCAATCATCTTAAACCTAGTTAAAGAGAGCGGGGGAAATGATAGGCTTAACCTTTTCTTATACTGTGCAGGACATGTTTGAGGAGACGGTTCCAGCAGATGCTAGAGTGACAAATTGTAATCTGAACAGATAAACATTCTACGATTCCCAGAGAAATTACTCTTGTGGATTGTATTAAACAGTAAGAAATGTGACCTTTATGTAAATTTTTATGTCTGTAACAGACCTGTTATTGATTGCTTTGCGCAATATTATAGAAAATGTTGCTTGTTCTCTGTTCCTATTGTTTGTGAGATACACAGAGATCTCTCTGGCGAAAGAACCATGGCCTCAGACCTGAAGGTTCTGATTATCATCCCTGCAACTAAACATATACCGGACCCCTCATAAATTAAGATTAATTAGCCAGAACATGCAAAAACAGGAAAATATATGAATCATTAATCCATTTTTATATGTTAAAAATCAATTTCCATTAACTGGAACTACAAATGCTTTATAAAATCTTATGTTACACAAATTAAAGAGTTCATTAAAATCATGAATTCTTCTCTTGAGTCTTCTGCTGTTTTTCCTTTTTCTGCTGCTCCTTGCGTCTCTGGCGGCCCAGCTGTTTGAAGTACAGTCTTTTGGGGTTGAGCCCATAGGCCTTCAGTCTCTGTCGGCTAAATTCTCTGCCTCCAATCTTAAGTCCAGCAGCAGACAGCAGACCGTGACGTTTGGGCTTCTTCTTGGCCCATGTTGGTTTGTCCGTGGACGATGGTTTGTCCTTGGTCAATGGTTTGTCCTTGGTCAATGGTTTGTCCTTGGTCAATGGTTTGTCCTTGGTCGATGGTGTCACCTGCTCCTCTGTCTCCTTCAGGACTTTCTCTTTAGCCTCTGTGGGTCTCTGTTTCTTTGGAATCAGGACTTGTTCCTGCTCCACATCTTCTGCTGTAGAGCTGACGGACGCAGCAGGTGCAGAAGTGTCGTCCTTGTCCTGGTCTCTGCCCTGTTTCTCTGTGTTTTTGATGCGGTCTCTGCGCTTCTTGCCCATTTTACCTTTACCCTCAGCCAGCTCTTGCTCCTCTCTGTGAACAATCAGATGCAGTTTGTGATCATCTCACACCTCACAATGCAAATGTAATGAAGAAAAATACTTACTCTAAATACATTGAACTGAGAATCTCTTTCTTCCGCTTTTCATTTCGAGATTTGATACTGTAGTTCTTCAAATCACTCAGCTCTTCTTTCTCAGACCTTTTAGAAAGACAAACCATTATGTATTACAATACATGTGTCTTTCTCCCATAGATTTTAGCAGACTGAAATGATCCTACCTGAACATGCAAGTCTTCTTCAGAGAGGCCCACTGGTTTAGCTCCTTGTCATTTGCTTTTAAAATCTGAAAATAAGAACAAAAACATTTCAAACAAGTACTGGTTGCGCGTGTGTGTCATAAATAGAATGAGTTGCAAGCGCTCAGAGAGAAGATTGAGGATCCAAGATCATGTCCTGGTCAGAGCAGCCCAGAGGACAGCAATACCAGGTCAGTCTCTGCACACTCATCACAGCGACCACAGCTGAAAATCAGGACCAAACTAAAGCAGTGTGTCTCTACTGTGTCATCTGTGCCTGAATTCAAAACCCTGTGTGTGATTTCTTTAAAACAAACTATATTTAGTGAAGCGACTTCCTACTCACCTCATCTGTGGTTAGCCCAAAGTCATTTGCCACCACGTTCCTGTAGCGAAACCTACACGGCAGGTCGTCAATAATATCTTCATAGTCCAGTTTGTAGTACTCATCCAAGTACTGCTCGAAGGTCTTCTCCTCTGAAAACAGAAATACAGTTTACACACCTAAAACTGGAAAAGAAAAAGAAATGGAGACATTTTACAAATGCACAGGCTAACATTTGAGATAATTCAGAGATTATGAACCCAAATACTTTTTTTCACTCATTGTTAGTGTTTGTGTGAAGCTATTTATTTATTTATTTATTGTCAAAAAAACAGAAACTACTGGTCTGACCCTGATAAGAGTGAAGTTCCCCTTTAACATCTCTAACAGCTTTTGAATCTTGTGGTAGTTGTGGATGAGGTTCTGTATCCTCTCTTATGGTGAAGATGCCAAATATATTCTTGTTAAAAAGCCTCTAGTTCCTGTACATTCCTGGGCTAGCTTGCATGAACTGCACATTTAAGATCTTTCAATATCAGCTCAATAATATTATAATAAGAAAATAGGGAACATATTATTTGACTTATATGGCTTTACATAACCATGTTGTTATTAATCTCCAGAATATGGCCAGAACAATGACATCTCTGGCTGGTGTATGTAAACTTTCACAGACAGCTGTACAATTGTGAGGGTATGACTAGTCTTAACAATAGTTTGTCTTCATAAGAGGTGTAATGTACCGGGGTCGAACACTGGCTTGCTTTTGGTAATGACTTCAGCAAAGTGAGATTTCTTTTTCCTCTTTCCCATCTGTGGAATGTCCTCTTTCTTCAGCTTCAACCTCTGCTTTTTTGTCTGCTTTTTAGACACGTGCTGAGTTGGGTCATAGTCAGCGTCCATCTGCCAAGAAACAACTCTAAATCAACAAATGCAACAAAAACTGATGTATACAGATTATAAGTGTGACTTACAACAAAGCCGTCGTCATCACAGTGTGGTTCGCACTGGCCCTTCTCACCATAGTCTTCGTACTCTTCATCCCCTCCGCCTTCTCCGGTCCATGCATCCCAGTTCCAATGCTCTGTGTGAGGCATGAGGTTGTAGTCTAATATTTGTTGGCTTCAAACATACTCACAGCTAAATTTCGACAAAGGAACTACTTACCCTCCATCTCGTCATCATCATCAAACTGTGGCTTCTCATCTTCCTCTCCTCCGTAGTAATCATCCCCAAACACTTTCTGCGATCAAAGAGTCAGATGTTACAAAGAACACACATAGCTTATTGTTCCAATGAGGGCTCCAGACTCAGCAAGAGAAAACAAAGGGAACGATTACAGCCCTATCTAATGGTCCACACCTCCTTCACAGAAAGTCAAATAGATAACAGTAAAGCCCTGTATTAGACGGATGTTCACCTGCATTAGCTGGTCGTGTTTTTGAGGGTCAAAGTCACCATCCAGATCGCCCTGATCGAAGGCAAGCTTGTCGTTTCCCGTCAGCTCCTGGAGTCTCTTGAGCTTCTCCATGATCTCACCACGCTTCAGGTTCTTCAACTGCTTCAGCTGCTCTTGCTTCTGCTCTTTTTCCTATCAATTAAAATTGTTATTTACATACAGGCTTCTATAAGGTAAACTTCTCACTAGGGCTGGCATTACGGCAAAAAAGTAAAATCTTGATTTTATTTCCTGCTTTGGACGATTTTGATTTTAAAATCGATTATTATTTAAGTCAGCAAAGACAGACTTTCCGCTCAATATTCAAGTTTCAAAACTATTTTAAATTTGTTTCCCTAATACTTATTATAAAAGTCTTGTAGAGACTGTGCTGATATTACAAGTATAATTCATGTGCTGCTGGAACTCTCACAATATCCTTCATTCGATTTCACAATTTTCACATTTTTCACAGATTTGATTTTTTCAAAAGGTGATTAACTGCCTAAATTCGATTTGTTGCCCAGTCCTACTTCTCACTAATCATTCAATTCAAGAAAGGAAACAGCATAGTAGATATTCACATTAGTGTCATTTGTTGGTTGGCTCCTGTAACAAATGATGCCACACCCTCTTTACTTGAATTAGACGGAATTATTGTCTTTATTATGATCTTATCTAAACTCTAGATTTAGTACTGAAGAGTGATTGTATTCATGCACCTGACACATACCTTCTGCTTACGCTCCTTCACCTCCTCCCTTTTGCGTTTTCTGCTGTCGTCTTTAGAACGCACCGATGTGGCAATGTTTCTGGGATATGTTTTGATCTCTTGAGAATCAGGTTCTTCAAACCGAAAGTTGTAATTCCTCTCAAACTCTTCTTGCCGCTGCAGGAAGTTCTCTCCCTCCTCCTCAGAGTCCTCCACCTCGTCCTGGACCAGCTCATCATATGTGGGAATCCTGATCACGGCAGAATAGTTTCAGTAGGTCCTAAAGAAGCGTTATGTAGATGACTGTACCTACCGATCATCATCTTCATCTTCTGCTCGATAACCTTTGTTCAAGACATAGTCCCTGAGAAAACGCTCCTTCTCCTCCAGTTCAGGATCATTCCAGTAGTCTCGCAGATATTTCTACAAAAAATACAACATTTTACATCATCGTTTCAATGTTTCACTAATTGCACAATACACTTTGAGCTTTGAGGGTAGGTGCAGGTGTGAGCTGCAGATGATAGCTAAAGAACTGGAAAAGCTACTTTAATAGTGCCCTTCATAGCCTCAATCACCCAGAATGCAACGCAGAACAGTTCTACAGACAAACTAAAGATCTACAGCAAAATATAAGGAAAAACTTCACTAAAAACACATTTATGTTTATTCTACACTTCATTGGCGTTATGTCTGATGATACACAGCCCAGATGAATCTACCCTTCAAAACACAGAGCATTATGGGTAATGTCACTAAGGTGCCCGTAGAGAAGGACAGACAGTTTCTCACCATGTCCGTCACCTCCTCCCGGTCGTCCAGCTCAGCCTGGCCTTTCAACCAATCCACATAGTCCGCCTCTTCTTTATCCTGCAAACGTGTCTCAGTAATAAGCATAAGGTGTTCTTTTCCTCTAAGACAAGGTTCTCAGAGTTTCTTACCTTTTCCTCTTGTGTTTTGATCCTTCTGGTGAGAAACTGTGACTCAGCCTCTTCACCCAAATCTTCCTCTTGATCACTGTCCTGGATAAACTTCCGAAAGCTGTGGACAATATCAATGTTTTTTTTTTAATATCATTAATCATCAGTCTAACTTAGATGACAAGAATTTACAAGCTTACCTCTCCTTCAGGTCTTTTTGTTCTTGAATGTAGGTAGGAGAGGCTGCTCGCTGTGATGCAAAAGATCTCTATACAGTACATTACACTATACACAATTTTTCATCACTCATAAAGCCGCCCAAGTGTTTACCTCATCCCTCTGTGCAGCTTCCTCTTCATCGCTTTCATCATCATCTTCAAATTTGCTACATGAGAAGGCCCAAATGTTTAAAGATTAAAAGCATGTTTCAGAGATGTGAAGAAGCTAAATGTGCAGACCACTCACCCATCCCTCTCCAGAATGACTTTTCGCTCATAGTCTTTTAGATACATAGGTTTCACTGTTTTCTTAGACGTTGATGGCTTTTCATCACTAGTGGATGCAACTAAACAGAAGAACAGTAAGTTTAATTTATGAAAAGGTTCATGGGGAAAGGCACTCAAACGTCCAAACTAACCTTCGGAATAAAACGTCACATCTTTCTCATAGATCTTTGGGTCTTTCTTCTTCAGGAGAGATAATGTTCGATAGAAGTCTCTCTCCAACGTTGGGTCAAGTTCCTTTGATGAGACAAAATTAATATAGTATATTACTACATTAATTTCAAAACAGTCAGGAGGACGAGCAAGAACAAATCACCCATCATTCTCAAACCATCTGATTAATATCTATATTTTTAACATCTTTAGTTGGCTTAATTTTTAGGATTAAATACAACTGGCAATGGTAATTTAGGAGGACATGGCACTTCACCCACATGTGAATCGGAGGCTGATGGCACATACTGGTTGCCGAACTTCTGTCAGTGTGCCCCAGGGCACCTGCGGCTACATAACTAGTTTATCACCACCATGTATGGAGTGAAAGAATAATGCCATGTCACTATATACAAGCTAGTCATTATCATTACATTTAAATGAAGGATAGTTGTTCAAAGCTTTTGCAGTTTCAAAACTGCATTAAAGAGATGCTGCTCACCACTTCACTGTCATCAGAGCTGGATTCTGAGGACGACTCGCTGTCTTCATCTCTGTTTCCGAAACGGTCCTTTACTGTAAAATATGATGATAGTAATTATTCACCAGAAATGACTTTCCAAACACATGCTGAACACAGCACTGCCCCACGTTTTGTTGTTAGCCGTGTTAAGCTAGCGGCTGCAGACTTACATTTCTGTAGTTCTTCTTTCTGGCGATACTTGTCATATCTTTGAGCAAACTGTGAGTTGATTTTAAATTCAGAATTCTCGGACATATTTGTATTTAGTTATGTACTGTGATGTGTTTTCTTTTACACGTTCCGTGCAGCTTCATGGAGATGGCTGTAACACGTGACTTCCGGTTAAACAAAGACATGTGTACGCGTTCATCCTCCAGCAGAGGGCGCTCTGACACATCTACAGATTCATCTAGAAATTAAAATGAAAAAATCTCTTTTTGAACCATGTTTAAAGCTGGGATACTTAACTTTCAAACTATGAAAAATCCAACTATACAGTTCCATAGTCCATCTGACTAGTTCCTTGATCACTCTTGGTCAGTTTGGTCAATCAAAAAGAGAATCTATATCAATAAAAAACGGATATTGTATCCAATTCAAAAATATTGATATTTATTTAAAATCTATGTATTTATTGTTAGCATAGTCCTACTTTAAAGAAATAATATTTGCTCTTACTATTGTCAGCTATCACTACATATAAACATGTTGCCATTGTTTTTAATTTTTTTCGTTTTTGTGTCTTAAAAAGATGATCTAAAGATGTGATTGAGGGTAAAAATACATTCACGTGAAAAGTAGTGATAGAATTATTTTGAGAGCATAGAACTATAAATATGGATTTTAAGTGTTTGTGCTTTGAAAGTTCCCCAGCTTTAGGAATGAAAAAAGTTTGAAAAGAAAGGCACAACATGATTAGTACATGTCGCCACTGTGTCAAGAGATCAATACAAGACATGAATATCTAGTTTAAAGTAATTGTGTACACAGTTTGAGGAAGGTGGAGAGGTTCTTCCTGAAGTGGAGGAGTTCCAGCATCACGAGTGAGGGAAGGATGGAGCGTGAGATTGACAGATAGATTGGTGCAGAATGTAGATTAATTTATCGGTCAATCTACATTCACACCCTGTTCATAAGCTTTGGGTAATGACCAAAAGGATGAGATTGCGAATAAAAACTGTCAACAAGAATTTCCTCCGCAGAGTGACTGGGCATAGGGTGAGAATCTCAGACACATGGGAGGAGCTCGGAAACGTTGGCGGTGATTTTTCCACAGTGCGGCCTAAATCGTGTGTGTCCTCTCTGTAATATGGTTTTAATTTTCCATTTGGTTGGGATCATACAAAGGATGTACCTCCCCAAATGGTTACAGTGTTGCATATAGTCCCACAAATATAAAATACACTATCCAACAATGTGTGTACATTTTCCACAGCCATTATCTCTCTACATTTAGCTTCTTAAAGGATTCATTCAAGTGGTCCAGATGCAATACATTTCACAAATGTACGTAGCAGTCAGACAATAAGAAATACTTGGTTTTCACAGGGGCAGAAGTTATGTGGAAGCAACACAAGGCTTATTCTTGGCTGCAGCCCACGCCACATCTCCTGCGATCCACTCTCCTGCAGGAGGAGGAGCTCTGCATCTGCCCATTCTGGGAGAACCTGATTTGACCCTCAGAGGTGACAGATTCTTATCCTTCTGCCAGTACTTTACTTCATGTGAAAGTGCTACGATGGGCATAGGAAGTGGAACAACCTGAAATATTTGCTTCAGAGTAGTAGGAGGTGAGGAGGAGTGGTTTTCTCAGAACTTGACCTTATATGTACTGGTTTCCTATTCTGAGTCAGACGCCAACAGTTTGAAGGCATGTGGCCAGTTTGGCTCTTCTGTATTTTAAATAAAACCAGAGTTATATTTAAGATACACAGAAATAAGGCAAACAAACAGGCCTACAATGGTATCCAACATAAGGTAATGTAAGAGCGCTAATCAAGAAAGAAAATAGTAGGTCAAACTCTCAGTTATGTTGACACAATCGACAGCCATAAAGACAGTAAAAAAAGATCAGAAATATACTGTATACTGCCCAAAATTATTGTTGACCAGTTAAAGATGCAGTCAGTGACTTTTTCCAGACACATTTTTTTTTAAATATTGTGGGAAAACGTCCCCTAAAAGTAGTCAAGTTATCTTGTGTTTTAAAATAGTAATGGAATTGACCAGAATTAATAATATATATTTTGGAGCGGGCCAATAAAAATAAACCAATGGGATTCGTTCATCCCCCTTCACCCTCTTCCTGTTTCTCGTGAGTGCGCGCACCTGAGTTATCGGATCATTTTCTAAAACCTAAAATGACTGAACAGAAAAAGCCAATTTCACGTTTGCCACCCACTCTCCCTATTGTGATAATTGTTGTGTTAATATTTACAGTCTATGGTTGTGACAAAGAAAAGAAAATGCCGGATGTTTGGTTTGGTGGAGAGGCGAGGGGAGGGGGGAGTGGTTTCCAGTTGGTGCTACGGCTAAGCTAACAAAATCGCTTACTGCACCTTTAATTAACACTAGAACTCCCAGAGCAGTCAATTTGATGGCTTTTATTTTTGTAAGTGCTAATACTCAGCACATGATCTTCATAACTTTGTGACTTTTTCTGTTTCAATTTGCAGACTTATTTTGGAAATGTGAGTTCTACTTTTAACTGAAATCCAAGCCGGTTGAAAAACAGGTTGGTTGATATCTCAGGACCCATTGGTTTGAATGGAGCAGTCAAAATGATGGCTCTGGGAGTTATAGAAGTTTAAAAATTGTGGGAGTCTGAGTGTTGATTATAAAACCTAATTTTGCAGTACCTCGCCTGTTTTTGGGAACATAGCCCTCCCCTCATTAGTGCACTGTGCTTTATATGCTCGTGTAGTCACCAATACGTCTGATAACAGTGACATTGATTGCGGATCTACTGCGGTTTTTGTCGGTGTGTGGCGTGAGACAGGACAGGCCACAGGTACAAGAGGGATGTTGTAGTCTCTTCTACAGGGGCGTGTCCAGGAAGGTTCAAGTCAAAGTTAATTTAAATTACGACTGAGTTTTGTGCTCCAGAATCCTGCTCATCCACTTGTGGAGGCCCAAATGCCATGTCGGTTTGGATTAAGCGAACCCAGGCACACAGAGCACAGAGGTGACGGGTTTTACAGGACAAGGTTTGATTCTGGGACCAGCAGAGTGTGGGCCCAGTGTTCCAGATATCTTTATAGGTCTAACACATTTGTTATTGTCTATTTTGTGACTTGTTTTTGTCCATGAGCATCCATACAGTATGTACGTCATTACTCCTGATGTCTTCTACTCTGGTTCAAGGCTGTTTGGAGGTTTTATCTTTTTAGACTGCATTTTATCTCATGGTGCTCTGCTGTAAACTACGCGGGCATGAGGGCCTCAGACTTTGAGCCCCTGCTGTTGTTATAACAGATGGCAGCGGAAGTCATTGTAAGCAAACATATATTTCTATTAGGCTTACTTTACGGCTTGTTTATCTTCATTAAACCTGTCCTATTTCTAGAATCTAGTGAAAAAATAAATACATATAAATACAAAATAAATACATATATTTATTTCAGAGTTTGAATAGCTCAGTGTGAGGACTATGGTGTCTCTCAAACATGCGCCACTGTTTATTTATTCAAGACAAATAATCAATATATTTAAAGATGAGAGATGTGTATCACCAGTTATTGTGGTAAGAACAATGAGGTGGTAAACAGTAGGCATGTCAGAACACACACAAAGTTTGTTCTGTTAGTTGGTATAGTTATAATAATACATTTTGTTTATAATGCACTTTACATTTCAACAAAATCTCAGAGTGCTACAGAACAGGGAACATCCCAAGATAAACAACATTAAAAATTACAACTTTACAATACATCAAATAGACACCATCATAAAACATAAAAACTTAACTACTGAACACTTCTGGCCTGTTTGAATAAAAATGTCTTAAGGCCTAATATAAAATCAGGCAAAAATGTGTTCATTAGAAACAATGTTTTTCAGTGCGTTGTCATCAAAGGTCACGTCTAGAACTGTACATTTGGAAACATATTCTATTCTATTGAAAATGTAACTATTTAACTAAATATGCTAAACTGTCATCTTTAGGTAATACACTTAACCCACATCGCCTGTAAGACTCTGGGGTGTGAGTGATGGCTCAGATTGGCAGACAGCTTTAGTCTGACCCAGGGCAGCTGTGGCTAAAGTAGTGGTTTACTAGTTTAACATTACTGTGAGTGAATGGTAAACCAGTGTCCAAAGAAGTAAGATCCAGAGAGAGGATTCAAGTCATTCTCAGAAGGTTTTATGTTTTTATGGCTCAAAAATATCTAGAAAAACATGCATTATTTCTGTGAACCAGAGTCACCTCTGAACTGTCACGTTGGACTGGTGGTGTGACCTATTTATGTGTGTGTGGGGGTGTGTATATAGAAGAAGAATATATAGAAAAAGAATCAAGAAGATAAAACCAATCAACTTCCACCCATGCTTTGAATCACCATTGTTATGTTGGATGTCCCACATTTCCATTGAATCTAACAGGAGTGGGGCCTTCCTCCAGTGATGAGTCACACACATGTTTTAAAATACTTTCACTGAAATGAAATACAAAATTAAAAAAATGGTTTGATCTTCAGGTTCATGCAAATCTTACATATAGCTACTTTAGTAGTAGTAGTGTGATCTGGCTCAATCTGCTGACACACATGTATAAAATATGGTGTTTCTTGGGGCCCTGGAGCTGCCATGCTGAGGTCACATTCCTGCCTGGCCCCGCAGAGAGGCGCATGTGGATACAGTTCATATCCCCCAGATCCAGTCTAGTGCAGACGGACTCGTGCAATGGAAAAGGGTTAAGGCTGGGTGTAGCCCGCCCTCGGATCTTTGGGACCGTGCCTCAGAAATCACACCACTGCAGGCCCCGCCCCTCTGCGAGGGGCCCCCGCAGGTCCCACCCCCCTGGACCGCATTGAAATGGGTCTGATGTTGTTGCCAAACAGAACAGTGCGTAGAGCATCCCGTGTGAGCGTCTGCTGGAGCATCTCATTACGACCCAACAGGACACAATATTGACATCATTTTCACAGAACTTTCTCCATTCAGAGTTTAGTGGCCCCTGAGCGACACGCAGTAGCATCACTCACACTCTGTCACATTGTACAGAAGAACACATTTCAGGTCACCCAGCAGCGCGTCTGGAGACATGGGACGACTGCTTTACTGCGTCCTTTTTATAATCATCACCTTTGACCAAACAAGTAAGTTGTTGTTGTTTTTTCTTTGCTTTAATAGATGCACATGTACTGTGTTTATTCTCATTTAAAATTAAAGAAAGTGTAAAATGTTCATATGAAATTATGGCTGTGTTGTGTTGGCCATCTAGTTCACGCTTTAACCAAAAGTCTGCTAAACTTCCTCACGTTTACAGTAGAATACATTGCAGCGCGTTGTTTCAGTCACTCACTCCCTGATGTGACAGGAGCTGCGCACACAGGGGGCGGAGGAGGGCACCTATAAATGTAGGTCAAATCTCGTTGGTTTTATTTTTTTATCCACAACTGCTTTAGCGGAATAACATCATCTCGGCAGAAGCTCCACCTGAAATCTCACAACTAAGTAAACACCTGTGTTATTAGTTATTACATGACTTTATACACTAGTGCGTGTGCGTGTGCGTGTGCCTTCAGGCTGGAGTATGAATGAAGCGGAATATTTGGGCAACTGTGGCGCTCTCTCTGCAGCCAATGGGCTTCCTCAGCTCCTGAATACATGTCCAGTCAAGAAAGAGAAAGAGAAAAGCCGGTTTTTTCGACACAACTATTGATGCTGCAGGGTTACGCGCCAGTGGCAGCGCACAAAGCATTGGATCCAGGGACATGGCGTGTTTCTTGCATCAGCCACCGGCTTGGATTTCCGCCTGATGCAACGTGCAATAAACCCAAGGGAAACCTTGTTTAATAGTAGATAGATTCTTCACACTTTGATCAGGTCCGCCCCGTTTTCCTGAAATACCCCGCGCTGTAGTAAAAGGGAGGGGCTTATAGTATAAACATGGGGAGAGCGTTCTCAAGCTCTTGTGTGATTCAGGGAAATACTTTGGGTGTGACTTGTCTCAACTGGTTCAAACCTTCCATCATCGTGGCAGAAGAATGCACTGTATCATCTCAAGAAGGTCATGGTCAAACACAAATCTTACTTGAAAGTGTTGCCTTAAGCTAAACTGCATTTTTAATGTTGTATTATCCCAGATATTGTATCTATTTTTCTTTTTAATCAAATGAATATAAAGTACAATGTTTATATTAAGGAAATTGCAAAATGCTATTCTTTTTGATGGTGTAATCTTCATTTTACAGTTTGCTTTTTCTACTGTAAGCCTTCAGATTTGACTTAAACAGCATTTACAGCTCTCTATATATTTAGTATACTCCTTGTGTGCTCTTACTACTGTCCTGAATGTGCGCTGCAGCTTTTCACCACAGTGGGAGGAATAAAGGTTCTCTTATCTTATCTGATAAATAGACAGCATTTTAGTAGTTATTATATTTACATTGTGAATATTTAAAATAAATAATACACAGGTCTACATAATAGTTAACACATGCACTGATGCAGCCGATAACCTCTTCTGGGGTTTGAACTTTATTCTCCCTCAGTAAATACGCCACGTGAGCTGTGGATTCTGCAAAACAGATGCTTTGGAGAAAACTGTTGTTATCCTCCTTCTTTGCAGGAGAGGAGGGTCCACTTAGGTTCATTTGAAAGTGGTTTTTACAGGAATTTTCTACAATATGGCACTAAACGGTTCATTTTTGGAAACAAGCAAGTGTCTTTATTTTAGGTCATTATTTTAGGTTTGTTATAAGTTACCAGTTATATCTGTGGAGAGGAGAGTCTTCTCACTGTAAGAATTTAGTTTTTGAAGCTCTAAAAAGGTAATTTTAGAATCTACACAAACCAAACCAAACCAAACCAAACTGAGCAACATTCCAAGCAAAGCCAAGACATATCTAATAGCAGGAAGCGGCCCCTATGACGGCACGGTGGCTGAGTGGATAGCACTCTCGCCTCTCAGCAAGAAGGTCCTGGGTTCGAATCCCGGCCGGACCAGGGCCTTTCTGAGTGGAGTTTGCATGTTCTCCCCGTGTCTGCGTAGGTTTCCTCCGGGTACTCCGGTTTCCCCTACCACTAAAAATATGTCCAATAGTTCTAGCATGCGCCTCCTGTACTGGCGACCGCGCTCCCATCTCTGTGTGGAGTGAGAGACAAATGCCAAAAAATTAACAATTGTAAACCGCTTTGAGACTCAGATCTGCAGTGAAAAGGCGGTATATAAATAAATACTTACTTACTTACTTACTACTATGAACCTTTGAGGAAAGAAGATAACATTAAGATAGATAGATAGAATTCTCAATAAACTAAAACTGTTCTTGTTTGCTTTGTTTTGTAATACATAATAACATATTGTGGAATTTTCTGAATTGCTATACTTAGTGTCTAAAAGGGCAGGTTATTAGCGTAGTGGCTTCTCAGTGCTGCCATCACAAACAGGTGTCCTCCAGGGAGAGTCTTCCTCTTAAGCTCAGTGTAATGCAGCTGTTCTAGTGCGTTGTGGCGGGTCAGAGGGGGATGGGCTGTCTGTAAACATACATATTGGATATTTGAGCAGAAGTGACATGTTTATACAAATAGACAGACCAGGAGCTGCACTACAGGCGCAGCAGGAGGTGTGTTTGAATGAACTACTCACTGAAGGGCAGAACCCCTTCAACAAGTAGAAACACGAGCGTGCCATAAACCCACATCATAACACGTGGATTGACGGTTGATAAGCCTTTCTCTTTTAACTGATGTTGACTACTGATTACACTTCAAGTAGGTTTTCTTGCAGCAGATAGTGTTCTGGTTTATATCTTAATAAGATTATGTTTGACCTTAGATTCCGAGGCCCCAGCTCACTCCGCCAGAAAAGTTACTGTTATTATTACATGCATTGACTATTGATTTATAATTATACATATTTTTTGATAAATGTCTACTGCTATGTAACATTACTTCTGTGTTCTCAAAGTCGTTTGAATGTCTGCAGGTGCGTTCGTTACCTGTGGGACCAGGCAGTTCCAGTGTGGCAATGGGAAATGCATCACAGCCCGATGGATTTGTGATGGGACCGATGACTGCGGAGACGGCACAGACGAGCTTCCTGCCATCTGCCGTGAGTGTCGCCCTGGTTACCCTCAAACAAGAATTAATAAATTATATGTTTACTTTGACGGAGTGTGTACTGCTCTTGTATACTTTATATTTACAGGTTTAAGAATAATGTTTTATGGGTATTTTTAGGCTATTTGAAAGACCAGGATGTGTTTTATAACTACTAAACGTCTGCGTTGTACCTGGGACAGTGCAGAAGTAATTATGTGTGTATGTAAATGTGTATGTAATAGATATATCATGTACTTTGCAGTGGCTAAATCGTGCAACCCGACACAGTTCAACTGCGCAGACCGACTGAACCAGTGCATCCCACAGAGCTGGCAGTGCGACGGGAAAGCAGACTGTGAGAACGGAGCAGACGAGGAGAGCTGCGGTAAGCTTTTCCACAGATGAATTTATTTTTCCCTTAGAATTCAAAAGTTCTAACTGGAATTTTTGTTTAAATTGGTTATGATGTGTTCTTGTTCCTGTACGAACTCTATATGAAATATTTAGACGTTCTGTCGATGATTTTATGAGGTGTAACAAATTGATGCATATTTCATCGCAGGGTCACAACTTTAAACCTCAATAAAACCCTTAAAATAGATAGAATCTAAATCCGAGGGACAATTTGAGTGACGTGATTTGGTGAAGGCTCGTAATAAAAAGCACTAGGGATGAAAAAAAATAATAAGAAAAATTGCATTATTAGTGCTCCTACATCTTAGAAAATCAAAGAAAAAGAAAACAAATACATTGCGTTCTTCAAGGAGTGAACATTTTAAGGGTTAAAGAATCAAAACCCTACCTCCAACAAAACACGTAGCAGCCAATGACGTTTAGCACACCTCTCTTCTCCACAGACCCTAAACAGTGCACAGAGGCAGAGTTCCGGTGCGGGACGGGGCAGTGCGTGTCCTCCTCGTTCGTGTGCGACGGGGAGGCGGACTGTGAGGACGGCAGTGACGAGGCCTCCTGCCCCCCCGTCACCTGCGGCTCCTCCTCCTTCAGGTGCAACAACTCGGCCTGCGTCCCGCACCTCTGGGCCTGTGACGGGGACCAGGACTGCAGCGACGGCTCCGACGAGTGGCCCTCCAACTGCGGCCTGAAGACCACCACCGTGGGGGCCAAGCGCTGCTCCGCTCTGGAGTTCAGGTGCGGCAACGGAGAGTGCATCCACAGCAGCTGGAAGTGCGACGGCGGCGTGGACTGTCTGGACAAGTCTGACGAGCTGGACTGTGGTGAGTGAAGTGTGGGCAGTGGGATTACGAAGCGTATATATATTTTTATATTTTTGTAACTAATGACTTTTTCTGTCTCCATATGTAGTTTATTTCTATGTCATTAGTTTAATTACATTTTCTTTTACTTTTTAAATGAAAATAGTTCTACCTCCCAGACTAGTGCCAGTGCTAGTTACCATAGCAACATGTTTACTTGCTACCAGTTAGCATTCGATAGCATTTCAACAAACTGATATTTGCTGTATTTCAAGTTATATTTACCAGTTTTAGCACGTAGTTAAAGTGAGTAAAAGTAAAAAACAAAACATAAAAAACCTTATAAATTACTTACTTTTAATAAATCTGTCAAAAAATGTCTCAGAAAATTCCATAGGTTTGAATGAGAGCAGTCAAAATGACAGGTAGTTCTAGTAGTTTCATTATTGTGGGAGTCTCTTTTTCCAGCATAAACAACACATTTTGCTGAAAAAAGTGACTTTGAAAGTGGCTTCATCTTATTAGAAAATACATCTTTTACACTCTAGAATGAAAGAGCCCTGTGAGTCACTATCTGATGCTTTGGGCTGAGAGCTGATTAAACTGTTTTAAGACTAGTTTGTCATGTGTTTTATGACATAGTTCAACTGTTTGTGTGGAAAGTGAGGTACCCAAGGTTTAATACTCACATTCTAATCAATAATATGTGTATACTAAATTTGACAATTCCAAATTTGGTAAAAATATTGATCATTGAAATAGTGATTTATCATTACTGGGAGGGAATATCCGAACATATGAGATCTCATCATTCTACTGAAGAAACAATTACGACATTGTTTTATTGTTTATTAAAATTGAGCTCTGTTTGTGTTCCAGCTCGCACCACCTGTCGTCCTGATGAGTTTGAATGTGGAGATGGGACTTGTATCCACGGAAGCCGCCAGTGCAACCACGAGTACGACTGCAGGGACATGAGCGACGAGGCGGGCTGCGTCAATGGTACTCACTCCCCCAATAAAACATAATTATTAATGTCTTTAAATAAGTATGCATGTATTCATTTCTATATATTTGTATGTGTTTATTTTGTTGTTGTTGTTGTTGGAACAAACAGACAATGCATAGACAGGATAATACTAATATACAATGCATTCATAACAAGACGAGACCAAATAATAAATATAGACTGACGTAGATACACAAAAGTTTAGACAAATCAGGGAATGACATACATAATCAAAAAATAAAATAAAATAATGGGGATATGTTATTTAATTATATCTATTTCACAAATAGTATCATTTTAATGTTAATATTCATACATGTATTTATTATCATGTGATTGGGACATGCCAGATTACGCCATAATTTTACCATAGCAACATAATGTTTACTTGCTACCAATTAGCATTTGATAGCATTTCAACAAACTGCTTTTTGCTGTATTTAAAATCATATTTACTAGTTTTAGCACGTTGTAAAAGTGTGTAAAGGTAAAAAAATAAGAAAAAAAATAAGTGTTTTTATTATTATGTGATAATACATAATAAACATGCCAGATTACGACATATTTTCACCATAGTAACATTTACTTGCTACCAGTTTTTACAACATAAACAACAACATATATTTTTACATCCAATTAGATAAACTTAACCTTTAGAGCCACTGAACCCTAAACTAGATAATTATGACTCATTTGAAAGCTTGATACTGAATGGTACTGCTTACGTAAATTCACATTGTTTCATAGAATTAATAACCTCGATGTGTATTGTGTTATGACTAGGGCTACCAAATAACACCAGAACTCCCCTTTGCCTTGTGTAATACTATAATATTATTCTTTTCCCACCAGTAACTCTTTGCGAGGGCCCCCTGAAGTTCCAATGTCGCAGCGGGGAGTGCATCCACATGGACAAAGTGTGCGACAGGAAGAGGGACTGCAGCGACTGGTCCGATGAACCTCTCCGAGAATGTGGTAAGTGCAGGACAATCTTCTGCACCTAATTATAACGTCTATGACACAGAACAAACAAAGACATTCTCTGCACATTCTCTGCAGGAACCAACGAGTGTGTGTTCAGAAATGGCGGCTGCTCGCACATCTGTAAAGACCTGAAGATTGGATACGAGTGCCTTTGTCCCACTGGGTTCTATCTCGTCGATAACAAGCGATGTGAAGGTAACTCAGTCCAATCAAACATTTTTTGGTAGCTTTGGAACCTTGATCTTATTGCGTGTTTGTATTTGCTAACTCCTCAATCCCAGTGCGTTGGTTGATTTTGTAATTGATTTTGTTTCAATGAAGTTGCCCCGCTTCAAGGTAGAATATGTAAAGTTTTTGGCTCTTCTCAGACATCGACGAGTGCGCCAACCCGGACACCTGCAGTCAGATCTGTATCAACCAGGTTGGCAGCTACAAATGTCAGTGTGAAGAGGGATACCAAGTGGACCCTGCCACCAAAGCCTGCAAAGCAATTGGTAAATGACACCTTAGAATGAAAAGAAACTCACGCTTGTTTTGTGTTTTGGAAAGTTCACACACCCAGACAGAGACGTTAATGATTTGGCCATAATTTTTGGAGATATTGCCAAATAACAGACCATTCATAATAGAATATACAGAGAATAACCTTTACCAAGGTTTTTTTTGAAAAGCCAGATATATTGTAATGCCATGCAAGTAAGTTTGTTGTGGGAATGTCCTTAATGATCCATGGAAACTGGAGTTGCATCTTGTGTGGTTTAATTAAAGTAAAAAGTACATGATAAGAACAAGTATTGGCAAATGGAGAAAGCTTCTGCAGTTCGCTCCTCGGCCGCTGCATCAGTCTTTCTGACGCACAATGGGATTCATACAAGCTCTATCAGAATGGTCAGGTCCCTCGTTGGCCTATTGAAAGAGGAAAAACACATGTCAAGAAACAAGGCGGGTTAAGGGGGTAAGAGAACAGGGGCAGAGGACGCAGGAAGAGGACAACTAAACACAACTAATAACTAAACCCACTTATAAACTGCATCTCAACTTACTCTGACACCGTCCCAAATACTGTCTTGCCATAAAACAAAGCTCTCTGAACCATTTATTAACCATAACAATTCACCCACTAGGCTTAAACCATGTTCATGTTCTTCTTGAGCAAATTCTTTCAAATGCACTGCCAATAACAATCCCTGCCGAATATTGAGAGGGATACAACGTTTTTTTTGACACATTTTCAAAACACAGATATCTGATTTGGCAAGTTAAGCCTTAATTTACGATTTATAACGTTGTTGATCTGATCTGGGGAGATCCCACATTTACATTTACAGGAAATGGAGGCTTTTTGCTAAGCAGAATGTGCAGCTTTAACATGCATACTATTGAGAAGAGGGAGACTTACAATAAATGGCTATTAGTCACACATTTACTAATAATGAAATATTGAAATAATTAAATAATTTGGGCCTTGGTGTGAACACTTTCAACCGCAATTGTGTGTTGAATTGCAGAAACAAATATAACCAATACATATTTTGTTCTTCTTCAGGTACCATCGCTTACCTCTTCTTCACCAACCGCCACGAGGTCCGGAAGATGACCTTAGACAAGAGCGACTACACAAGAGTCATCCCTCGACTGAAGAACGCTGTGGCTCTGGACATGAACATCGCCGCCAAAGACATCTACTGGTCTGACATCTCTCAGAAGAAAATCTACAGGTATAGTCTCTTCACACGCAGTAAAGGATACAGACATGTCCTTTCTGGTCTTGAACCTGTGGTATCTCTCCAGAGCACAGATGGACGCCGCTGAGAACCCGTCCAGTCATAACATACTCATCGGTACCGACATAGAGGCCCCTGAGGGAATTGCCTTTGACTGGATCCACAGGAACCTGTACTGGACCGACTCTGTCCGCAGTACCGTCTCCGTCGTAAGCGCTGACGGGACACGACGTAAAACTCTTTTCCGCCAAGGACTGTCCAAGCCCCGGGCCATCGTGGTCGACCCTCACAACAAGTCAGTCTTTCCATGGTTCATTCGCACCTGCACACCTCACAGACTCTTCAGGATTAGAGAAAAAAATATAGTTATTTTAAAAATGCTTTACTCAACAAGAAGGACAATACATTAAAGTACGTTTAATTTTAAAAGAAGATTGCAAACAAAACCGTTCAGTTATTTTCACAGCTAAACAGAATGGCTTTTAACTGGATTTGTAGTTGAAGTAGAAGCTTGTCTCACATTTTCAGGAAGACCATTCCAGACTTTAGCTACAGGAATCCTCTAAGTCCTCTAGGTCTTAGGCTCTGGGCACCAATCTCTGTGCTTCTCAGAGTTCGAGATTCATTTTTCATTTCGCAATAATCATCAAAGGATTCAAGATAATTACATATTTGCATCCAGGTTTGAAAGTGATAACAACTTGGTCATAAAATTCAGTCCTTCATTCTGAAACCCAGTACTTGATTTTTTTTTCATTCGAGCAGAAATTTTACATTCATAAATATCTACAATATTTACACACCTTAATTTACATAACCTTGCAAATATATGTGCTGGTGTAACAAATATATAAACATAAATATACAATCAAGCAACAGTATTTGCCCTAGTTTCACCATGTGTTGCATAAATACAATTTCAAGATGTATTCACAAATGCATATTCACAATCCAACACAATCTAATAATCCTGTTTCTTCCCAGCTTCTTGTACTGGACAGACTGGGGGAGTCCTGCTAAGATTGAGAAGAGCGGGCTGAACGGAGTGGACCGGTCCGCTCTGGTCACTGACAACATTGAGTGGCCCAACGGCATCACTCTGGGTAAAGTTGGCTTTGCTGTGCTCTGGTTTGTGTGTTGCTGGCTCCAGTGGGGTCTGACTTCCTGCCCTCCACAGACCTGCTGACCCAGCGGCTGTACTGGGTGGACTCCAAGCTTCACACTCTCTCCAGTATCGACGTCCAGGGAGGAGGGCGCCGCACGCTCATTATCGACGAGCAGAGACTGGCCCACCCGCTGGGGCTGACCGTGTTTGAGGTAGATACCGCCGGAAGATAGCGATAGATTACAACAAGCTGTAAATATCCCTGCACATGTGTCAGCTGCAACACGAGTAAGACTTCAAGGGATATGATAGTCGGCTACAAACTATACATTTGACCTTTGGTTCCCAAACTGAGCGCTGCATGAGAGATTTGTCTGGTCAGAGGGTCAAATACTCAGAAATATTATTTGTACAATCAAACAGTACTGTGAATGGAAGGGATGGCAAACAGTTATTGAGATTAAGAGATCCTTTATTCATCCCACAGTGGGGAAATCAGTCAGTGTTGCATCACCAGTAGGAATGAGGAGAACACTAGTTGATAAGATAAATATCAACTATTTATCTTATCAACTAGCCTTAACAAGAAAAGAAAAGATAATGAACACAGCTCCATACTAGACTCTTTACTAAATAAAATAACATAGAATAAAATCTCCAGCTTTTACATCATAAGGAAGCAATCCATAATCCAAACTTTAGCATAATGAAGAAGCAAGAATTAAGTACAAAATCTCTGACTTTCGCATATAAAGAAGTATTAAAATGTCTACCTTTGGCATAAAAAAGAAGCAGTATTATACTAGTTAGAAAAGCTAAGCTGGTGTGACAACCCAAAAGAAACTCTAGTCAGTTAGTGAGGAGATATCTTATGACAATACATGCATCACAGTAATAGATTCAATAATAAAACGAGCTCTTGCGTTGTGTTTTTTGCAGGAGAAAGTGTTCTGGACAGACGTGAGCAACAATGCCATCCTCAGTGCAAACAGACTGACCGGTGAGGACATTAGACCAGTGGCTGAACACCTGGCATCACCTGAGGACATTATACTGTTCCATAACCTCAAACAGCCAGCTGGTAGGAGTCTTACCTTTACATTTACTACAACATTTACCGGTTACATGTGTTGCACTGTATTGTATTGAAATGTATTGTATTGTTGTGTTGTTGTAGGGAGAGACTGGTGCCAAGTGTCCAACGGTGGCTGTGAGTTCATGTGTCTGGCAGCGCCTCAGGTCGGGAGGCATCCCCCACGATACACCTGTGTTTGTCCCGACAACATGATGCTAGCCCGAGACATGAGGAGATGTGTTCCTGGTACGAGACCATTTGTTATTTATTTCAAGCTGTTTGAATATATAGTCTTTAAATCTGGAGTACCAATCTTTTCCATTTATCTAGTTTTTAGCTCTATCACTAGTTTCACTTGCATGTGTCACATCTTTTAGGACAAAAAAACAAAAAAGAGAGGGCCACTCCTGCTGAGCCAATCGGTTCTCAGCTTAAAGAGCCAAATAGTGACACACATAGGACTTACACATTTGCAAATAATAAATGTAAAAAAAATGACGATGTCTTCTTTTATGTTTAAGGCTTAAAGAGTTATTTTAATAAGATAATTCAGTAAGCAAGTAAGCTTTTATTTATATACCGCCTTTTCACTGCACATCGGAGTCTCAAAGCGGTTTACAATTGTTGGGTGGGGTCGCCAGTACAGGAGTACAGTACATGCCAGACCTATTGTACATATTTTTAGTGGTAGGGGAAACCGGAGCACCCGGAGGAAACCTACGCAGACACGGGGAGAACATGCAAACTCCACTCAGAAAGGCCCTGGTCCAACCGGGATTCGAACCCAGGACCTTCTTGTTGAGAGGCGAGAGTGCTATCCACTCAGCCACCGTGCCGATAATTAAGCAGTACTAGCTTCTTTACACTTTTGTTTTATTAAAATACATTTGTAAGCCCTAAAAGTTTGCAGCAAGATGAAACAGCATGTTGTGGTCAGATTTTTTCTGACTCTTGTTGGGACAAACAACATTTGTTTGTATGTTTGATAAGTTAGGTACGCCAGCTTTAAATATGCTTATCGATAGTAGCTCATTCTGACTGGTTCTCCTCTCCAGCCGTGCTCAGACCGGTCCATCCAGTCACCGCCCGTCCTGAGCGTGTGCAGCCCGCCGCTCCACCAACGACCACAGCTCCAGCACCGGTCCGCACCACCACCCAGGCTCCTGTAGTGGTCCATAAACCTGTGACCACACCTCCCCCCGCACCTGTGACCACACCTCCCCCCGCACCTGTGACCGCACCTGTGACCATACCTGTGACCACACCCGCTCCATCCTTCACTAAACTCAGTGTGAGGACCACGGCTGAACCCAGCACCCCCTCACGCACCGCTGAGAAACTCACCACTGTGGCCCCCAGAGCCCAGACCACCTCCCAGGCTCCAGCCTCTACCTCAGGTACATCACACAAAGAGCAAATGGTCTTTGAGACGGACCCATTATTTACATCAGGGGTCTCCAACCTGTAGCTCGCCAGCCCCTTTCAGGTAGCTCGCCAAAGGATTTAGAATTTAACACATGATCTTGAATGAATACATTTTGAGTTATTACATACGTCTGTTATAAGTATAACTATTGGGTTATACACTATTATTATGGTATATTTTACCTGTGTTTTCCATGTTTTGTCATAGCTATTACACACATTTTTACTACAACTGCAAAAAGGAATAGATCTCTGCCTCTTCTGTATAAAAATAGCTCTCTTATTGAAAAAGGTTGGACACCCCAGATTTACACCAAGCAATACATTTCAAAGCATTCCATTTACACTAGAGGCACCCCTTGTTTCCCAAAATAGTAAGCCAGGATCCGCAATGTAAAAAAAATCCAAAAAACTCCATCTTATTCAGATCCGTGCTTAGGGTTAAATTATGCTAAAAGAATAACGTTTTCTTGGATGTTTCTTGTGCGTCTACAATTACGCGCTGAAGACGCTTGGTGTAAATTAGCAGACAAGAACAAGTAAAAGACTAAAGTAAAAAATGTATTCATATTTTATTTATTTAGATTACAGTTTGGATTACACTGAGAGCAAATAAAAAGGTTGAGCGCCGAAAACAACATTGCATGATAAAAAACACGAGGACTCAGCTTCGCATGTTTTAGAATCATAACAGACGTCATTCCCCAGTTTTCTTTCGAGGGCTATCTCAGTTCATCTGTATTTACTGTCAATACATCTACATTTTATGCCTAGACCTTGAGCCCCAGAGTGCATTGCTCTCAGTCGACATAAACAACCGCTGTTGCTTCAGTATCACATTAACTTCAATGTTTTGTTGACTTTCTCCTCAGACTCTCGGCGTGTTGTTGGAGGTACACCCAGCGTGGCCTCGAGTACCCCCATCGCCCTCTACGTCACTCTACCTCTAGGTGAGTGCCTTTGACTGAGACTGGACCAGAGCAATGGTTCTCAAAGAGTGGTGTGAGTTCTATAAGATTGGTACGAGTCTTACTAATTCAGGGCTGTAGCAAGTTCATCGATTCATCAGAATTATTGAAATAGTCGTCAACTCCCCATGCAGAAGGTGTTGGGTTTGATTCCACCTGCAGGCGTGGAGGTGGAATCTGTGTGGAGTTTGCATGTTCTCCCTGTGTCTGCGTAGATTTCCTCCAGCTGCTCCGGTTTCCCCTACCATTACATACATACAATAGGCATGAATGTGATGAGATCGAGAATGGAAATGACTGGTTCAACTAAAATGCTTGAATGTGATGGTCTGAGAAATGCGCCATATACATAAAAATTACAATAGATTAATCGCCTTTAAACCTTACATAGACTTAAAAATGCTAGAATAGTTTTTATGAGTCTGATAATTCTATAATGAATGAAGGAATACGTTATTTTGAGCCATGGCAGACAAGAACAAAGAAAAACAACTGAAAAGGAGTGGGAAGACGTTAAGTATTTAAATTCAATAACCCAAATCATCTCTATGAATATTCTCAGGGCACCACTGAGAATGTAAACAAATACCCAAATATAAACCTGATCCAACCAGGGTCAAGTTTATAATGTCATTGGTGCAAGTGTGGACTGTGAGCGACGACAAACTAGGTTTATGTGAATAAACCGACCGGAAATATTGCATCACCAAAGAAAACGGAAAACAATTATCGTCTTGTTGCACCAGATGTGCCATAAACTATCTATTTTTCCAAAGGACTATTGGTGAATGATTAATCAAAGAGGGAGAGGTCAAGTACACTGACCTTTCAGGGACTAAACAACTAATCAGTTAATCAAAAGAAAAATCTGTTTTGGGAAATTGCATTTAGTCTTAGTGTCTATATTGTGTTGTGTTGTCTGTCAAACTGCACCCTTTAATACGACTTTGTGGCCATTCTTCAGTGATCGCGTGTATGCTGATTGTCGGTGGATTTCTTCTGTGGAGAAACTACCGCCTCAAGAACACCAACACTATTCACTTTGACAACCCGGTGTACCAGAAGACCACGGAGGACCAGGTGCGGATCTGGAGGAGCAACAGCTTTGAGGCCGGTTACACTTATCCCAAAGTAAGACTCCATAAACTATAGTGATATAGAGTGAGTGTTTTAGTCTAAGTGATGAAACTGATTTAATTGTTTTTTTGTTATTTTCAGAGACAGATTGTAGAGTTAAATGAAGAAGCTGACAATCCAGTCTTCACGGAAAACTGACCAACTCTACCTCACACCATTCAGTGGACAACCAAGGTTAAATATCAGGTGTACAAGCCTCAAGGACAATCTATACAATCAACAATACCTACCAAAAAGGATGTGAGAAGAAAAGTTGTTTTTCTCATTTGTCTCACTAAAGCCAGGGTTCAAATACAATGTATATGATTTGTTCTATTCCAGAGTAGACAAAAACCAAGGTCGTCTCTAATTATCAGCATAGCAATATGACTTTCACCATAGTGACCTCATCACTGCCTGAGCTTGCAATACAAAACCAGTCTTTGCCTCATGTATTTTCGCCCAAAGGGACCTAGACCACTGCTCGTGCCTTGATTCACTGCGCTCTTCTGAGACCCCTGTGTTTTGAAGTGACACTGCACTTTCTCAGGACTTAGTTGGAGGCCTCTCTGTGTCTTCAGGACTTAGTCGGAGGCCTCTCTGTGTCTTCAGGACTTAGTCGGAGGCCTCTCTGTGTCTTCTGCGCCTCAGGAGGACTATAACATTCCTCTCCGTCACGGTTGTTTTGATGGCCCCACGTGATGTGCGCCTCACGTGGACATTATTTACAGGATGGTGCAGGGCTGAGGGGGGACTGACCTGTGCGTCTCCCCTTAAGGAAAGCCACATGTGAGTAGTAGCTGCAGCAGGAATAATGTGTATTTCACGTGAAAGGCCTGAATGAAGTGTGCCTTGTTCTGGAGGTGAAACATGTTTACGTCTCCTGTATATACACGCAGTGGATGGACCTGAAACAGGGACATCCAAAGTGAGGGTTTGTAAATATAGATGCTTGTAAAGGGAAGCCCCCATGGGAGGTGTGTGAAGCTGTATATAAGTTGTGTCCATAACTCGTGTGTACATAAGATGTGGATAATTGTAAATATTTGTTGCCCATGTTTTTGCTATTTTGTTGTATATAAATAAAAAAGTCTATTTATTATAGAATCACTGTGAATTGTGTTCATTTAGACTTTAACATTGTAGTAACTAGTGGGTTGGAACGTGGGGTTATTTTGAACGGGTTACAAGGCTTTCCCGGGAAACATTTTAAAAGTATGTATATTCTACACTATAAAAAGTACTGTACAGTGGTCCCATGCTCAGAGAGAATCCAAATCCACTGAACATTCTAAATAATACTTAATTAAGATAGCTCCCTCAGAAGATGTTTTGAAAGTTACTTAACTCAAAGACAAAATATTTATAATATTTCTTCTATTTTCCTGACGAGTCTACTTGAGTTATTGTGTTGAAGTTTGTAGTATAATACAATGCATATAAAACATTCCATTGATTTTAAATAATGAATGTACTAAATTCAGTATTTTGGGTGATCTCCGATTAAATTCAACTTGAGAACCACTGGATTGACCACTGGCCTGAGGATACAAACACAGGAAAAGTCCTCTCCAGTTTGAGTGGACAGTGGATTTGGTCTACATCTTGGTGTTTACTTCCAGACGGAGAGCAGCATGTGGACTGGGGAGAATGGCTGGAGCCTGAGCGCTGTACAGTTGTGTATTTTGGCAGGAGCAGCTGTGGTATGTGGCCCCAAATGTGCAGAGAGCTACCCCCCCTCTGCTGCCCCCCGCTTTCCTAGAAGCACCAGCCCCTGCTCTGAAACACAACGCCGCAGAGAAAATTTCCTCGAACTTCTGTGGGATCCAACGTATTGCAACACACTGCTCGCACAGACCTACTTTGTAACATGACGTGGCAAAGAGGAGAATAGTGTTTGAACAGAAGGCCTCTCAAAACAAGAAACATCTGCCTCACACTTTTGTTTTCTCCAGCTTTTGAGAATCTTCTGCTCCTACATACTGTTCCTACTTGCTCCCACTGGTTTAATAAGGTTTAATAAAGCCATCACAGTCACTCAATTAGCAGACCTGGTATAGTAGCTGAGGGCCCCAAAGCCACAGGGTCCCTAACAATGCTTTAAATGTAATAAAATGATCATAAATTCACAGACAATATTCAGACATAATAACCAAACAATGATTCAAAGTAGTGACAGTAGCTCAGTTGGTAGAGCATTGGCCTTCAGGCCTGAAGGTCATGGGTTCAATTCCCACCTCTACACCTTCTCCACCGACTCCCACTGATGACTGCTGTCGTTGTGTCCTTGGGCAAGACACTTAACCCCACTTTGCCCATAGCCCCCACTGAAAGATCAAGGCTATGCTCACACTCAGAGAGCAGCCGTCCTCCTGTGGACTCACCACCTGCAGAGGGTCAGTGAGGGGCTGGTGCTATGAGACTTGGGTGGCATCTCTGACTGCCACCCCCCTGACCCAGAAATGGATTAAAGGGTAGAAAATGGATGGATGGATGATTCAAAGTCTGCTCTATTTTAATCATTAATCTTTTTTCATTGAAACCTTTTGACCTTGGAAGTGATCAGAGTGGTGTGTTGTGCCTACGCAGCAGTGAAGAGACACCAAGGGCCAATCAGTTTGTTCCCCTAAAACCAGCAGAGCATCACACTTCACCCTTCTGCCAGAAATACCTCCCATTATTGATGAGTCGTGAAGCAATTCTTTTAAATGAACTACTAACAAGTTTATCTTATATTAAATGTAAAAGAAGCACATTTCTCTTGTTAAGCTTTGTACAAACAGATGAAAACAGTGTCAAGTTTATAATTGGCACATTTAATTAGTGCTTTAATTTAAGTAATTTGAAAATTGAGGCATATCCTTAGTGAAAATGGTTTGGTTTAAATGTGCTCAGACACTTCGTACACGGTGTCGGCAAACTACTACTGTAGTCACAGCTGCCCTGGGGCAGACTAACAGAGGCCCACTAACAGAGGCCCATCTGACCACTACCACACACACACACACACACACACAAACCAGTGTGTAGGCCATTGTTGACCGAACAGAAGTGTTTCAGGCCAATGTGACATCACAGGCACTCCAGACTGCTCTCTCATATGCACAGATGTCACATTAACACCAGGGTCAGGTTTATAATGTCATTGGTGTAAGTATGGACTGTGAGCGACTACAAACTGGGTTTAAGTGAATAGACTGACCGGAAATGTTGCACCACCAAAGAAAATGGAGCAACATCAGTCTTGTTGTCCCAGATGTGCCATAAACATCTATTTTTCCAAAGAACTGTTGGTTTTTATGAATGATTAATCAAAGAGGAAGAGGTCAAGTACAACCTGATTCATCTGGACAAAGTTGTGATGTCATAGGGACCTTTACTCAGTGACACAGCTGGAACTTTGGGCACACACAGCTTTGTATTTCAGAATGTAACATTCTTGTGATTGGTAAACGGCTACAGTCTGTTTCAGATTTTCGGAATTAAAGTCAGACCCAAAGTTTAACTTTGAGTCATTTTTGTTTGCAAGTCCAAATTATATAACTTAATAAACAAATGTAATATTTAAACACATGTACTGTAATAGAAAGAATAAGGTTGTAAAAAGTATGAAGCAGTAACTTAACATAAGGTGACCATAGTTCCTCTATAAGCATCAGTATCAGATACTATAATTAATCCATGGGACACATTTCGGTTTGAACCGAGACATGATGAGTGTAATGATGCCATCTACTGGCCACTTGTGTAAATGCAACATAATTCCAAACGAGGTATTTTCAACAAGATGTCTTTATTGTGAAACTTGAGTCCAGTGATAGCAACAGGAGGTAACCGCTTTGTCCCTCCCCACTTATAAACCTGAAGAGGAGGGGGTCTGCTGGTGGGACGAGCCGAGACCCGTAGAGAAAGTCTTTTAAATTAGAGACACTAGTGAAGAAGACATTTCCAGACAAACATGCATTCAGAAAAAGGTGGTCCCAAATACACGGAAAATCAACACCACTTAAAAAAAATGACCCATAATTCATCTACTATAGGCTGCCCATGTTCCACTTAAACCAGACACTACTATTCATACAGCAAAATGCATTAAATATGGGAATGGGTGCTTCATATCTTAGTTTAATGGAGTTTAATTAATGCTATACTTTAAGAATACAACAGTCTCTTCTAGGTAAAACTAAGACCTGCAGTTTCTAAGTAAAATATATAAATCACAGTCAAAGGGCGAGATGGGGTGTGTTGAATAAGAGCGCTCAGTCCTCCTCTGTGCCACTGCCGGAGCGATCCTGGAGACAAACAATACATCAATCACTCATACACAAATATCAGCAACATCAGAGGATGCAGTCGGAAATGTACAATTAGAAATTGTAAAACAATTAGCCACCTTTAAAGTAGGGCTCATAGTACTGTATGCTATAAGGCGATTATTGACAGGCAAAATGCTTCGGTTTCTCGCGCGTCTCACGAGTGAGCGGGAGGGAAAGTGCAGAATTGGCATTGATCATTTTCAGGCCCAAAATAAATGTGAAATATATTTTCTAGAATGAATATATATTTTCTAGAATTAAAAACAACTCAAGTTGAGAGCGTGTTTAAAGCTGCACTAACTCACTTTGAGACATTTTTGAATGTGAGCACTGGGCTCGCTCTTTCTGCTCCCCCTCCCTGCACTCACGGAGCTTTCACCCCCACAACCCCCCTCCCCCTCAGCCACACATGTGCTGTTATTGGAGCTCGCGTCTCACAATATGGATCGCACATTTGAACGTGGATGGCGTGACCATAGAATGATTGAACCAGGAAGTGCGGAGGAACGAGACTTTCTTTTGGATGGCTGTTTCGCTGAGTAAGCAGTAACCGGTAACAGACACGGGAAGTTTCAGGTTAGCCTCCGTCGCTTGTTTACCTAAGCTGTCTGTGCTAAGGAGATACCTGTAGCTTTTCTCAAGAAAGCGGGGGCCAGTGGTCCGCTGTGATTGGTCACAATCTGGACCCGAAACAAATTCTCTTCCTTGTTGCACAAAAACTCGATCTAAAATAAAATGACACGCCAGCACAAATCTGCACTACTTTTTCTTCAAAAGGACGTATATCTCAATGCACTACATGGATATGGAAAGTGTAGCTTTAAGCAGAGTTTGGTTTAAAGGAACTGTATGCAAGATTTTGATTTTAAATCTTGAACTTTTTGGCGGATCAACAACAATTATGATAAATTTGACTTAAACAAAAAGCTTTTTAAAAAAAAAAAGCATTTATTGTTTCAAACACTGTCTGTTTTTCTTCTTAAAATGTATGCGTTTGTGCCCTGGGTGTGCAGCCCATACTTGTAATGCTCCTTTAATGCAGATTTATTATTTTCAAAAATAATGGTCACAGCGGAAATATTGTTTATGCAATATTTTAAAGTTTTGAGACAAAACTAGTGTCACAAACAAGTTTGCAGAGCATTAATGACATATTTAGTTTAATATCTGAATCCAGCGAGAGAGCCAACTACATGTTGTTCCTTTGATGTAACTGCTCGTACAGAGAGTAGAGTTGATCATCATGAGCTCACCTCCTCCTGCTCGTCTTCGCTGTCGTCGTCGCTCACCACAGGTTTGGCCCTGGAGCCTCTGCTTTTCCTCTTTTGGCCTTTGCCCCCTTTGTCGCCCTTCTCTTTCCGGCTCAGTTTAATCTTCACCTTCACTGATCGAGCTGAGGACATGAAACACTCAAGTAAAAAAAAATCTTAAATGGGAAAGAGGCGAGTGGTTGTTCTTACATTCAGACTCTGAGCCTTCGTCCAAATCCTCCTCCTCTTCCTCACTATCTTCTCCTTCACTCTCCTCCTCCTTCTCGATCTTCTGCCTCACACTGGTGAACACGGACTGAAGCACAATGGAGTCCTCGTAGATCTGAAACATTTGTAGAGAGAGAGTGAGGACCTGGACCAAACCCAGAAACAGTGGTGAGGCTGAGGACGGACCAGGGAACCCTCCAAGTTGAACGTTTGTGCGTTTTGACACAGCAGCATCACATCCTTCTCCAGGTCGTTGAGGCCGCGATATTTGTGGCTACGGATCCTCTCCTGAAAAACATAAGAAGCAGAAGTTTTAATAATAATAAAAGTGAAGTGTGTGTGTGTGTGACTGTCTCTGTATCTTTACATCGATGGGAAAGTCGTAATGTTAGATCACTGTTGTAAATATGTGTTTTAGGGCTGTTTTTTTGTATTCACCCTGTATAATGTGTTGCACTGTAGGGAAAAGCTCAACCAGGGACAGGAGTTGAAAATTAGCATTAGCTACACACTCACATCGCATCAGTTGCATTTTTCATGTTGTAACTATGTATACTGACTACATTGTACCTGTCAAATAAATGAATGAATAAATAAAATGCAAATAGTTATCAAGTTTGGAATTGGCTCAGCACCGGAGGAAGGACAGATTGAACTTTCATTAAACAACTGGGACTGTGGAGGTGAAGTCTATTCAGGTTTAATGAACTCAAGTAAATCTGCAGGCGACATATTGTGCAAGTTTGTAAATGTACCTTTATTTTTCTGAAGTCCACAGGTTTGCGAATAAGCTCATAGTACTCTGGCAGTTCCTTTCGAGAGGGAAGCTGGATGAAGACTTCACTCAGCTGCCGGCCATTACTGCAAGCGGAAACATTCACACATTGGCATTACAACGTACAGTAAAGTATGCACAGCAAGAGCAATGTAAAGCTAAAAGAGCGGTTCTAAAGACATGTGTTTGTTCTCACCCATCCTTGTACTTGATTACTGCATCCACAATTTTCTTCATCTTCTTGGTGAGAGCGGGTGGGTTTGGTGACAGTTTCTCAGCAGGAGGGCGGCCCCTCTTCTTCGCCTTCTTCCCGTCCTCGTCCTTGTCCTTGTCCCGCCGGCTGGAGCTGCTGGGGGTGGACATGCCGTCGTCTCGGTCCCTCTTGCGTTTCCGGGTGGTTTTTTTGTGACGCACCTCTTCTTCAAGGTCCTCAAGGTTACCGTCCTCTATCGCCTGCAGGGAATGTAAAGGATTTAACTCCACTATTCGTTTTGCCAAAGGCTCCAAAATTCATAGTTAAGAGCAGACGTACCTTGAGCCACTGCTTCTCAGTGAGCGAGTCGCTGTAGTCCACCTCTTTGCGTTGGCGTGAGCCTCGTCCAAACATCTTCTCCTCCTCTTCCTCACAGGTCAGCCTCTCCACCTCAGCATCATCCTTCAGGATCCAGCCGGGCATGTCGTCCTCTTCCATCAGACGAGGTTTTCTCTTGGGGTTACGAGCGTCCTCCCGTCGTCGATCCAGGTCCATACGCTACACAAGGGTCACCATGTCACAAATTATTATTTAGCCTTTAATAAAATTCCCCCTTTGCAACCTCTTCATGGTGTCAGTCTGGGCCTGTATGCCCCCAGTTCAGGGCTCATGAGTGCGCCCATTACAGAATATTGGCTGGTGCACCACAGGCGGTGCATGTACATTTTCCAGGTGTTCGCTTTAATGCTGCCTTACAGCCCAGCAATTGACTTATGCAAAAGAACATGCATATATGGCAATATTTAAAAAAAATTTTATGATGTAATGAATATCTGAAGGAGTAACCGATACAGCTGGAAATGCTGCATGCTTTTATTTCTTTATTTTATATTTTTAGATGAGCAATGAGAGCCATCCATTCTTCAAATACAAAGCCTGTGTTTTTCAATCAGTAGTTTGGTTTTCATGAAGATCTTCAGAAGAACTAACAATTGACAAACCATAAATTGTTCAAATTCCTCTTCACTTCTGGCAATCATCTGATTGACTGTTTCATCATCAGGAACTTCATCCTCCTCCTGCAAAAGAATGATTAGATTCAACATTCAAGTCTTCATCTGAATAAAAAAGATAATTGTAAAAAACTACCGATCCCTGACCTCATCCTGTTCTTCGTGCTCCAAAATGGCCTGTAGAAAAGCTCTCCTCTCGAACCCTGAGGACTTCTGGTCGAACATGCCGGCCTGGATGACCTTCTGGTCCACATTGAGCTTGTACTTGGCGGCGGCCAGGATCTTTTCTTCCACACTGTTGACCGTGCACAGACGAAGCACTCGCACCTCGTTCTGCTGCCCAATACGATGAGCTCTGTCCTGGGCCTGCAAGTCCTGGAGAACAACAAGATGAACAGAACATTAACATAGAGCAACGAAAGTACGTAAACTTCTGCATGAGCTTTTTGGATGCATTTGATTAAGGCATTACTGCGTGAAAGAGGCCATTAGGCTTCATAGGATTTAAACATTAGTGCCACTGCTTACCTGATGAGGGTTCCAGTCACTGTCAAAGATGACCACAGTGTCGGCTGACTGAAGGTTCAGACCCAGCCCTCCTGCTCTGGTACTGAGTAAAAACACAAAGTACTCAGAAGCAGGGTTATTGAACGATTTAAGGAGCAGCCCACGGTCCTCTGCTTTAGTGGTTCCTAAAATTGAATGAAACAAAGATTGTCGTTTGGAGATTTTGATTAACTGGCACAGCTGTCCAGTATCAAACCAAAAAGCTCGTCTACCCCCATTGGTTATTTATGATTCTAAGGGGTGCCTTACCATCCAGGCGCAGGTATTTGAAGCCACGGAATGCAAAGTAGTCCTCCATGATGTTCATGAGGGAGGTCATCTGACAGAAGAGCAGCACTTTGTGGTTTGTAGCCCTGAGTTTGGGCAGGATTCTGTCGAGCACTTCGAACTTCCCAGAGGAGCGGTACAGTTCAGGTCTGCACACACACAACAGTTTATCGATATTAACCCTTTAGGACAAAGATGTGGCCAACAAAGAGTTCTTTACAAATACACTTTCGCCATTTTAACCTCTTGTTTGTTGGTTACGGTTCATCCTATTTTGTGAAAATAAAGACGGTGGTTCTACATACCCAGTTACAACTCCATTGGAGAAGCCCAGATGTTCAGAGAAAGACTCCTGTGAAACAAAACCCATGCAAGAGAAAATATAAGTAATCCAATAATTTCATGTCTTCTGAACAGCCTCAAAGCTCCACAAACATGTACCTCGATGTGCTGGAACATGAAGGGGTGGTTACAGATCTTCCTCAGCTGCATGATAGTGTTCATCAGAGTCTTAGTACCACCTTTACCCTGGAATGAAACATTACAGGCATTATATCAAATACAAACCATGACCTGAGCGCAGCTGCAGACGGGAAGCACATTTATAGTGTACCTTCTTATCCTTCTCTGATCCGTCTGTGAGCAGCACCCCCTTGGCTTGCATGTGTCTGTACAGCACCCTCTGGAGCGCAGACATGTCACACTTGATCACATACTCCACCTGTAGGAGAAACAACAGATACAGGTAAATATAGGCATCAAACTCTGCAACAAATCAAACTGTTTAAGGAGGATTAAGTAACAGGTTATAACCTTCTCAGGCAGCTGAGATTCCACCTCCTTCTTGAGTCTTCTCAAGAGGAAAGGCCTGAGAACTTTGTGAAGACGACGGATGATAAGAATGGTCTCCTCTTCATTTAGATCCACCTGAGAAATAATACATTGATAGTTGTAAATTCTATTGAACGGCTGACAACAACTACAATTATGATAGCAGAAGTAAATGATGGATGTCATCACAACGTACAAAGGTCACACACGAGATGGACAGGACTACACTAATAATATTCCTAATTCTTAACTTCATATTATAAATCATTATGATACTATTATTAGGCACGACTGACCTTTTCTCCGGTCATGGCAAAGGGAGCGTTGAACCACTGCTCGAAGGTGCTACAGCTCTTGAAGATTGTGGGCAGGAGGAAGTTGAGCAGAGCCCAAAGCTCAGGCAACTTGTTCTGAAGAGGCGTTCCAGTCAGAAGAACACGTCGAGGGGCCAGGTAGTGAGTGTTCAACACCTGCGTCAGCTTACAGTGGTGGTTCTTCATCCTGTGGCCCTCGTCCACAATCATGTACTTCCATCGTAGCTGAGGAGCAGTCAGAAGGTTAGGCACCAACAAGGAGAGAAAGAACTATTCTATCAAGGGGACTTTCAGTACCTTAGCTAGCACTTGTTTATCTTTGATGATATACTCATATGTGGTAAGCAGCACATTGAACTTGCCACTTCGCAGAATGGGAACAAAGGCACGACGGGCCCCCGGGGATCCCTGAATAGAAAACAAAAATGGGTAAATCAGAATCAGAATATTTTTTATTGCCACGTAAGTAACAGGAAGTCACAGACTTGGAAATTGCTTTGGCTCAGTGCAACAGTCAGAGAGAGATAATAAAAAAATAAAAGAATAAAAAACACCTCTAAAGCCTAGTGTATACTCGCGCGGCGCGGAGCTTATGGAGGTGACGTCACGTCACTTGCGCAACGCGTTGGTCACCGCAAGGCCCTTACGTTGCCTGCCGCGCAGCATCGACATTTTCTAACTACGTAAGGGTCGCCGCAAGGAAGCTCCGCTGTGATTGTTCATGTTTGCCTCAGATATTTACCACTTTTTGTATGCTGTTTGTGATGAATACAATTTAATAATAACTATGTTTCCAACAAGAACGGTGTCTTTATTCACAAATCAGTTAAATGAGTTGAGAAATAATGAGTCCATAGAACTGTCACATAAACCTACAGTAGAAACACATGTAATGAGCTCAAACAGCTTTGTTTTTGTTCATGTTTTTGTTCTGAAGAGGAGAAAATAGCAGCGTAAAAGAGACCGCTTTGGTATCTCAAGCAACTCCGGTGAGATCGCCATCGTGTGGTTGGTTGTGCGATTACAACATTCTCCTCAAAACTCCGCAAGGAGTATAAATTAAATTCTGCTTGTGGAGGTCCACCGCAACCGCTAACGTAAGCAGCGCCGCGCAAGTATACACTAGGCTTAAGGAATAAATTTAAATTCAAAATAGCGTTAAAGCACTGATGAGTTACTTTAAGAATTTGACAAGGATAATAAACACAATAAATACATAGTGAGGGAATTAATTGTAAACAAATACATACATTCCTACAAAATGGGCAGGCTTCATTATTCATATTTTAACATTCACATATATCTGAGCACTGGCAACATATCGTAGGATGGCTCCCTGAAACCTTAATGTGCCTCGATGGTCAACTTTGTGCTTGAGTATTAGAAAACTGGCCAAAAACTACAGATAATCCCCCGACGCTGGTTTTGAAAATCCCAGTCTCAGAAAGTGCTGCAGGAACCCTGATTACAATAATGAGTAAAAATGTAAAGAAAAATTTCTATTATTATAAGAATAGTTTTTCAATGTGAACTGAGCCGAATGGTGGTATTTCATAATGGTTACACCCCGACAAACGCATGTTTCCCTTTGGACCCAATTTGAATTACAATCATATTTTGTTATTACATCTTGTATTATGATTATGAAAATTATTGAATGTGTATTGTAAATGCATCTCATTCACATTATTAAAACATACTGACCTTGTACGAAATCTTGACAACCGAGGGCGCCCACTTATCAAACTCCAGCACCCAGTTGGATAGCGTTCTGAAAACATGAGAATGTGACCTTCAATAACGTACTGGTTTCAGGTTTTATATGGCAAGGCAAGGCAAGTTTATTTATATAGCACAATTCATACACAAGGCAATTCAAAGTGCTGAACAAAACAAGAAAGCGTTAAAATCATAAATTATCACAGAACATTAAAAAGAAAGATAAAAATATAAAATCCCTCAGTTGTATGCACAGTTAAACAGAACTGTCTTTAACCTGGTTTTAAACATTGTCAGAGAGGAGGCCTGTCTCACATCTTCAGGAAGACTGTTCCAGATTTTAGCACCATGAATCTGAAAAGCAGCCTCCCCATGTTTAGTTCTGACTCTGGGCACTAACAAGAGTCCAGTCCCTGTGCTCCTCAGAGTCCGGGCTGGTTCATATGGGACTAACATGTCACTAATATATTTTGGTGCGAGGCCATGGAGAGACTTGTACACAAGCAGAGCTGTTTTAAAGTCTATTCTCTGAGCCACAGGAAGCCAGTGCAGAGACCTGAGGACCGGACTAATGTGGTCGTACTTCCTGGTTCTAGTCAGGACTCGAGCTGCTGCATTTTGAATGTACTGCAGCTGTTTTACAGCCTGTTTGGACAGACCTGTGAGCAGGCCATTGCAGTAGTCTAACCTACTGGAGACAAATGCATGGATAAGAATCTCCAGGTCTGCTTTAGACACTATGTTTTTGATCCTGGCAATGTTTTTTAGATGGTAAAAAGCTGCTGATGTTACTGATTTAATGTGGCTATTAAAATTTAAGTCTGAGTCCAGTATTACCCCTAGATTTCTGACCTTGTTTGAAGGTTTTAGGGAGAGAGACTGTAGGTGACAGATGACGCTCTCTCTTTGTTTCTGGGGACCAAAGACAATCATTTCAGTTTTGTCTGCGTTTAGCTGAAGGAAGTTGTTTTGCATCCACTCACTGATCTGTTGGATACAGTGAAGGAGTGAGTCCACTGGTCCATGTTCTCCTACAGTCAGTGAGACATAGATCTGAGTGTCGTCTGCATAGTTATGATAGGAAACTTCGTTTCTGCGTATTAACTGACCTAACGGCAGCATGTAGAGATTGAACAGAAGAGGTCCCAGGATCGACCCCTGTGGGACTCCACAGGTCAGGGCCATATGATCTGAGACACAGTTTCCAATCTCCACAAAGTACTTCCTGTCTTCAAGGTAAGACCTAAACCAACTTAGGGCGGTGCCAGTGACGCCAACCCAGTCCTCTAGTCTCTGTAAGAGGATCTCATGGTCGACGGTGTCAAAGGCAGCACTTAGATCTAACAAGATTAAGATTGAGACTTTGCCTGCGTCAGTGTTCAGCCGGATATCGTTTGTAACCTTGACAAGAGCAGTCTCAGTGCTGTGGTGGGGTCTAAAGCCGGACTGAAACATATCAAATGAGTTGTTGATTATAAGAAATCTAGTAAGCTGTAGGTAGACAACTTTCTCAAGGACTTTCCCCATAAATGGCAGATTTGAGATGGGACGATAGTTGTTAAGTACCGTAGCATCGAGACTGCTCTTTTTTAGCAGGGGCCTGATGACTGATATTCAATAACATTCAATAACCTAAAACCCCATGTTAAAATATAGGCTATCATGTTACAATTCAAGTATAGACATGAATAAGATTTAGAGATCCTTTATTTCTCCTACAGTGGGAAACTAAAATACTAAATATGAAAATAAAAATAAAAAATATAAATAATCACAATATCCAATCACTAAGCAGCTTATACTCACGACAGCGGCACGATGATGAGGAAGGGGCCATTGATGCGCTTGAGTTCCATGAGGTAAGTGATGAGTGCGATGGTCTGGATGGTTTTCCCCAGGCCCATCTCGTCCGCCAGAATGCCATTGAGGTTGTTGTTGTAAAGCGACACCAGCCACTCCAGTCCTTTGATCTGCGAACACAAAGACCAGTTACACTCCGAGACCGTGACACATGAGTCGCATTAACTGCATTGAAGGAAGAAGAAGTGAACTCTGATAGAAGGATATTAGATATATGTTTAATGTTGTCTTTACTCAGTGGGACACTCTGCTGCCACTTTTGGTTTTAGAATTAATGCTCTTGTTTTCAAATGGTTTCATTGTTGTTGTGTTTGTGTATGCAAGTTTTGTACCTGGTATACCTGGTGTGTGTGTGTATGTACGTGGTATTGCGTGTGCGCGTGTGCGTGTGCGTGCGTGTGCGTGTGTGTGCGTGTGTGTGTGTGTGTACCTGGTATTGCTTGAGTTGACCATTGACCATGAGGGAGGACTGCTTGTCCACCTTCTCAGTAACAGCGTGAGCCACAGCGTAGTACGACTGCAGCCCTCTGTTGAAAGCCTGGCTGCCGTACTCATCGTCCACGTCCTGCTTGGCGTGTCTGAAGAGAATGGAATCATTTGTGAGAAAAGTAAAGATCTACTCCTTTCATGCGTGGAGAGATAAGTAATGTCAGTAAGAGATTAGCTTTTAACTAAGACAGGATTTAGACCAAACATATAACTGGGTTTGTCTTGGTTAATAAACCAATTAGGCTTGAAAATGATACTTAAACAATTGTTGAAAATGTTTACCATACTGGTATAAATCAGAAAAATAAACATAGTAACTTACTCAATGATATGCTGAACATCGACTTCAGAGACGTCCTCACTTTCTGGGTCAGGGATCTTCTTCTTCTCCTCAGTTTGAGCAGCAGAGGAATGGGGCTCCTCTTCTTCCTCCTAACACACAACATGTAAGTTAAAAAAGACAAATGACAAAGAAAGCTTTATGTACAGTCTATAGTATAGTATTGGACAAACCTCTTCTTCCTCTTCCTCCGAGTCACTGTCTTCGCTGTCAGATCGAGGAGCTACTTCATACCTGCAATAAAAGTGAAACGTTTTAGACTTTTGTAGAACAGGTATTGAAAAGCGCGGCTAACGCCTTTCTGGAAAATAACTGGCAAATAAAATTGGGAAAGGCGGCAAGGGAAAATGTAGGGTCACCATCAGAGAAAATAAACTATTATACTTATCTAACATAATATTATCAATGCATTTTTTCTCTTGTTAAAGCCTCCATAAAACAAAGCAGCCACTACTGATTTTCTTCCCAAATTTTCCCAATACATAAAATGGAATTCCAAATTTGGTCTTATATTTTACTAACTGAACAATATCATGCAAAGACAGCAACACTTTATTTAATGCTACAACATTATCAAATATAGAGCTTTAAAGGCACACCGTGTAACTCTTGGCCACTAGGGGCGCTAGACCTGCAACTTTCACGTTTAGCGCCCCTAGTGGCCACAAGCAACTCAGCACTGTCGCAAAAGTCAACAAACAGTCAGCCGGTGTCTTTTGAGTGTGTATTCAGACAGCATGCACTGGTGTGTGTGTTCAAACTGTAGAGACATGCCTACAGATATTGAGAGACTCTGCTGTGGTCAGCCTCCAGACCGCTGCATTAGTAATCTACCACACATGGACTTCTATATCCTGGATGAGGGAGTTCTGCGTCTAGCTCGTGCTGCGTGGAATGACATCTTTGCAGTCGATGACATCCAGGAACCAGGTGAAGAGCAGCGCTCATACAGACATGCAGCTTACAGCACGATCCCTTTCGCGTTTCCTCTTTTTAGCCTCCTCCGAAGGTTTAAAATTTTTCCTTGCCTCAGCCATGACCAGGAGTCGAGCAGGTGAAAAATGAGTAGCAAAAGCCTTAGCTCCATGAGTATATCAGCGCCTGTAGCCGTAAAGCAAGTGTTTCTTCCAAGTCACGTGACCTGGTGGCAGACGGTCCGTCTGCTCGAAAGTTACATGGGCGGTATTTCAAGAGGGCAGCCCCGCTCGGAGCATTGCAAGTGTCAAGCGCTGTATATTGGCCCAAGTATTCATATAAAATAACTCATATGTGTCAACTCTTTAGGTCACAAAGTCCGCGGTGTGCCTTTAAAAGGCTTTGTATTTTGATTAAATCATATAATAGACACTGGGGCTACAGTGAAAGACAATCCAGTGTGCATTAGAACATAAGAAAAAAAAGACTACAGACCCTGGGTTCATCTCGAGCCATGTTTCCAGCTGACCAGACTTGGGAGCGTCCAGCCCAGTCAAGATCTTTCCACTGTCCACATGAATGACCTTTACTGGGAGGTCGCTCATCTGGCTGGTTTCATCCAGCGGCTTTAACAGAAATAAAATGTGTTAGTGTTATAAATGCCTCCAGTTTGGATACGTTTAATCATATCTTTATGACCAGAAGGTCGTGGGTTCAATTCCCACCTCTGCACCTTCTCCACCGACTCCCACTGATGACTGCTGTCGTTGTGTCCTTGGGCAAGACACTTAACCCCACTTTGCCCAAAGCCCCCACTGAAAGATCAAGGCTATGCTCACACTCAGAGAGCAGCCGTCCTCCTGTGGACTCACCACCTGCAGAGGATCAGTGAGGGGCTGGTGCTATGAGACTTGGGTGGCATCTCTGATTGCCACCCCCCTGACCCAGAAATGGATTAAAGGGTAGAAAATGGATGGATGGATGGATAATCATATCTTATATCTTTACAAACACAAGAGGCCCTCGCAGCAATGAGGGATGGGGCAAATGCACAGGACAAATTTCACTACGGGGCAATAAAGTATAAGTAACTAACCTCTCCATCAGGTCCCAAAGCTGCAGTGCCTCCTTCTGCTGTCTCAGGCTTCTGAAACAAAACAGGATCATCAAGCCAATGGGTCTATCAAAAACATGCCAACAATGAAAATTCTACACAGACCTTCTTTTTCTTCTTCTTCTTTTTTTCCTTTAGTGCCTGTGCAGCCTTATGAGCGCGCACCAGCTCTGTGAGGTTAGCCACATACTCGTCCGTTTGCTGCAGCAGGTACGCCAGGCGCTTGTCTTTCTTCTGGTCGATCAGTTTACGGTAGCCTTCTTCATCTTCAGCCTTGAGGAATTTAGCACAATATCTCAGTTATATTAGGCTAGTTGTGTTGATATAGTTTGATGGTGTTGATAGATAGAATGTTTGAAAACAAGAATGACAAATTTAACAATGAATCTCAGATTCAAGAAGTAAAAAGAATATAGATCCTTCTATGTTCATGTTTAATTAAAGCTGCACTAACTGACTTTGGGATATTGAAGCCGCAGACTCGCTGGCCTCACTCTTTCTGCTCCCCTCCCTGCACCCACGAAGCTATCGCCCCCCACACACACCCACTGTTGTTGACGGAGCTAGCGTCTTCCAATATGGATAAACACATGAATATGGATTTTCACGTGGATGGCGTGACCATAGAACGATAGAACCGGGAAGCGCGGAGGAACAGGATTTTCTTTAGGATGGCTGTTTCGCTGTGTAAGCAGTAACCGGTGACGAAGACACGAAGCTTCAGGTTAGCTCCGCCGCTTGTTGTGCTAACTCAGCTGTCTATGCTAACGGAGACCTGTAGATTTCTCACAAAAGTGGGGGCTAGTGGTCCGCTGTGATTGGTCACAATCTGCGACCCAAAACACATCTCTTCCTTGTTTCATCAAAACTCGCTCTAAAATATAATGTCACGCCAGCACAACCCTGCGATACTTATTCTTCAAAAGGACGTATATCCCAATGCCCTGCATGGACATGGATAGCATTTTCGTAATGAATACAAAAATAAAGTCAGTTAGTGCAGCTTTAAGATGATAGTTTAAATTTTTTCTCAATGTCCAAAGTCAATTGTCAAGAGTTTGCCTACGTACCATCAGCCTCCGCATTCTCTCCTTCTCAATACGTTCATTCTCCTTCTTCTGCTCGCGCTCAGTGTTGGCGTGGTAAGTTGCGACGGCCTTTGTGGCCTTCTGGAGCTTGGCAGTGATGGAGCGATGGTACTCTTTGAAGTCCTTGGCATGTTGAAGGATGCTATTGAGGTATTCCTAAATAGACAGTGCGTGTTAAAATACAGCATGCAGTCATACATATAGAGAAACACAAACAGGATGTTTACATACTTGGTGTTTCTGTCTTCGTTTGCGCTCTTGCTCAATTTTTTGCTGTTTCTCCAGCTTCTCAGTGATCCGAGCCTCACGCAAAGATTGGCGTTTGCTGCGTTTGTAGGCCTTGGCATTGAGGGCAGTTTCTAATGAGGTATCTCGGCGCATGCAAACCACCACTTCTTGCCTCAACTATTTAAAAGAAAAATACAATTACACACAAAAATTTTTACAAGATAAATTGTGAATGCTTTTTACCTGTCTCTGAAAATTGAGCAGTCTGAGGGCCTTGAGTTCTATAGTGGCTTTAGTGCGGATGTCTCCGGCCAGAGACCCAGGCAAGTGCTCCAGCTCCTGGATACGATGAGATATACGGGCCTGTAGCCTGAGGAAATACAGAAACAATGTACACATTATAGGCCAGATGCGAGGGGACTCAGTCAGCCCAAACAACACGTGCCACATACCCAATAACACAAGATTTCTCACCTGTATTCCCTCTCCTGAAGGATCTCGACTGGGTCCAGCCCGCGAGGCTTCTGGATCGGGGTGATGCGGCTTTGCTTCATCATCATGGGAGGAGGCTGGACAGGCTGTCCTGGAGACTGGGTTTGAGGAGGAATCACCGGAGATGCGGCTGGAGGCACTGAAGGTGGAGCAGGAGAGGGGCGTCCTGTAGGCTGTGGAGGAATCATCTTCTGAGGGCCACTTGAGGGAGCAGCAGCATTGACCATGGGCCCTACACATTCAAAGAGTTACATCTGAGGCATGTTCAGCTGAATCACAATATCAAAGTGCATTAGACAAATACCTTCAGGCCACGATTTAGGAGGTCCATTGGTTGGCTGACCAGGCATACCGGGAGGCACTCCTGCAGGTCCAGGTGGGACCATATTGGGCCCAACCATACCTGGAGATGAAAAGGTAAATAGTGTAAAACATAAGGTCAACTATATAAAAGCATAAGGTGATAGAGAATAGGTGTTTTACCATGTGGTCGGTTATAGTTTCCCTGAGGCTGTGGTGGCCCAGCCCCTGGTGCCCCTCCAGGCCCAGCTGATGGGGGCATGCTGGGCATCGGCCTCTTCCCCTGTACGGCCATCTGCAGGTGCTCTGGAAGAGGCTGGCTACGCGCTAACATCTTATATGCCATGATCTGTGCCCTGAGTTGATGCAGCTGATTCTGGTTGAAGGGAGTGGGTCCCCCTGGACCACCGGGTCCAGCACCAGGTCCAGGAGGACCCCCTGGGCGGTTGGGCTGAGCCATGGCTTGGTTGGGGTCACCATTGGTCTCCATTGGGCCAGCCCCAGGGGGTGCACCAGGCATCATGGGCCCAGAGGGAGGACCATTAGCTGGGACAGGGCTGGGTGCGTGCTCTGATCCCCCCAATGGTGAGGGGTAACCTATGAAAGGAACACAGTATGTTCAGAGTGAGCCACAGCAATAAAGGCGCCCTGCATCAGCTGCATCAGTTCACAAATGTAAAAGCGGAAAGACTGGTCTGATGAGTTGTGTCTCATGCCAGAATTTATTTTAATAACCATCACATCACAACACCCTAAAAAGGATTTTACACAATGATTGGCCATCGTGTATTTGGACAGTTAAGTGAACATATTGGATCAAACATGATTAAAAATTACGATATTGTTCAAAAGTCTATTTACATTACTTTGTAATTCAATTTACAATGTGCAACTAATAAATGATTGATACGTTACTTGCAAAGTGAGATTTTTCATGCCCTTATTGGTTATAATGTTGACAATAATGGAAAACAATTTCCAAAAACCCAAATAGAACCTTTATAAAATAATAGTAAAATATTAGTGAGTTTATAAAGCAAACCCCAGATTTCAGGTCAGCTCAGGTTCCAATCACAATCAAATGTCATATTTCGCATCAACAAATTTCATACAGCATTACTTGACACGCAATTAAATACCACTATAACCTTGGGAATGTTGGTCCATGGGGCTTGGAGGAGGTCCCATACCAGGATGCGCACCTGGCCTCATCCCCATGCCCTTCATCTGGTTATATCGGGGGTCATCAGGCTCCATGGGCTGTAAAACACACCAGTAAACAAATACACATCATTTCATCAAGTACTTAGAATGAAAAAATAACAGACATTTTTTAGCTCTCGAGTCTCAAATAGAAGACTACATATGATTAGTCAAACATTCATGAATCTACTGTACATACAATTTAATTATTGGATTATAACGCCAAAACAACATATGTTTAAGGCAAAGTGGTGGCAGTGGTACTGCTACTTCCATATTTGACTGTTGCATTGATCATTAAGCACAACATGCACAAATCCTAGTAATAAATAAATACAAAAACCATATATACAGACCTTGTGCATCTGGTGCATGTTTTCCTGAGGATATCCTGTGGGTCCCTGAGACGGGTGTGGAGGTCCTGGACTGGGTCCCATCATGCTATGGGCAGAACCTGGAGACGGTCCTCCGGGAGACGGCCCTGGACCTGGGGAAGGACCAGGCCGAGGGGTCCCTCCCATTGGGGGGTCAGGAGTGGACATGTCTCAGGGACTCTGGGAGTTTGCTGCACCAGCAAGGTCCACTGAAAGAGTGAGTAAAGACATAAGCAATCTGACAATAATGCAATTGCAATAAAACGTGAGTTGTTTTATAATGATCATAATATGTATAACAATCATATCTAATTCACATATTAAATAAACCATTCATTCAAATCCATCTCGAATAATCAGTGACCTTTAATTTACCAACAAAAGAATTGGTTTTTGAAATATGTCAACAGTACAGGCCTCTTCCCACTGGTCTACTATAACTGCATTATTGCTGCAAATGTCTATCAATAATGTTTCCGAATATATTGGAATGGTTCACTTCATAATAACAAATACACATTGAAAGAACACCATAAACATACATTTCTGACAAGTTGTTACAAAACGTCCAACAATAACAAGCGCCATTATCATACACATTATTGTCAGAATGTTGTCGAATATTAACACACCTTTTTAAAGTTATGATCATGTCAGCTGAAGTTAGAAAAAGTAAAAATCTTTTAGATATACAGCTGTGATAATAGATTACATATCTATGCGTCACATAAAGCCCACAGCCAGTCTCTAATTCAATGTGAGTTACCTTTAACATGGGCATTGTTTAGCACTTGTGTGAGACAGAAATAACAACATTCACACAAAGTGGAGAGAGCAACATCAGCCATAACAAAACAACACAAACCACTGTTGACTATTAGCATGCTAGCTGTTAGCCTAGCCGACCATGCTCTTTGAGGCCAATTACGTGGATCAGACAGATGAGGAAATATCGATACAGAAGTGAGTTATTGAGCACATTGGTCTGTGGAGTTGATTGATCCACCGCGCCTTCCGTACACTTGGCTCCGCTCGCTGCACATTTACTAGAACTATTTTCATTCATTACGGAGCCGCACCGGAGCCGCTCATGTCGCTTCATCTTTTCACAAAAGAAACAAACCCCGTAAATGTTCTTCTAAAGACAAAGGCGAACCTACACACACACGTCCATGTCCGAACAAATGCCACGAAAGTAAAGTTTACTCACACAGTTGCCCGAATGTGATGTTAGAAAACTCGCCGGTCGCAGTGTCTCTAGATTTTCCTCCCAAGCAGAAACAAAGAGCGAGACAGACAAGCTTTTCCTCCCAGCCTCCACTCACACAGGCCCCTGTGACAGCGCCCCCAGCGGCGGACTGCAGGCATGACCGTGGGGGAGGGGAGACATACAACTGATCATAATGTATTTACATTAAAATAATGCAAATAGACTATGATACAATGTTGTCTATTGTAGGCTTGGATAAGGTGTGGCACTGAAACGTATATAAATGTCTTAAACCTATATTTTGAACAAGGAATCTATGACAGGCCTGAAGGTCTATTCCCACCTCTACACCTTCTCCACCGACTCCCACTGATGACTGCTGTTGTTGTGTCCTTGGGCAAGACACTTAACCCCACTTTGCCCAAAAGCCCCCACTGAAAGATCAAGGCTATGCTCACACTCAGAGAGCAGCCGTCCTCCTGCGGACTCACATTATATATATATATATGTATATGATCCTTATTTATTATTATTATTTATCATTATTCTTATTTTCACTATTAATTGTTTGAATCTGTGTCTCGTGCGAACCGACTTATTAGAAGAAGTTCCTTGGGTCGAATCCTTTTTTTGATACATAACCTGTCAAGCATGTTAGCCTCCCAAAGTAACTGTTATTTAAACATGTTGTGACTGCTGCTAATTGGCCTGTGTCAATGACTGTACCATGATTATCCTCTTAGATTAGACTTTAAAGCCTCAGTCTTGTCACTACCTCATGTCGAGTGGGCTCAAGCAGCATGCGACTGCAAACCGCACTGAAAAAGGTGGTAACAAAGAACAGGAATGATGTTCTACAGCCTTGGAGTCTGTGCTTGGAGGTACCGTATCGCAGGCCTTGTGATTACTCTGGGGATCACATTTCTCGTTATTCTTATGGGATCTCATTCACTAGAGTCCAGGTGAGTGATTCGGATCTGAACAAGATCAGACTAGATAGACAGTCTTGTATTGTGTGTAAATTATTATTGGCTTCAAAGGAAATGTTTATATTATGGTGATGATTTTCCAGGCAAGTTAGTGATGCACAACACTATTTTGACACATATTGAATTCTTCCATGTGTAAATGTAAATTTGTTATCAGTTTGAAGATACAAGAAAAGCAGAGGTCTGATCAGAGGAGAAGTCCTCCTAAAGGTCTCGCCTTAAACCTGCTCCAGACCAGGACACGCTCTCCTCCTCTGGTTTTCCTCAAAACCCACAGAACTGGAGCCAGCACGGTGCAGAACCTTCTGTTTCGCATGGGAGAGAAGGACATGGCCACTTTTGCTTTTCCTCGTCAAGGCTTCCACTTCAGCTACCCAAACAAGTACATCACTAATTTAATTCATTATGATTTCAGTTATTATTTATTCACATTTTTGGGATATAAACAATATGGGCCACTGCAGGACTATCATTGCATAAACAAAAACATAACATATTGCTGTCTTGGTTTTTTAATTTACAATTTTTTGATTTTCAGATTCCAGATAGAATTTGTGGATGAATTACCAAGTGGATCTGAATATTTTGACATCCTTTCATCCTCACTTCGCTTTGATGTCTCCCAGCTAAAGACGCTCATGCCATCGGACCCCGTCTTCATTACCATCCTGCGAGATCCAGTGCACACATTTGAATCAATTTTTGCCTATTATTCCTCTTCTATTCCTGCCTTTACAACAGCCAAACTGACCTCTACAAACAAAACTGCCTTGTCAGCTTTCTTGGACTCTCCAGAGATGTTTTGGGACCCTAATATTCCTAAAAATGGCTTGGCAAAGAATCCTATGACCTTTGATTTAGGCCTTAACAATCATGTTTGGAACTCATCATGGCCAGCAGACCTTGCTTTTCTTGAAGAAAACTTCAACTTGGTTATGATAGCAGAATATTTTGATGAATCGCTTATTCTCTTGGGCGCACTTTTAAACTTAGAATTAGAGGAACTGGCCTATGTTCGCTTAAACTGCAGAGCTGTCAAAGATATCCACCCTCTTCATAAAGAAACCAAATCCAAGATAAAAGTGTGGAATAACTTAGATGTTTTGCTCTACGAGTATTTCAAGCAGATATTTTTGGAAAAGGCAAAACAGTATGGATGGCAAAGGTTGCAGAAGGAGGTGAAAATGCTCAGGCTTTCTACGGAAAGAATACGTGAAAAATGCTTGGCGAGAAGAGCGGTCGCACCTGAAGAGCTGGAGGACTTGGTGAGACCTTGGCAGACCAACTCACTCACTATTTTGGGGTACGAGGTGCACGCAAACCTGACAAAACAAGAGCAAGGATTCTGTTTGAGATTGGTGCTGCCAGAACATCAGTATCACGCTCATTTATATTACCAGCTGTATGGAAGAGAAATCAAAGCTGGCTGAAGTCAATTAGTTGATATTATTCTGTAATGTAACATTGTCTGCCAAAATAGCTCAGTAAGTTTCCCCACTCTGGTCACACAACTGCCACAACTCAGTATGCTTTGTGTATTGTGTGGAAAAACGTCAGTGAACTGTAAACTCAATTGTCTGCTTCAGATTTGTACTGATGCAGTGAAGTGATGTTTTAACTGGGTACTGGAACACTGGGCTGAATTCACAAAGAAATTAATGGACAGTGCATGTGATGTAATGTAGTACCACTGAACTGAAAGCATGATTGTGTTAACATGAAAACAGGGATCTAATGAAAGAATGTACCGTTAGTGGCTTCCTTCTATAAACCCCTTCATTTAATTATACTAATAATATGTCTTTGAATTCCATTTCACATATGAATGAGACCTTGGTATGGATCATTTTGAAAATAGCTGTAGGAGACACGTTTGGGCACTGTGTGAATGAATGGATGTTTGGAGGAGTGATGTATTGTGGGCGTGCATGTATGCGTGAGTGTGGGCGTGTGCGTGAGGGCCTGCATGTGTGTGTGTGTGTGTGTGTGTGTGTGTGTGTGCGTGTGGGCGTGCATGTGTGTTTGGGCGCGGTACACGAAATTATGAATGAGCATACACCTGCGGGGGCACGGAAAGGGGAGAGAGGTCTGTTTGGGAGGCCATAATTTTTGTTGACCGCTATTATAGTTTGTTTGATTTATTTTTGCTATTTTCTCTGGCTTAAGTTTATTCACTATTCTTTTCTGTATAATCACCGCGCATTTTTTGGCCTATGACAGCTGCGTTTATTATTAATTAAATCAATGTCATCGCAACTGGATCCAGCCTTCGTTTGTTTTACTAATTTAGCGCGTCATACAATTTTACCGGACCCAACTCGCCTCTCCGCGGCTTTAGACAACAGGCAGCCGCTATATTTGTCAACAAAAAAGGCAATCCTTGAAGAGCATCAAAGCGTGTCTCCACAAACACATCGCGCATCCAAACTTCGAGCACGAGCCCGAAGGAGCAGCTAAGTGCAACACAGCCACACAACCCATTCATTCATCAGAGCGCAGGTAAGCCTACCTGTTTCATGTTTTTGTGGATCAAAAATCCTGTGGATGTCCGCGCGCAATGTTTATTGTACGGACTTTTATGAATGAAGTGGTTTGTGAAGGACGCACATGCGCAGGAGGAGGCGCTCGTTACATGTAATGCGGAGGAATAAATACAGTGTGGAGTGACTATGCACTGATGTTGTCAGGAGTCAACAATGTTGAAAGGTTCAAGAAAATAAATGCAATGGTCTCATATGGTGTTTCAGTGCGGTTTGAAGTGTGGTGTGTATGCAGATAAAGTCAAACGAAATGAGTGACGTTGGTAGCGCTGTGCAAAGCTCTCATATGGAAAGAAAAAAAAGGGAAATCAAACTCACGGCCAAAGCCCTTGAAAATAAAATGGAACGGCTTCAAAATGAACGAAAAACAGCTGTCAATAAAATCAAAGCATTAATCCCACAAATTAAGGATCAAATGAAATCAAAGGAAAATGCTCTACAAATGCAAATAAACTTGGAAAATCTAAATGCACTACATGAAAAGGCCACTTCTCTGCACAATGAATTACTTCCACTGTTTCCAGAGGATGAACTGGGAAAACAAAAGGAATGGTTTACCAGTATAACAGAGATTAAAGAGACATTTATGGAAAAAGTGAACAGATGGAACAAGGAAAACTTGAACACAAGTGAATTCGAGAAGGAGCCACCACCAACAACCACCAACAGTGAAATCAATGGACAGCAACAAAATGAATGTTCTCAATCTAAAACATCAGAGGGGATGGAGGATGAAGTGCATCCTAAGGATAGCATTTCCAACAGTGGAACCAAGAGGTCTCAGCGATCCTCCATCTCACGCGCATCTGTGAAGGCTGAAGCTGAGTTGGCAGCTTTAGCCGCAAGGCAAAATTTACTTGAGGAACAGCATGCAATCGAGGAGGAAGAGGAACGACTGCGAAAAAGAAAGGAAAGGTTTCAGCTTGGCCGAGAAATATAGCTGAAAAAATGGCTGAGTTGAAGGTCATTAAAGCCAAAAGCTCATGTGGCAGAGCCAGTTCTAAAGCCTCAGTTTCTGACGGTATGCACTCGTACGTTGAAAAGCATACACAGCCTACAGGGCTGACTCACAGTTTTATGCAGCCAGCGCACGTTACAGCGCAGCCACTTATGCAGCCAGCGCACGTTACAGCGCAGTCATTCACGCAGCCAGCGCACGTTACAGCGCAGCCACTTATGCAGCCAGCGCACGTTACAGCGCAGTCATTCACGCAGCCAGCGCACGTTACAGCGCAGCCACTTATGCAGCCAGCGCACGTTACAGCGCAGTCATTCACGCAGCCAGCTAATCCCACGCTCAATGCTCGAGCTACAGAGTTTTTTCCAACATTTTCAGTTAGACCAAAAGAAGACACTCAAGCAAAGTCAAACTTCATGCATACTGCAGAACCTGTAATCACAGCACTTCACCCCAGTGAGGCCCAGCACCGCTCCCAGTCCATACAAGGCTTCAATACTACATCACAGTATAACAGTGCACAATGTCAAAACAATGCAGCATCAAACAATGATGTGCTGGAAATAATGAGAAAACAAAACGAAATCACAACACTTCTAGTACAACAGCAATGCTTGTCCGCTCTACCGAAAAGAGAGATTCCACTGTTCGACGGAGATCCGCTGAAGTATCACACCTTTATCAGAGCTTTCAAAAATGGTGTTGAATGCAATACAAATGAAAACAGTGATCGATTATATTTTCTTGAGCAGTACACAAAAGGACACGCAAAGGAGCTTGTGAGAAGTTGCCAGCATATCGATCCTGCCAGAGGGTACACAAGAGCAAAAGAGTTGCTTAAAGAGCATTATGGAAATGAGCAGAAGGTGGCGACTGCTTACATGGAAAGAGCTGTGTCTTGGCCACCAATTAAAAGTGAGGATGCCAAGGCATTGCAGGAGTACAGTTTGTTTCTCCGCAGCTGCTGTAATGCCATGGAAGATGTCCAGTATTTACAGGATCTTGACACACCTTCAAACATGCTCGAAATCATCAAAAGGTTGCCATACAAGATGAGAGATCGGTGGAGAGGTACTGCCTGCGACATACAGGAGAAACACCACAGGAGAGCAAAATTCATCGACATTACAAACTTTGTTGAAAGGCAGGTGAAGATTCTCACTGACCCAGTGTTTGGCAACATACAGGATGCACCTACCTTGAATAAAAGTGTGAGCAGATTTAAATCACATCCCCGCTTGGGTGTTAAGAGCACCAGCTTTGCCACCACTGTAGACACTGTGGAGAAAAAGGATTGGTCTGGAAGAAAGTTTAATGATACTCACCAAAGCATGAAGAAAACATGCCCCTTTTGCAAAGGAGGACATGCACTGGAGATGTGTGCACAGTTGAAGGGAAAGCCACACAAAGAGAAGATAGGCTTCTTGAGGGAGAACGGCTTCTGTTACGGCTGTTTGTGTAAAGGACACTTCAGTAGAGAATGCCGCAAAAGGATCTCCTGTTCAAAGTGTGGTCTAAAGCATCCAACTGTATTGCACAGGGACAATGTGAGTAACACCGACCAAAGTGAGAGAAGGAACATCGCATCTGTGGACAACACATTGATCTCAAGTGGTCTTACAGGGGCTGGAGAACAGAACTGCAAGTTGCCCATCGTGCCAGTCCAGGTTAAGTCTAGAAGAGGCAATAAGATCATCTGCACGTATGCCTTCCTAGATCAAGGCAGTACGGCAGTATTCTGCACGGAGGACTTAATGCGCAGGCTACACCTGACAGGCAGAAAGACCAGCATTCTCCTGAGAACCATGGGTCAGGAGAAGGTGGTGAGCAGTTTTATGGTGCCAGAGTTGGAAGTTGCCGCACTTGAGGGAAATCATTTCATAGAGTTGCCAAGTGCCTACACGCAGGAGTCGATGCCTGTGTACAGGAGCAACATTCCAACCAAAAGGGATCTCGAAAAGTGGCCGCACTTGCAACATCTATTACTGCCACAAGTTGAAGCAGGTATTGACCTCCTGATTGGAACAAACGTCCCCAAGGCAATGGAACCACTGGAGGTTATCCACAGCATCAATGATGGGCCTTACGCCATAAGGACTGTGCTGGGCTGGACAGTCAACGGACCCCTGACAGGGAACAGTGGGAAGGCCGTTGATTGTGAGTCGGTGACCGTGAACAGGGTGTCCATCATCAATCTGGATGAGCTGTGGAGCCAGCAATTTAAGAATGACTTTCCAGAGGCAATCATGGAGGAAGAGCCAGGGCTCTCCAGGGAGGATCAAAGGTTTCTCCAGATGGTGACAGCATCTACTAGGCATGTAGATGGTCATTATGAGGTCTGTCTTCCACTGAAGAATCCACAGATCAGCATGCCGAACAACAAAAGGGTTGTAGCGCAGCGGTTGAACTACCTGAAAAGAAGGCTTCAGAGAGACTCTCAATACCACTCAGAGTACACTTTATTCATGAACAATCTGTTTTCCAAAGGCTATGCTGAGAAAGTTCCAGAAGGCGAGTTGGGGCGATGTGATGGCAAAGTCTGGTTCTTGCCGCATCACGGTGTCGTTCACCCTACTAAGGGAAAGCTTAGAGTGGTATTTGATTGTGGTTCCAGTTTTCAAGGATTCTCTCTAAATGAGCAGCTGTTACAAGGACCGGATCTGACCAGTTCACTGATAGGAGTTGTGACTCGGTTCAGAAAGGAGGCAGTTGTCCTCATGGCAGACATAGAATCCATGTTCCATCAAGTAAGAGTCCCTCCTGAAGATGCTGACCTGCTAAGGTTCTTGTGGTGGCCGCAGGGAGATCTCAATCAAAACCCCTGTTGAGTTCAGGATGAAGGTACATCTGTTTGGAGCAACCTCATCCCCCTCATGTGCTAACTTCGCACTGAGAAAATGTGGTGAGGATTTTGGACACCAATTCAATGGAAAGACTGTGGACAAGGTCCTTCATTGTTTTTATGTAGATGATTGCCTGGTTGGTGTTCCGACCGAGGAGGAGGCGGTCGCATTGCACGAGGAGTTGGTATCTATTTGCGCCAAAGGTGGATTTACCTTAACAAAGTGGCTAAGTAACTCTCAACATGTCCTTGAGAAGATTCCAGAGGCAAGCAGGGCTAAAGGAGTGATCAAATTGGATTTTGAGCAGCCATGTTTGCCAGTTGAAAGGGTGCTTGGCATTGAATGGTGTATCCAGTCTGACATGTTCCAGTTCAAGATCGTGCTCAAAGAAAGACCACTTACCCGCAGAGGAATTCTCTCCACAGTGAGCTCCATTTATGATCCACTGGGAATGTTGAGTCCAGTCGTTTTAGTGGCAAAACTAATCTTGAAAGATCTCTGTCAAAGAGGAGTTGGCTGGGATGAAAAGATGCCCGAAATTGTTGCCAAGGAGTGGATGAAGTGGATTGAAAGGCTCCATCTGTTGAATCACTTCAGGCTGGACAGGTGTATGAAGCCACAGGACTTTGGTAATGTGACAAAGGCCCAATTACATCACTTTTGTGACGCAAGTCAGGAAGGTGATGGTTCTGTAACTTACCTGCTACTGCAAAACGAACACCATCAGCGTCACTGTGCCTTCATAATGGGAAAATCCCGTGTCGCACCAGTCAAAGTGGTTACAATTCCCAGGATGGAGCTCGTGGCAGCCACAATGGCCAGTCGTATCGATGTACTGTGGAGGAAGGAGTTGCACATGAACTTGGAGGAATCAGTATTTTGGACTGACAGTTCATCAGTGTTAAAGTATCTCAAGAATGAGACGACTAGGTTCAGAATATTCGTGGCGAATCGTGTAACTGAGATTTTGAAGACCTCTAATCAGGAACAATGGAGATATGTGGACACAGGCTCTAACCCCGCTGATGTAGCGTCCAGAGGGCTCAAGGCGGAACAGTTTCTCAAAAACAAGTCCTGGATATCAGGACCTCACTTTCTTTGTCAACCAGAAAGTGAGTGGCCTTTAAATCCTGAGGCCGTGCCAAACATTTTGTCAGATGATCCAGAGGTTAAAAGTGTTACTGTTAATGCCGTAACAACTGAAGATGACCCAACAACTTATTTGTTGCACTATTGTTCTTCCTGGGTCTGTCTTAAGAAATCTGTGGCATGGCTGCTGAGGTACAAAAAATGGCTGCTCTCTTGCTGCAGAGGGCGGAAAGCACTTAAAGAAAGCTGTGCTGTGCGAAGTCTCAGTGTGGAAGACATGAATGATGCAGAGCTTGCAATAATACGGTTCTGCCAGGAAAGAATGTTCTCGGAGGAACTAAACAGTCTAAGGAAAGGTGAAGAAATCAAAAGAACAAGTCGTTTGTACTCGCTTTGCCCAACACTGGAGAATGGCATCTTGCGAGTTGGTGGCAGGCTCAGCCAATCGTCAATGCCCATAGATTCAAAACACCCCATTATTCTGGCCAAAGAACTCCACATATCCACTCTGTTGCTTAGGCATATCCACCAGGAAGTGGGTCACAGCGGTCGAAACCACATGCTGTCAAAGCTTCGGGAAAGATACTGGATCATTGGTGGGGGCACAGCAATAAAGGGGGTGCTGTCGAAATGCACTACATGCAGGAGACAGAATGCTTCCCCAGTCTGTCAGCAGATGGCAGATTTGCCGAGAGACAGAATCCAGCCCGATGAACCTCCGTTCACCTACGTTGGCGTGGATTACTTCGGTCCGTTCGAGGTGCGGAGCAGGAGAAGCATGGTTAAAAAGTATGGAGTGTTGTTCACTTGTCTCACGTTAAGAGCTGTTCATATTGAAGTTGCCCCGTCTTTGGACACAGATTCCTTTATAAATGCTCTCAGACGTTTCATTGCCAGGAGAGGACAAGTCCGGGAGCTGCGCTCAGACAACGGTACAAACTTCGTCGGAGCAAAAAGGAGCTGAAACAGGCAATGGAAGGATGGAATCATGCGCAAGTAAACAACATGTTGTTGCAGAAAGGCATCAAGTGGACCTTTAACCCACCAGCAGGATCACACCATGGAGGAGTGTGGGAGAGGCTCATTCGATCCGTGAGGAAAGTTCTCAATTCAACCCTCAAAACGCAACATTTGGATGAGGAGGGCCTTCAAACTGTTCTATGCGAGGCCGAGTCGATCATTAACAGCCGACCCATTACAAAGGCCTCCACGGATCCGAATGACCTCGAAGCTTTAACACCCAACCACTTGTTACTTTTAAAGCACATGCCTTCCTCGCCCCCTGGACAATTCCAGCCAGCTGACCTGTATGCTACGAGAAGATGGAGACAAGTTCAGTACATGTCGGACTTGTTTTGGAAACGTTGGACTAAGGAATATTTACCACTCCTGCAGGAACGTCAGCGCTGGTCTAAAGTGAGGAGAAATCTAATCCCTGGAGATATTGTAGTCATTATGGACGATACTGCTCCGCGGAACTCTTGGATTCTGGGAAAGATTTTGGAGACATTTCCCGACAGGAAAGGATTAGTTCGCCAAGTTCGTGTCAAAACGAAGACTAACTGTTTGGATCGACCAATTTCCAAGGTCTGTCTGCTTGTGGAGAAGGAGGCTGCCTAGTTCGTGGCAGACTTCTAGTGACTTTTCTCGCGTTTTGACTGGATTTTTTGGACGATTGACTGTCTATGACTCTGGTCACTTGGTGACTGAAGAAATGAAGATTCAATATGGATTAATGAATGGACATTGATGTTTCATTATGATTCTTTTGGTCTCCTACTTAATGTTTTGAAGTAATTATTGAGTCAATAATTAGGGGCTGGTGTGTAGGAGACACGTTTGGGCACTGTGTGAATGAATGGATGTTTGGAGGAGTGATGTATTGTGGGCGTGCATGTATGCGTGAGTGTGGGCGTGTGCGTGAGGGCCTGCATGTGTGTGTGTGTGTGTGTGTGTGCGTGTGGGCGTGCATGTGTGTTTGGGCGCGGTACACGAAATTATGAATGAGCATACACCTGCGGGGGCACGGAAAGGGGAGAGAGGTCTGTTTGGGAGGCCATAATTTTTGTTGACCGCTATTATAGTTTGTTTGATTTATTTTTGCTATTTTCTCTGGCTTAAGTTTATTCACTATTCTTTTCTGTATAATCACCGCGCATTTTTTGGCCTATGACAGCTGCGTTTATTATTAATTAAATCAATGTCATCGCAACTGGATCCAGCCTTCGTTTGTTTTACTAATTTAGCGCGTCATACAATTTTACCGGACCCAACTCGCCTCTCCGCGGCTTTAGACAACAGGCAGCCGCTATAATAGCTTTGTGCTTCAGAGATTGCCGAAAGTCTGTCACATGTTTACATAAATCCAATCTTCTAATCCATTCCCAGATTAGGCTCATGTTCAGGCACATCATGTCACATGACTTTGTGGATCCTGAACTGCAGCAAATGAAAATGTAACAATGGCCAGAAGGTCAACATCCAAAATACAATGCTGTAAAGTAGAGTGTTTTCTTTTCTATGGTTTGCCGTAATACACTGAATCAAATTAACGTTGATTTATGTTTAGGTGTTTGAGATTCACAATGTGCGGACATTTTGTGCTTTGCATACAAAATAATCTATTTCTTATACAGCATGGATGGTGAATAGAATGAAACACACATGCATGTAGCAATAGAGACAATGTCATATAACATGATTGTGCTATAACTGGTAATAACTTGTAAGCAAAAACATATTACCTTTTTTAATGAGAATATAATAATCACATAATGATGTTCCATAACACTTAGTGTTATTTTTACGCAATTTTAAAAAAGCAATATCGGTAAGTTTTTATATCATCTACTGTAACTTTATGGCTCAGACTGACCAGACCTGTAGCGCAGCTTTTCTGGCCTACAGTTTAAAAAGCACCCTATAAAAACAATAAATAGAAGCAGTGTTTAAAAACAGTAGTGTCTTAACAGCAGAGTCACAAAAGAACAAACTCGTCCATGCTGCTGGAGGTGACTCTCTTCCTCTGGATGTGGGTGAGGTTTGTGGACACACCGCTCACATCGTCCTGAGGTCCAGGACCCTCCTCAAAGATAAACATGGGATACGTGGTGGATGTGAACAGCGCCTGTGGGAAACAGACAAATGGATATCATTATTCAAAATCATTACACAATATTGGAACTTCAGACAAATCCTTTCAAAGGAGTATAAGTTTGAGTAAAATGCTAAATTCTTCATTCTTGATTCACAATAACTTTTGTGTTGAAATAAGCCTACCTCAGTGACATCTTTGCAAAGTGTCTCAAAGTCGTTAGGATCTTTGGCATAGAATCCTATGGTACAGCTGGGATCCATCCGAGAAAAGGGCATTTTCTTTGGGTGTTTACAGTGAAACGACTGAACAGAAAATATGACACAAAAGAATGAGATATAAGACAAAAAAAGTTCATAGGTAAAAATGTAAAAGAAGAAAGCCCTGTGGCCTCCACTATACCTCTAAGGGAAAGTCGCCCTTTCCCACATCCACAGTGGGCTGGCAGTAGTGAGGGTCCAGGTACAGCAAATAGTCCTCTTTTCAATAGCAAATAGTTGAATTAAACAATATAATTTAAAACCAAAAAGTATGTATCAATACCTTGATAACCCACAAAAAACAGTGAGTGCTTTGGCTTTCCACCAATAATTCCAATGCAGCAGCGCAGGCTGAGCAGTTTCTATTCATAAAAAGGTAATGATTATAATTATGTTATATTAAATAGTGTATTTCTTATATTTAATGTAATATTCTATAATGTGTACTTTGACGTAGGGGATGTAGGTGGGATTGAGCTCCTGTCCACCAAGCCGTACAGGAACCAAGAGAATGACAGACGTCCAGAAGGTGGTGCTGTTGGAGCCGGGCCACTCACACAAGCTGCTCACATCCTCTTTGTAAACTGACAACACAAAGGAATGTTCATCTCTGTGCATGTGCTGGTTTCAAGAGGATATTTCTCACCAGTGCAATCTTGTGCAACATACACCGAGAGATTGGGAAGATCTGGGGATTTATTCACAGCTTTCCTGAAACATGAATGATCGTCTTAAAATAAAAGTAGAAATAAAAAGTGAAATGTATAAGTAATTACAGTAAACTATTATGCCATGCTCCCACCTGAGTATATGTGCTACAATGGAGGGCCCATACCAGTCGCCAGCTTTGTTGCCAGAGGTCCTCCCCACCTCCACTAGTCTGTGTACCCCAAATGGAGCTGAGGGCCGGTCGGCAAACCAGGTCACCACTCTCCTGTGAGTGCCTTCCAGGGGTCTGTCCAGCAGAGACCCCAGGCTCAGCTGACGACGCAGCGCACTGTGACTCTGGGCTGAGCGGGCTGAAGGGTTGTTGTCCTGGAGGTTCATGTCATCTTTTACTGAGTGGAGGGGGGCAGTCCAAGACCAGTCTACAACAGGAGATATTCCTTGAGGAGATTCCATTCATGCAATCACGTTCATTGACCTAATATAAAACAATAGACGGCCACTAAAGAAATAATTTACTATCAATATTTTGTCTTATCTCTGAGCCAGTATTGAATTATAGCCATTATGTGTATTTTGCATAATCATTCATGTTTTGACCTGGAGGCATAAGGTGTAGCAGTAGTCCCTGAGCCAGCAGCATTTGCCCCGTCCTGAGCATACAGCCCCAGCCACTATCAGTAGAGAGCCCGCCTCCCGGGAGCGGAGGGAAGCCACGTCTGTAAGTGAGCCACACTATAGAGGAGAACGAGCGGCGGAAGTGCTCTCTGTCCCCTGTGGGAAAAACAAACACCAACTGTAGATGCTGTCAGTGTGTTCAAAATTAATACTACTCTCATCTCAGTATGTCTTACAAAGTATTCATTTATCCATACATCCATATAATCTATCACTGAGCGGACTCTCCTCAAGACGCAGATTAAACACACTTAGACTAGCCTTTGATAAACATGATGAATACAAATATAGCATAGAAATACTACTGCTGATAGTATACAAATGTTTAGACTATACATGTATACGTGGGTGTACATGGATATTGGATCTGTATAGAAGTTGTATAAGAAAATGATCTGAAATGCAATGTTTTGTGGATTTGCTACATCTTGTGCAACTGAAATTTTTCATAGGGACATAATAAGTGTCACACTTCAGCCATTTCAGTAAAATAGTACATTTTTATATGAATTTGTTAGTTTCTGTAAAAGTCTTGATGTTTCTTAGCACACGATAAGAAGCACAATGAAGCTGCCACATTGTGCCCGTACCACAGTTATAGAAATGTGGATGTGAGAGGTAGAAGCCACAGAGGCTTACTTGTTAACCAATGACCAAGAAAAAGTAACTCAAATACGGAAAACATTAACAATGCCTTCCTTCTTTCATTTCTTAATCTGAGCTAGGGCTGGGCAAAAAAATTGAATTTAGGCAATTAATCATCTCTCGAAAAATGTGAAAATTGTGAAATTGAATGAAGGATATTGTGAGAGTTCCAGCAGCACATTAATTATACTTGCAATATCAGCACAGTCTGTACAAGACTTTTATAATACGTATTAGGGGAAATAAATTAAAAATAGTTTTGAAACTTGAATATTGAGCGGAAAGATATTTTCAAGGGCAAAGTCTGTCTTTGGTGACTTATTTGGTGAATTTAAAATCAAAATTGTCCAAAGCAGGAAATAAAGTCGAGATTTAACTTTTTTCACCCAGCCCTAATTTTAGCTTACGGTTTTATTCTGCTAAAGAGATATAGACAAGTGTTAAATAATGATTAAATTATCAAAATGTAGATCATGCAAACATATATTATTGTTATGTGTTTTATAAATGCATAAAAGGATCTGCAGGTAAAGCAAACACAGCCCACTCCACAGAGACCAGTGTTAAAGTATCCTCCCATTTGAACAAAAGGACTCCATCTTAACTTACCTGGTCGTGTCAGCTCGTACGTCTTCCCCAGCATTATCACAGGAGTACTTTTGCTGAATTTAGATTTCTGTTTGAGGGACCAGGCTGAGACTAGAGGGAAAAAAAACAGTCCCATTGTAGCATCTAACGACTATCATGTATACATGAGTGCCATATTTTCTACCATATTTGAGACTGTTCCAGGCTGAGAGGAGTTTTGCCTTGAGTTTTGTCGCCTCCTCTGGCTCCACTGGACGGGTCGCACTCAGGCTGGGAGGGGAGGCCGATTCTGAGGACAAAAAGAGCCACTCGTCCATTGGATCTTCCCCCATCTCAAACTCAGACATACTGGGATCCATCTTCACACCGGATCTATGTTCCCATATTGTCAGAACTGAAAACAAATAGAAGATTGCTTGCTTTCATTTGAGTCTTGTGACATAACTGTACTAACTCGCTGTGACTAATTGTATATTAACCACAGTAAAGTAGGGAGACGAAGGAGAAAAGGGAAAAACATGTGATTTTTAGTAAAGTGTCTTGACTAATACAATTTAAATTATTCCCAATTTGGTGCACAAAAAAGAGAGACTAGTAGCTGCCACCTCCAGACTCTTTCTCTATAACCTTCATATGAGGGTAGGCATCTGGGGGTAATAATTCACTCTTACTGGGTTAATAATCAATACAATCCAACAAACCTTTCTTATTATGTAAATCACTTTGAGTTGCCCTGTGCATGCATTGTTAGTCAGGCAAGATTATTTGTATAGCTCAATTCATACACAAGGAAACTCATTGTGCTACTCAACTTGCCTTGCCTAATTTTGCAGCTTCATCAGAGATCTATAGTCACAAGGGCACACATCTGCTCAGCCATACAACTTCAACTAGAACAAATGCTGATTCTTAAGGATAACACTTGAGTCCATATTACACGCAAACGCACACACTTCAGTACGTGGACAGTTCGTAAACTAATCAATTACCTCGACATTTAAAGTGGTAAACAATTTTACTTTTTAATATTATTATCGAAATTACCAGGACTCATTCACGGACAAAGTTTTGTGTCTGTTCTGGTGTGGTCTCAATAATACACTTAAAATGTTGTTGTTACCTTTATGGTGCCGTCCTCCTTTTGTCGAGAGAGCGAACGGTTACTCATCCACCTCGGATAAATGTAATGCACAATTAAATAAATATAGTTTTTGATCTCTGTGACAGATTATAGTTGTGAGCTGTGAAGTGTACTTCCTGTTTGGGTTCGTCACGTGTCGGCTCTACGCTGATTGGTCAAGAGGGCATCGGTAGGAGGGGCACGCGGCGCATTCACCCATGATTTCACCCATGATCATTCAAGTTTGTTGTTTCATAAATAATCCACGTAGTTCAAGTAAGTGTGAAAAGATAACTACATATTGTTTTCACCTCAGAAAGCCTGCTTATCTTTTTCCTACTTGTAAGGGTATGGCGCCAGATAAGGGCCTTGTGAGTCGCTGTTTGACGCGTTAGGCTGAGAGCTGATTGGCTGAGTGACGGTAGCTATAACTGCAGACCTGAGTGAACCTTTGTCTACAGATCCATGATTCTTAGTTATAGTCCCGTGATAAAGTCTTAATCAAATATATAAATGGATTCAGGCTATGTTTAACTTTACTGTAATTATAGTCCATACCTTTCAAACTTGCACGTATTATCATTGTGCAATTGTAATGCTGTAACGTTGGGTACCTTAATAATGATTGTAAGACTTAATAATCAAGATCAATTGACCTGCAACACAATATTGTTTACATGCGATGAAAAATCACACAAAAATCAACTTGAAAAACTTTTATTTTGTTTTGTCTCCTTGTGTGGGGATTTTTGCATTGTATTCTTCCACAACATTAGTAATTATGCATCAACGGAATGAAAAACAGCAACAACGATCGGAGATAGCTGTTGATGTACAAAACACATGACAGACATGACATAATACATCTTAAATGGAATAATAACTCACACATGGATAAGCCATGAGGATTTATATCCTTCAATTCTGCAAACACGACAAATAATAAAAATACAATAAGTATAATAAATTAGATGTTATAAATAAAACCTAGAAATGAGCTAAATAGCACAAAATAAAGTGCAATTATATCACATTTCACAAAACCAATCAGTGCACTAATGTTGGCTTAAACATTATCATAAACCAGTACATTGGATACACTATGACAATTTCAGCAAATGTGCCAAATCCTTTTCTCCAGGAATCAAGACAGAGAAATCTCACAAAAAGAAGACATCTTTTACAATTGAACATTTTTATCGTTTGGTCTGATTATGTCCACCAGATGTCGCTCACACACAACTTTGAGTCTGTCCCACAAACGTCTTATATTTTCCAGAACAACATAGACAATCACTATCTCACCACTAAATTGACAAATCTAATCCAGTCTTTTTTTATTAATCTACAACTGACCAGGGTGCTCAGTTTGGTAGAACTGGGCACTGTTGGATTGCATATTATTCTACATTATATTGTAAACAAAAATAGCACATCATTAAATAAAAACACTGGCACTTTTTTACACTTAGCAATAAAAATAACAATATTTCTGAAAGGATAGAAAAAGAGTGAGTGGTTACTTGTCGCCTATGTGTCAAAAGAATGTCAGGTGGTACACTTTCTGGACTTGAAATAACGGCTATGTATTCACACAAAAGGCTAAGGTATAAAATTGCACATATATCACCATGATGGATGTGTTTGTTTGGATTATTGCAACCCTTTTCCTTATCATCGACGGCTTCTCCCAAATGTAAACATAAAAACCGGGGACACCAACGTTGATAGTAAATGGTGCCCCTGTGCAAGTTCATCTCGGGTGCCACAGAAACACAGCCCTTTCACTGATTCCAAACAAACGCCATCGGGAACTATTTGGTGTCTTGGTCCGTGTTGAGGGAAACCTTTACTGTGAGTGACTGAGGAAATTGGAAATGTTGTGACTATGCCAGTTTGAACTGCCTCAAGCACGATGACAGATATGAAAACTGGGTTCTGCTTCAAAACGTCTGCACACTTTTATCTTGCAGAGTTCTTAAAATCATCTTTCATGAGTTTAAATTTTTCCCCAATTTATGTTAAAACAATATCAACAATTTTGAATCAGATAATTATGTCAAATAATTAAAATTCATGAATCTTTATCACAATGTACTTTTACAAAATATTTTTGAATCCAGTTTTCATAGATTTGCTTTGATGTGTTAGAATGTTCACAGTGTTAATTCCTTTAAGGTCTGCTTTATCTTCCCTTTTCAGACGTATTCATGTACAATGTCAACATGCAGAAAGACATACACGCATTACTAAGCAACTATACACAATGTAGTGCTCAGGACATACACAGGCGTGTTAATGATGCCACACGAGCTGATGCTACTAGTTCACAACTTTTTTCTAAATATTTTTGGTCTTTTAAGCGTTTTCTCAAACATGTTTTCCCTTTCTTTTTCATATGATATGTCGGTATGGCGCTACAGTAAAAGGCATTACATGGGAAAGTCTCTGGGAAACGTAGTCACTAGTGATACTTGGAGCTTCGGCTGCTTTTATCAGACTGCGCTGCACCTCTCCGTCCACCTCCAGCCTCTGACTTTCCTGCTGTGTTTCCTCTTTTCTCTTCACTAGTTTTGTCTTTGACTTTCACTCCTTCTTGTGACCCCCCTTTGATTGGCCCCAGTACAGTTTTGGCCACACAAGTGAGTTGAGTGACAAAGCTGTTTTTATCTCCAGGAGACACAGGTCTGGATTTGCTCGAGGATGGAGAGGGAGCACAAGAAGACGGAGACATTGGGTTTTCCTCCAGCGCCTCTAAGTGGGCTCTCTCCTCTTTACCCGTACGATAGCTGCTGTTTGGTCCTGGCTGCTTCTCAGATTTGTTCCTTGCTGGAGCCTGCGTGACTCCAGCTTGGACCTGCGCTGGTGCTAGTGGTGCTTGTCCTCTAGATTTGCCAGTCTTCTCAGTGCTATCCATCTTTTCGGACGATTCAGAACCCTTGCGTGACTTGGCCGCACTTGTCTCTGTGATTTTCTGTGAGTTTGCTTTGTCAGAACCAGGTTTTGTTTTGTCTTCCACCTTGTCCTTAGCTTTATTCACACCGTCAGCCTGCACACTTTGCAGCTTGGCGTCTTGTTGCTTAACTTTAGTTGAACTTTCTGCTCCTGAACTTGGGCCATCTTGCCGTTTACTTTTATTTGGCGGGTCAGTATGCAGGCTCTGTTTGACGTCCTGCTTTGTCTTTGCCACGTTTTCGGTCGGCGTCAATTGCTGCTTAGAGTCTTGTTGCTTGTTTTTACTTGCGTTATCCAGGAGTACATTTTGTTGTCTGTCCTGCTGCTTACATTTAGCCACGTTATCCGTCTTGCTATGATGTTTCTTCTCATTAACCCCAGGGTCGAGCTGCACGTTCACTTGTTTGACTTCTTGCTTTTTAACTTTGGTCGCACTGTCCATTTGCACATTTTGCTGCCGGTCACTTTTCTCATAATCCTTAGAGACCGTTGACTCGCACTGTGGACTTCTGGCATCATTTTCCGCATGGCTAGATTTCGTTTCAGCAACAAATTCGGTTTTCTTTTCTACAAGCATCGCAGATTTTGCCATATTGGTATTACTAGTTTGTGTTGCTTTAAGATCGACATTTTGAGTGTCTTTCGCTGTGGTTGTGATTATAGATTCACGGCTCAGCGGCGATTCCTGACGTCCCATTCTCCTTGAAGGTTTTAACCCGGCAATTTCTCCCCCCAGTGGCGGCGAGGGGGATGGCGATGATGATGATGATGATGGCGAGGGAGGAGCAGGCCCGTTTTCCCCTTCGATTTCCAGCAAACTTTGTAAGCTATGTTCACAGTGAAAGGAATCTCTCCTGTAGTCGCCGTGAGTCACCTCCAGGCTGTGCTTACGTAGGGACACTCCACCGGTCAGCGGAGACGGAGAGGATGATGATGATGAGGACGAAGGCAGGATGGGGGTCCCAAGCTTCTCTGCAGACTGCACCCGCTGGAGCAAAGGGGACCTGGGAGTAGGATGTCATGATTATTGTGAGAAAAAATACCACGGTTTAACAAATATTCGCGATTATGGCTCAAAGTACCGTAAAAACTGAAATGTTAATGAACTTAATTTGTCTAACACCATTTTACAATACCTCTTCTATGTTCACAAGTGCATGCTATAAATAGTGAGTCCTAAAACTGAGTTGTTTTATCTATAACCCTAAAGGCAGTGCATCTGATTTATCCAATGTAACTGATATGTCTATATCAAATCAACTAATTAATTATGTTGATTCAAACAAAAATAGGATATGCAAATGGTACAAATTTAAATCAGGAAAAATAAGGCCATTTCATTCTTCATGACCTGATTCATTCATTGGTTATTTTTAAAGTTGTATGATTATATGTGATCTGAAAATCCTGATTATGCATTAACCCAATACTCTTCCCCACCTGGGAGGCTCGGCGCTCTTGGGACGAGGCCGTGACACCGGGGGCGAGGAGTGGAGCTTGGCGGGGAAGGTCTGCGTGGTGTTGGAGCTGCCCACACAGTGTCCAGAGAGGGGAGGAGGGGAGGACGTGGTGGGAGAGGGCGTGTGGGCCAGGGGGGACAGGGGGATGTTGCCCGCGGACTTGCAGCGTGCTGATCGGTACTGGCGGTGCAGTTTGGGGGAGAGGCCGTGCAGGGAGCTGGGCCTCATGTGGTGGGAGGTGGCGGGGGAGTTGGGAGTGCTGGAGGCCGGCGAGCTGCTCTGAGATGAGTTGCCTGCAAGAGAAACGGACAGAAATACTCTGTCAACACCTGAGTCCTCCTTCAAATTTCCAAATCCACAAGTCCAGACCTAAAGCAAGCTGTTTTTTGTTATGCGCACTAGGATTCAGATATTTTAGAAAAGGCAAGGCAAAAGAAAAACAATTTACATAATTGAACAGAAAGTGAATAAATAAGTAAAAGAAAATAAAGTAAAGTAAAAAGAAAAAAAAAAAAGAAAAAATACAGTATCTGTTGGACTATTAAGCCCACCTGTAGATAAACTGCCCCAGCAACATTTTAAGAGACAGTACATTTCGATCACTTATAGGCCGCACTTGTATATAAGCCACAGGTTCATATATCAGCTATGATACTTATAGCTGATGAGAATTTATTATATCGTGCTTACACATAGGTTCCTCGTGTTAGGAAAAGGCATATGGGTTTTTAGAGTATTACAGTAATTAAGTTGAAACATATTGAATACCCTTTCCACTATGTGGAACTTGTTGACAAATTATTACAATTATTACATTTAGCTAGTCCACCCATATCCTCGGAAAATGCTGCAGTCAGGTCTGTATTCGATCATCATGAACGAAGATGTAAATGTACCTAGATAAGGCGCTTCGATGGTGCGGTAGTTCTGGGTGGGAGATCGAGCAGACAGGCCGTGTGTCGGGGAGCCGGGCAGACTGTCTCCGGACGACAAGGAGCGGTTCAGCGAGGACAGACTGCGGCTGGTGTGGAGCAGGTTGGACTGTTTGGTGATTTTACGGAACAGCGAGTTGCGTTTCTTACTGAAAGTCAAAACAGTAGGTTATCATTACTATGCAGCATGAAAATGGAAACATGCTTTTTTTATCCCACTTTATTTATCCAATCACTGTAAAAAGTGAAAAATAATAAGCAAAAAATTGCTCAAATTCGGCAAGTCTAAATGGAGTTGTCCCATTAGTCTGAAGACTGAGAATGTACTCAAATAAAGACACAAACAACTCTATTCAAGCAATAATTACCTTATTTTTTATAATATTTTTGCAGGGCACTACACACTATTATACAGAATGATAGGAAGCACCACTGACAGGGGTGTCCTCTGGTCACTTACTCCGGTCCCTCCTTGGCAGCCATCCTCTTACTGCGGCGAGCCATCTTGGATTTATAGCTGGTCTTGCGAGCTGGACCCACTTTAATGGAGGTGTTCTCAAATGGGGTCGTTGTCACGGTCACTTTGCTCCCGCTCTAAAAATGTCATAAACAAATAACATTTTAGAACAACTTTAATGTATTGATGGCAAAATTTTACTCTTATAGTTTTTAAATACTATATTATTTATGTATATATTCTCACCTTGAGGATGAGCTCCACCACTTCTGTGTGAACGAGTCCGTGGACCGACTCTCCGTTCACGTGAGTGATGAGGTCTCCTGCACTGAGCCCGGCCTCCTGCGCTGGCCCCCCCTCTTCCACGTGCTGCAAACACAGTGTTGGTGTTACTTTAGACCATGAAAATGTGACTTTAAGTTAACTTTACAAAATAAAAATTGCAGTACGACGTTTCGGTGTTACGCCTTGAGCAGGTAAATATTCAACTTATTATTATTCAACTGAAGCTGTACAGGCCTCTCCTCCAACACACCCGATCTCTAGTAGTTGATGTGCGAATCATCCATTTATGGTGGGTAGGTAGGTAGGTAGGTAAGCTTTATTTATGATCTTTTAGATTGTGAAATATTATTTGAAAATGTATTAGGCGTCCGCATGAAAATCCATATGCTACCACCAGAGAGAGATTTTTTGTTTTTGTTTGTTTTTTCAAATTTGAAGATTGCCGGATGTAAATACCATTGATTGTAAAGACTGTTATTTCACCTGAGAAACAAATGAAATCACCGGAACAAATAATTTAGGTGCAATACTTTTGTTTTAAAAGGCAGAAAACTGCTCTGAGCTGTGATGTCATAGTGGTACAATTAAAGATTTGAGAATATAGACAAAAGGGGCAGAATGATATGTTTGCGCCTTGAGGCAGGAGGATCTCGTGGTCGACTGTGTCGAGAAGTGTTACAGTCGAGCTGTACAGGCCTCAGCACTCCCTACACCCGCTCGTCTCAGGAGGATCTCGTGGTCGACTGTGTCGAACGCAGCACTCAGATCCAACATTACTAAAACTGTGACTTTTCCTGTGTCGGTGTTAAGTCGGATGTCATTTGTAACCTTCACTAGTGCAGTCTCAGTGCTGTGATTGGCTCTAAAGCCGGACTGGAGCGCATCAAACGAACTATTAGTTACTAAGAATTCTGTAAGTTGTTGGTAAGCAACTTTTTCCAGAATTTTTCCCATAAACGGCAGATTTGAAATGGGGCGATAATTCTTAAGAACTGTGGCATCTAGACTCCTCTTTTTTAGGAGGGGTCTGATGACTGCCGTTTTCAGGGCCATTGGAAATGTTCCAGATGAGAAAGACATGTTCACTATTTGTGTGAGCAAAGGTAAAAGACTGCTCAAAACAGACTTAAAGAACAATGTTGTAACATGGCAAAAGATGTCTCAGTTTCATAACATCTTTATAAGTTGTAGCAGATATGATTTATGGCTTACCCAAACCATGTGATGCACACTGTAGACGTCACTGTCGCCCATGTAGACTCTGATGGCCCTGAGGGTGAAGCCGTACTTCTTGCCCGAGCGGTGGATAGTGATGGGGGAGTGTAAGACGCTGACCATGGGGGAGTAGTCCCTGCTGGGAGAGGAGTCTCTAGACGAGGCGTTGGATGAAAGCGAGCGAGGAGACATGGGGCTGGCCAGAGGAGACGCTCCATGTTGCTCAACTACACACAGAAATGAACTCATTGACTGTTTATATTGTGTTGTGTGTTGTGTATTTTATACGACATTTACCAGCAGGAATGATGACGGAGAGAGCTGTAGCTGAGGCAGACTTGATAACTTTGCGTTTTTCCCCATCTGTAGTGAGCTGGTGGTGATGGGCCCTGCGCAGGACCAGGTCAGTGATGGCCCCCCGCGTCCCTGGGGCATCTGGAAGTCCCAGAACTGTGGCACTGACCGGCAGAGGCAGGCCAGTGTCCGGTCTCAGCAGCTTTTCTGAATTCATTCATAAATCATAGATACTTTGAGTAAACGGCCTGTTACTATATTTTGGAGAAAATAGAGATAAGAGCAAGTGTGTTTTACCTCCTGATGCGATTGTAGCGCTCTCTTTCAGAAAAGCCCTCAGATCTGCTGGGCTGTTCCCAATAGCTGCGGCGCCCTCTAGTGACGTGCCCCTGGTCTTTATCGCGTTCTGGCGGTTCTGCTCTGGGTCTGAGGGGAGTCTGTGTGGATCCATGAGGGCAGAGAACCGCCTCCGGACTCCAGACGGAGGACTGGAGTCGCTCTCAGTGAACGACGACTCTGAGCAGGACAGACGCTTCCTGTGCCACAACAGACACAAATAATTAGAAAAACACAAACGACACAAATGTGTAACTTGTTCAATCATTCAGTAGCCCCTGCACCGTTGTGTTTGAATAGTATTTTTGAATACATTTAAATTATTTAAACTGCAGGATCTAAACCACAGCAATCATACATAGGAAACAATGATAAATATATAACTATAAAATAAAAATACCTCAAAATGTAAGTGGGATGTTCCATTCTGAGTTGTGTGTTATATGTCCAATTCTATGTGTAAAAACCTCCCCCCTCCATTTCAACACATAAACTTCATCCATGTTTATATGAAGATGAAGTTATTATGTAACAAATATGTCAGCAGCAACTTCAGAGATTGAACAAGACTGATCCATTCCCCCATTCCAACCTGAATCATACTAATGCTGGATGAAGGCTGTACATCAGGTATACAAAGTTTAAACATCAGGTTGACATTGAAACCCCCTTGAATTCAAACATAAAAACCCTCTTTTCTTGCCTCTGTTAGAGCCTGCTTCCTTTCCTTCTTTCAGCTTTCAGGCTATTTTGTCTAAGTGCAATGTTACTCAATTTAAATCATCATGTTTCATATTCCACTCACAGATCACTCACTGATCCAGTCCTCCAGCTCTTGTCCCGCAGTGTCAGGCTGCCCAGGCTCTCCCTCTTGGCCATCCTCTCCACTCTGTCCTCCCGCGGGCCTTTGTGCTCTCGGAGCGTGACGCCATGGGACTTATGCTCCAGCTGAGACAGGTGTTCCATGCTGCTGTAGACCTGCGGGCACAGCACACTCACTCCACATCTGCTCCTCTCTCACACTTCTCCTGCTCTCTCTCTTCATCACAGACTTATTTGTACCTTGCTGAAGCGCGGCGAGCACGACTGAAAGCGGTGAATTTCCACGGGCTCGTCGTCATTAGTGTCGTCCTCATCGTATGATTGAATGTGATGGTAGCGATCAGAACGGGCTGAAGGGACAAGGACCAGAAACTGTCAAAAGCAAATCTTTGTAGAACTACATTATTACTCCATTCATCTGATCATTCTGTTCTGATAATTCACTATTTTCTAATGTAATGTTGTTTTTCTGTTAGAGGGGTTGATCTCTGGAATGATAAATAGATAGATAGATAGATACTTTATTGATCCCTGTAGTAGAAATTCAGGAAGGATAGCACGGATTAACTTAAATCGTGTAATTTACTTTTCCACTTAAAAAATAAGTATAACTATCATTTTGAACTGCTACTTGAACTCAGAATCTTGATTTTTATAAAGTGCTTCTGTAAATTCTATTTTATACGTTCACTTATACTAGTTATACTTGAAAAAAGGGTAGGCAAAATAAACATTAGCTTCAGCCTACTCCTTTCTGCCATAAATGTACTCTTCTGTAACAATGTGTAAAATTGTTCAAACTAGTCACTTTACCTGCTGCTATTGTTACAATTGTTTATTCTGTTCATATTCTCTGCTGCTAAAGTATAATATAAACGTCTGTAAAAACCTCATGATGCTGCTGACTGTAGTGTATAGTGTAGTGCAAGTCCAATCATACCTCCAGAGTTTCCTTTTAATATCTTATTATTGTATTATCTATTATCTTAAATAATAGATCATATTTGATGTGTGCATAACCTGAGTGCTCTGAGTATTCTGCTGTAATGTGCACAACTATGACATTGAAATTTCCCCACTGAGGGACGAATAAAGTTTTATTGGATCTAATATTATCTAAATGTGATTTTGCTGCTGTGAACTAGTCACAGCACATATCACATGCACAACACTATAATATATGGTATTATCATGGCTCATTGTAAACTTGCATAGCAGATTCAATGCAGCCAGTGTTATTCGACTGATTCCTTGTGTCCTTGAGGGAAGTATAGTCCTAGCTTTGACCCACAAACATGTAGAGCGTGAGTAGACTTACTGTCAAAGTAACTGGTGTCCTCTTCAGACTCCAGGTGAGGAATAAACTCTGCCTTCTGTCGGAGCAGGCTGTTCCAGTCTACTTCCGAGAAGAACGGGTGCTGCTTCACCTCAAACGCACCTCCTGCTCAAACAAAGAGAGACAAGAATGAGAACAAAGGGAAGATATGGGTCCTAGAGAAGTAAGTACGTAAGTCCAGTCCTCAGGTCTCTGCACTGGCTCCTGTGGCTCAGAGAATAGACTTTGAAACAGATCTGTTTGTTACAAGTCTCTCCATGGCCTCGCACCAAAGTACATTATTGACACGTAAGTGCCATATGAACCAACTCGGACTCTGAGGAGCACTGGGACTGGCCTCCTGCTGGTGCCAAGAGTCAGGACAAAACATGGGGAGGCAACATTTCATGCAACTAAAATCTGGAACAGTCTTCCTGAAAATGTGTGTCTTTTCAAACAATGTTGAAATCCAGGTTAATAACTGTTCTGTTCAGCCGTGCATACAAGTAATTTATCTTTTTTAATGTACAATGATTATTCATGATTTTAATGCCTTGTGTGATTGTCTTTCCGGTTTTGTTCAGCACTTTAGGTTGCCTTGTGTAGGACAATACAAAAACATTTGCAAGAAGAATAGTGAGGGTTTTGTTCTTTTAAAATGAAACGCTGCATGTGACTGACCGGTGCCCAGTCGAATGAGAGGGTCCGTCTGCAGCAGAGCGGAGATCAGGTCCTGTGCTTCGATGGGTAGAGCCTCATCCCCGACAGGCCAGTCGATATCATCTGCAAGACACAATTCATTCTTAGCCAATTGACTTGATCATTTCAATGGCGGTTGGTTGCTCTATAATGTCCTCACCAGTTATGACTTGTCCAAACAGCTCTTCGGTAGTGTCTCCAAAGAAAGGCACACAGCCCACTAAGAACTCGTAGAGGATGATGCCCATCGCCCACCAGTCCACGGGTTTGCCATAGCCCTGCCGCAGGATCACCTCTGGAGCGATGTACTCCGGAGTACCACAGACCTGGCAACACATGAACAAGATGTTAAACCAATGTTCTTTTTATTTGACTCATTTTCAAAACTTAAACAAAAACAAAATAATGTGTGCACGATTAATCACAATCAAATGAAAAAAGCAATTTCTGTGGTCGTAATTAGCAAATGACAAAACTGGAACCATTTAAATTCTTTCCAGACAAAAAAATAACTTGAATTTGTGAAAACGTCTCTTGATTTGAGTATATTTTGAAGATTTGTCATTGGAACAAGCAAGTGTGTCATGGTGTGGGATTTATCATTTTGTACTTTGGTTTTATTTTGACATTTGTTCTCTGTGGTTTGGTTTTAGTTTTACTTCCTGTCTGGTTTTCCCCTGTCTTGCGACACGGTGGCTGAGTGGTTAGCACTCTCGCTTCTCAGCAAGAAGGTTCTGGGTTCGAATCTCGGTTGGACCAGGGCCTTTCTGAGGGGAGTTTGCATGTTCTCCCCATGTCTGCGTAGGTTTCCTCCGGGTACTCTGGTTTCCCCTACCACTAAAAACATGTACAATAGGTCTGTGTCTCCTGTACAGGCCCCTCCCATCTCTGTGTGGAGTGAGAGACTAATGCCCAAAAATAACAATTGTAAACCGCCTTGAGACTCTGCAGTGAAAAGGCGGTATATAAATAAACATTACTTAATTACTTACTTGATTTTCTGCCCCGCCCGGATGTGTTTCACCTGTGCCTGTGTCTGTATGTACCCTGTGCTCCTCTCCCCTTGTTTCTAGTCAAGTTCTGTCTTTGTTCCTGGTTCCTTATTTTTTAGTTGTTTTCACCTGGACTTTTATTTGATTAAATTATTTACTGAGTCCTTCATTCACCTCTCCTCGTGACAAAGTGTCTTTCATCTGGTTGTCGGGCAGAAAAATCTCCTGTTTGTCTTAATCTTTACAGTATAAATCAAAACTGTCAATGTGTTCCACAACTTTGATTCTGATTCTTTCTTTTGTCTGATTTTAACAACACTTGGGTTTTTTGTCCTTTTTTACTTTCCCTTTGTGTTCTGTTCTGTTTCTGTCTGTATGTTTTTGTTTGTCATTATCCCTATTACTGTTATTACCTTGGACTTGTGTATGTCTTTGTATGTATTTGCATGTTTTTCTTTGTTTTTAAATAGTAATCAAATATTTAGTACGGTGAATAGATAGCTATGGTCTACGCAGGTGGACAAACACAAAATAAAATATACAAGAAATATCTGGCCCTCACAGTCAGAAGGACTTCGATTGTGTATCCGTGTTATGCCTCTAATACGTTCTGATTGTCTCTTGTTGCGACACGTATGCCTTTCCATGTGTGACGTATTTGTGACGTAACATAGACCGTTTACAGCTTGTCCTGACTTTGTTCTGTCTGAAAAATAACTGAAAGAAACTGAGAATAAACTTCCAGGTGTCTCTGGTGCGTAAAGATCCCGTTCTGTGAGGTTAATTTTCCACAATAGGTTGGAAGTCTATAAACAATAGTGTAATAAGATAAATCGCTTCATATGCACACACTTGAATTTTCTACTGGATATCACGCCGGTGAGCAATATCACCATTAGATATGAAAACACTGAACCCCCAGGACCATTTTGCACATAACTATCAAAAAGAGCAGTTCTCTCTCTCTGTGTTCGGGTTGTTTTTGCTCATATCTGTGACGTGGAGATGAAAGAGATGCTGAGGTTTTCAAGTGCAAATGAACAGAACTGATGGAGCCGCGTCAGACTGATCATGAGATACAGCCTGAAATAAAACATCTCCAACTAACCAAACTAATGAATAGAATAGGAGAGACCATTGTTCTCCCAAGTATCCTCCTCGGCGCAAAATGACACGGAATACGTTTGCATAGAAATGAGAACATCAAAGACAGTAGCAGCGTGCGTCGTTACAGGAGAGAGTGTCCTGAGGATTAGTTACACTGCATTATTCATACTTGTTTATCCAGGAACTCCCGCGTATCCTTCTCAATGTGCCCTTCGTACAGATTTGTGGTGAGATTCATCAGGCCGATCTTGGACAGGCCGAAGTCGGTCAGTTTGACGTGGCCCATGGAGGTGATAAGAAGACTGAAATCAGAAATCGAAGAGAAATATATAGTACACATTTGTTAAAAGCTGATTCACAAAGATGAGTCTGTTTAGGGAAGGAAAAGGAATGACTGAAGGATTTGTATCTGCATCTATTTATGATTTGAATCCCATGTGTGATTTTAATGTCTTAAGGTTTTTAATTACTTGTGTTATTTTCTATGTTTTTATTTTTTCCCACGATCTTAATTTTTGTTTTACTCATATTTTCTTATGTTCATGTAGATTTTAATGTTTATGATTTATGCCTGATGTGATATGGGTTGTGAGGCGCTTTGTATTGCCTTGTGTAGGAAAGCTGTTCTAAAAATAAAAGTCGATGGATTGATTGATTGAAAAGGCCTTTACTTACTTGGCCAAAGGAAATTACAATGTGCTATGTTTATTGTCATGTCTATACCCTTTTATTATACACAATGTAATAATAATAGACTGTACATTAGGAATGGACTGACCGAGTGCTGACGTCACCCATAGTGTTCGCTGAATGCAAGAGAAGCTAATTAGAGCATTAGCTAGCTGTAGCCAATTTCCTTATATGAGAATGTGGTAGCTTTGCACAGTAACAGGGGCATATGTGTTGCTATGATGGTTGCTAAGGCATCTGATTGATCAATGTATATTCATATGGCTCTTACATGGATTTACAAAGACAATATCCACACAAAAAAAACCCCAGGATCATAGAGGGCGCTGGACCACGTTTAATTTTGTACATGAACTTAACTTTGTACATGAGCACTTCCCTATTGGGCGTCATTGAGCTAGGGGGCTAGGATTGTCCATCTAGATGCAGTCTATGCTAATACCTGGAACAGTCTTCCTAAAAATGTGAAACTGGTTTCTACTTTAACAATGTTCAAATCTAGATTCTGTTTAGCTGTACATACACAAGGGTTCAAATGAATTATTTCAAAAGTACGTTATGTGGTTATTTATGATTGTCCCTTTATGATTGTAATTCTTCCTCTCTTGTTTTGTATATCACACTGAGTTGCCCTGTGTATGAATTGTGCCATGCCAATAAACTTGCCAGTAGCCTAAAAAAGTGCACAGGGTGAACTCACTTGTCCGGTTTGAGGTCACGGTGCACGATGCCGTAGTTGTGCAGATATTCTAAAGCGAGCACAGTCTCAGCGAAGTAAAGTCGCGCCATCTCCAATGGCAACGCACCGATGTTCTTCAGAAGAGTGGCACAGTCCCCACCTGCCAGACACCACAGAAACCACAAACAATCGTTGTCTGAACTCATGTTGGTTGAGTGGCACATTATGTTTTATTGTAACTTGTGTTTTTTTAGTTCTTCCTCGCAAATGCAGGAGGGAAAAAATATGCCATTGACAAAAATACAGAGCAGCGAGTACTGAGGCGTGACTTTGGGGTCTGTGTGTGATAATGTATATACTGTATGTAAGGTCCCCCACAGCATCACTTGATAAATATTGTATCCAAATTATTGTCAAAAACGTTTAATATAGCAATTTCAAAGCTTGTGACCATTTCTCTTTTTATAGTAACGCACACTATATTTACAATTAATTTACTTCCTGCTTAACCACAGTCAAAAAAAAAGTCTCTGCCTTGAGAATAGCATTGCAAACATATTTCATTTCATTTTTAATTTATTTCAAACATGCACAAGAAATACAAACAATTATTCACCGGTAAAAATATATTTATAATCAGAGTAAACAAGAAAACCTGTGCACGGTTTTAAAAGGGATTGGTCGTAAACAAAAAGCTTATTTTTATCCAATCCCCTTCTGGTAAAAAAAATGGATCAAACCTCTACAATACCCTCCAACGAAACACATGACAGTGATATGACACACACACACACACACACAGACACACACATGAACACCAATGGCAAGAGACAAGACCAAGACACATCGACCCTGAAGATTTGTCATAGGAACAAGTGAGTGTCTCTTGTCTTGTTGTCGGGCAGAAAAATCTCCTGAATTTCTATACAGTATGAATGTGTTGCACAACTCTGATTCTTTCTTTTATCTGTTTTCCTTTTTCCTTGCCTTTTTGGTTGTGTTCTGTCTAATGTTTTGTTGTTTGTTTCTGCTGTTATTACCTTGGATCTGTGTGTGTATTTGCATGTTTTTCTGTCGTTAAAAAGTAAAAAAACACAATTAAAAATCACACAGGTAAAATAAATTCATTTAAACGTTAAAATTACACAAGGGATTAAAAAAAGAAATAACCAGCGTACCCTCCACGTACTCCATGACCATGCACAGGTGTCTGCGGGTCTCGAAGGAGCAGAACATGGAGACCACAAAGGGGTTTTCGGCGAAGGTCAGGATGTCCCTCTCCACAAAGGCCTGCTGGATCTGGTTCCTCAGCATTAGGTTCTGTTTGTTGATCTTCTTCATGGCAAAACGCTGCCGAGTCTCCACGTGTCGCACCAGATACACAGCTCTGCTCAGAAACACACACAAACACAACACAAGTTAGAGAAAAAGGAGAAGAGAGAGACACAACGAAACCGTAAACGTGTGTTATAGTGTCATAGTTTTAGAGATTATGAATGAAACACAATCATCCCCCCCCCCCCCCCCCCCCACTCATCGTTAGCGTTTGTGTGACGACATACACTGTCAACTAAACATGTTTTCAAGACCTGGGGAGATCTCAAATGTCAATGTCAAGTTTGTTTGTATAGCGCATTTACAACAAGCAGTGCTGTCCAAAGTGCTTTAATTAAACATGAAATTTAAATATATGGTATAAAAACGCAATAAAAGGGACATGGGCTGTTACAATATAAAAGCGTAAAATGTGCAGATAAATGGCAGCCCAGGAATTTACATTTTTGGCCAAGAGGAATGTGCAGCGTTACCATCAGAGGATACAGAACCTCATCCACAACTATGTGACTCCAAGCGATCATAGATGTTAACCCTTTAATGTTCTCTCCTTGAAGAAAGCCATAAGAGCACTTTGAGTTGCCCTGTGTATGAATAGTGCAATACAATTAAACTTGCCTTGCCACAAAACAATTCATTTGTTTTTATGTTGTGGATTTTTCAACCCCTAGTTTTTTATTATTTTTTATTAGAGGTCTCTACCAAATGGTTGAGATGCAGTTTGATGGAAAAAGTGCCTAAAACTTCAGGAAAATTTCAGTTCCAAGCTTCAAGTAGATATAGTGACTCAAAAAGTGATCTGCCAAATGATTGAGAACTGGGGGATGGAGAATTCTGCTCAGGGTCAAAAGAGGAGATCATGTTGTCATTACAGTTCAAAAATTGACAAAAAATGGCTTTATACAACCATAATATTCATTCATGATCTCAGAAATAGTGCCAAAAAACCCTAAACCTCTGCCAGGATGTGAAAAGTTTCAAGCACACCTGTATATTGTTTAGTATGTTTATTTAGTACACTATTATATGTATTATGTTTGTATATCATGTGATTTTGCATGAAAACCAAGAACCAATCTTCCTTTGTTTCACCTCATTTTCTACATGCTCATATTCCACTTACCCATATGCTCCGTTACTGATCAGCTTGATGTTCTGGAAGTCGACTTCACCCGGAGGCTTCATCGTTTTAATTTTTCCCTAAAAATCATATAATTAAGCAGGTGAGTATAAATATTTCATCCACAGCCTCTCATTAGATTTGTGCTTTGTTAGTCGGAGTACCACAGGCTGCATCTAATTAACTTTTTTGTCAACGTAGTCAAATTTGGCAGTTGGAGCGATGCCTGGAGCGAGAAGGAGTGCTGCTTTAGAGCGGGGGCATAAATTAGCTAAATGAGATGGATATCGTTATGGCGCGTGATCAGCAGATGGGGCCAGTCACAGTCAGAGCAGCCAGACGAGGCGTGTGCTGTTAATCCGCAAAGTAAATGAGTAAATAATAATGATCTAATGCATCACCTCGGTGGAGTCGTCAGTCTCAGGCGTCACGGGGCCCTCGCTGTCGTAACTGTCTAGATTCACCATTTCTGCCAAAAAAAACACACAGCATTTACAGCAGAGAGAATATTGAGCATGGAAAAAATATAGTCTTCTTTTAGTTTGTCATTGTAATTAAAGTTTTCACTCTTACTGGGTTGTTAAAGTCAAAACAATTACAATCTAATGTTTGTTGCCAGAATCTTACAGCATATGAAATGATACACATGCAGCTCCTAAACACTGATACAGATGCAAACCACCTGCTGGGGTTTAGCTAAAACTACAAACTCTGTGTATTACAAATTGCAGTTTGTTTTAAAATAATGCTGAAAGTCAGTGAGTAAGTGAGTAATCTTTATTTTTATAGCGCCTTTCACAGACCTGAGTCACAAAGCCCTTTTATAATTGTGGGCATTTGTCTCTCACTCAACACAGAGATGGGAATGAGGAAAGAAACTGGCAACACAAACTAAACCCACATTCTGCTCCCTGATTGGATAATCGGCTTGAAAACCCACATCATGTCCATTGTATTTTTCAGATTTAAGAATTACTCCCCCTTAAACTGTTGTTAATAAAATGCCACATTTGATCATCTGTGGACACATATCAACTAGTAGATCTAATGTATAGTTAAAATATTACATAGGGTAAACAACAGCACATCAAGTAATATGTGCAATCTTTTGATATTTTTGTATGTTGATTATAGATTTACATTAAACAAAATAAATGTTATGCTACCATTGTGGGTAAATAACACAAATGGGAGGTTTTATGTACTGACTTAGGGTTAGGGTTAGTGGTATAGACTAAGGAGTGGCACAATACATTCATTATATCTCGTAGGGACAACATTTAATGCCACGATCTTAAAAATGTAAGACCTTGAATTTGGCTCCATCTCATGTGACACCTTTTTAAATGAATGGTTCTGGGGCCACAGCGTTAGAAAATTACAAGCTGTAGCTGTAAAGACATTCACCTTCGATGGGGTCCCGGGTTAAGCCCAGCTGATTGATGATGTAGCGAGGAATATCGGTCTTCATGAGGTGGCCCTCTTTGGCATGGTCCTCAGCTGCTTCCAACAGATGGTAGAACTCCTCTGGGTTAAACTCCTGTTACACAAATCACCCTTTAATCACACAGCAAATTTACGAGTCTTAAAAGAGCGAGAGAGGATCAGCAAAATGCACATTAACTGTACCTCAGCTAATGCCATTGCAATTCTGATGTCAAACACAACAATTACTGCAGAACATAACGACCATCGGGGTTATTGTAATCTTTGGCTCCAATCTTCAGCCTATTCTGTCACCAATCAAAGCTGAAGGATGAAGATTGCTTTGATGGTTCCCCATTTGTGCTGTCACTCATAATAAGTGCGTCAGTGCCCGTCTGACTCATCTATGGAGTCGTGCGAGGATGAAACAGAGCCATGTTTGAGTCCGAACAGAGATCTACCCCGCGCACAAACTTGGCCATTGTCACCGGCTCCACGGAGAGGGCGGTGGAGGGGGATGTCATTAGCCGGCTGTGGCAAGGTAAGTTTTCATCTAAATGCTAATTCTACCGCGACAGGCTGTACAGGCTCCTTTATGCATGCCTGGGTGGTTTTCTGTGCCTACCCCCACTGTGTAATATATCAGTGATTAAATAGTTATAATAGGCTGACAAATGAGAGAGTGTGCTCATGTTTATTAAAAGACAGTCAATTTGTCAAGACTTAAAAAGGACATGATCCACAGCTTTGTGTCATGGTGGACATTTTATCTCGTTTTTAAATTATGTGCGAGCTACAAGTTGGGTGACCTTATCGACGTGATCCTTTGTGTAGCTACAGTTGTGCTTGAAAGTGTACACGCCGAGAGGTCAGAGGTTTCACGCATTATTCGATCTTAAGAGGTTATGTGGAGCCATATACTTAAAGTCAGATATTGTCACATACAGTAATTGTGTTAACTGAGCCGCTGTGGGGAGATCTCAAACATGGAGTTCATGCAAGGCAGCTCTGGAATTTACAGGAATTGGTCTTTCACTGAAATTTTCCCACTGTGGGACGAATCAAAGATAATCTTAATCTTAATATAAATGTTCACCGTTTCATTTCATTAAAATGGGGGCGCAAGGAACATCAGTGCTTTAACCCCGTTTGACTTTTCACAAACAAATAAGCTACAGCTCTTTTAAAGCTTTGATTTTGATTAATTTAAAGTAGTGCTGTCCAAAATATCGCGTTATTAACGCGTTAACGCAAATCAATATTAACGGCGTCATTTTTTTTATCGCCATTAATTTTTTTTATAATTATTAAAAAAAAAATAAAAAAAAATAAATTTTTTTTTTTTTTTTTTTTTTTTTTTTTTTACTTTTTATTGCAGACAAACACATATACAGAAAAAAAATAGACACAAAGAAAAGGACTAGTTAAGATACATTGTAGACAGAGATTACAAACAATATGTAGTTGGAGATACAGGGGGCCAAAGAAGAAACCCAGAAGGGCACATAGGGGGGGGGGGGGGGGGGGGACATGAAGTGGGAGATGGGGGGGAGGGGTTAATAAAAAAGGCAATACAAGCAAACAGTATACAGTCATAGATATACCGAAAGTAAACAGAGAAACACTATAGAGTATTTACATGAACAAATTTACAAAAAAATTGTTTATCATCATCATAATGACACCATGATGTTTCTATACAGTCTATGGTCTATACCCACACATACACACACACACCCACACACACACACACACCCACACCCATAAACACACACACTCCACACACACACACACACACATTGAAGGGGCTTTTTGTTACCAATTATTTATTTTGTCATCCATTTATTGATGATTTTGCATCAAATGTTAGTGTGTAATATAACACTACACATTGTTTTCAATAAAAAAAGAAATTGCACACAGCACGCAAATGGGTGACTAATTTGCGATTAATCGCGAGTTAACTATGAAATTCATGCGATTAATCGCGATTAAATATTTTAATCGTTGGACAGCACTAATTTAAAGTTGTCTGAAGGTTCAAAGAAGCTAACATCCGTCTCTTATCTTACAGTTTTAGATTGTGTGCATTAGATCGACACCTCATCCGGCGAAGCTTTATAGATTAGCCTGTCACAACAACACATTTCCCTTGACGAGAATTTTTTGCGATAAACGATAAATATTGCAACACACAAGGCCAAACAGCATAAAATGGACAAGTAGACTATTTGGAGGACGAATAAACTTCTATTTCTTAAAACAATTAACACTGTTCTGTAACTGGGAGACGTTGAAACATAGTTAGTTTTCAGTGTGTCTTGATATGTGAGTCTGAAAGAAAGCTAAATGATGAAAACTTGTGTGTAGCTTGTTTTTACTTTTGGGCACAAGTTTCCAACATGCATTAGTCATACAAGGGAAAATGTAGGTACCCCAGCTTTAATTTAGTGAGCTTTAGTTTTAGTTTCAGTGCTTCATGAGACACGGGGAGACACGGGCAGCGTATTTATTGGGTGCACAGTCATTGGAAAACAGAAAACAACACGTTCAATTGGAAAACTACTGACAATACGTGATTTTGTGTGTTATCATTTCTAATCTCCAAATGCCTGCCTGGATGTGTAAACTATGAAAAAACTCTCTTCCTTTGTGGATATTTTTCTTACCAGACATTCCAAAAGTCGCGCCGGTCTGGAGATAATGATGAGCAGCCTCTTCACCATCTCTGTGATGAATGTAACCTCTGCACTCTCCGACCGCTCGATGGCCTGACGACAAACAGAAAGATATGAAAACCGCACGACAGATATGGTTTAGACACGTGTAAGAAAAATAAATAAAAAATGCACAGTGACAGCAGGACAAATGCTGCGAGATGGAGGTATCATCATCATCATCATCAGATAGACACAATCCCTTCAAATGGCCGCCCCTCATCAGTCTCTTTGAATACGGAGAGAATATGGATCTTTGCCTGTTATCTGCTCTCTCAAACAATAACCGTCGTTGCGCTCTCGTCTCTCCTGACAGCTCGCATCAGTCATGTCTTGAGTTGTAAAAAATCTACAGTGAGTTTATCTTCATCGCGTTTTGATTGACTTCTTACTCACACACACAAAAAAGTTTAGTTCTTTTCTCAATGGTGTAGGATCAGGATGTAGTGTGAGGCACAACAGGTGGTACCATTCAAGCTGAAACTTATTTTAAAGAATACATATCATGCCCCATTTCCACTAGTCCGACTTTGTACTTTTACCTTGTTTTATTTATGTACCTGTCTGGTACACACTGGGGACTTTTGCATATGGATTCCAATGTGGTTTTACTGCAAATGGAAAATAAAATGAATCTGACTTGGCCCTACTAGGGTCTACTCTACGCTACCTGGTTGCGTTTCAACTACGCTTTAGGATCTGATTCTGTATCCTAGCAACAAACCAGTATCCGGGAAAATTCTTTCAGCTGCACTTTACCCAATCAATGTCAGTTAGTAAACTTTACTACCTGTTTCGAACTGGATAGAGTCAGAGCCAAAAATGCGTTCCATCTGCAACCCCCTATTCTACCACCAGGGGAAGAAGTTGATTTTTTTTGTTTTTCTAAATTGTAAAATTACTGGCTGCAAACAAAGCCATTTGATTGTAAAGGACATAATTTCAATTGGGAAATTACCAAAACTAATTCAAGGGTGATGTCATAGTGGTACAATTACATCATAGACTGAGACAGGAGCTTTCAGACAGAAGGGGGAAAGGTACATGTTTGTGCCAGAAGTTTCTGATATTAGCGTGGATGGATCTAAAAACCACTCCAGCTCTGTTTTTGATGAGGGAACAATGTTGTAACATGTTTAGAAGCTCAAAACATTGATTTTGTTTAAAGTGCTATCTAATTCAAAGTGGTATCAGTGCATACACTTTCAGTCACACTCACTTCATGGATGAGTTTCTCCAGGTTTTCCTGCAGTTCGAAGAAGTAGACTGATGTGATGAGACCCTCCTGGGCTTTGGCGAGACAATCCCGAGCCAATTCAACAATCTGGTGGTGAATGAAACTCAGCACTCCGTCGGCCAGCGGGAGAGTATTGTCTGGAGAGTAGACTTTGATGAACTCGGCCAGACGCCCCTCCATTTGAGTGGTGGCCTGGGAAGAAGACAGGGAGCAAGTCCAAATCTCTCTACGAAATGTTGAAATAGAGAGCATTATAGCATTTTACTGTATTACAAAAATGTGAGCTACTGTCTGTATAAATGTGCCTTGACCCTAATCTTTTATATCCATCTTTTTAGCAACTGAGCGAGGATAAAACACTATACAGTCACATATTTTGTTGAATATCCGGTATATTACATTCCATCAATTTTTTTATTGTATTTTATTGATTTTATATGGGCTTTATAGCTGCCACTGTGTATTTCTCTGAGCCAAAATGCAGTATCAAGCACTAACCTTTGGAAAGCGCTCTTTGTACACATGGTTCATCATCACTATCTCGTTGTCATAGCAGGAGGAGGACCGCCCCGGGCTGAAAGAGAAACAATATACATCGAGATAATGATTCAATGTAAGAGGATGTGCGTGTTTGTGAGTGATTTGGACAGAAGTTAAACAATATAATAATTTCTACAGTGTTGTTTCTAACATTTAAACTCTATTTCAATATTAATGAATAGAGGAAATACACATTTTATACAGAGGAATCATTATAAAGCCTGTCATTTTCAACGCAAAAATAAGTGCAAATAAAACAATCGTGCCGACACATTTTTTACCAGAATATGTTTTATGTTAGTTCTAATTCAATCTTGAGAGACTCAAACAGGCAAAACATAGTATCAGAATTGTATGTTGGTTAGCAGGTAATCTGACACTGCATGAATCACACATATGACACTAAAGACAATGGGCCTCATTCACGAACGGTTCTTAGGAACAGATTTGTACGTAAATCCTACTTACGCGGTTTTTACGAAGAAAGTGGCATTCACGAATATTTCTCGTAACCAGAATTTCTCTTGGGCAAGTACAAATCCTACGAGTCCTCAGGAGCACTCGTACGCATTCAGTGCCGACATGTTCACACGCCGGGGTTGTCCTCTTTGGTGAAGTTGAATAAAAATACAACATTCCAGTGATATGTCCGTCATATCGATGTATGTATTTATTTATTTGTAGTAATCTTTATTAGTAATCTTTATTTATATACCGCCTTTTTCACTGCAGATCTGGCCTACTTTTTAATTCATTTTGAAATGAAATGTGCCAACGCTTTATCAAATACATTGGAAATCTTGCCGTGTATTAGTGACCCCTTCCTATTTATAGGGGGCATTTCTTTATCCACGGGCCACAGAACAACGGCATATATACTGCTGCTGCAGGAGGTTACTGGGTCCGCGCTGAGTCTCTGCGCTGGTCTCTCCCATGGATCTATACGGGTCTGCGCTGGTCTCTCCCATGGATCTAGACGGGTCTGCACTGGTCTCTCCATACGGGTGCTCCTGCATGCTCCTGGATCCATACGGGTCCGCGCTGGTCTCTCAAGTCTGGTCTATGCGGTCTATCTTCGGTCCGCGCTGGTCTCTGCGCACCGGTCTCTCCAGTCAGGTGTCTCCAGTCTATGCGGTCTCTCCTATAGGTCCGCGCTGGTTTCTGTTTGCTGGTCACTCCAGTCTCTCCTCGGGTCTGCATTGGTCTCAGCGCTGGTCCGCGCTGGATCTCCTCCCAGGGTCCAAAATATTTTGAGATTAATCTCAAAACATTTTGAGATTCATCTTTAAAATAATACATAATATATTTTTAAATTAAGCTCATAACATTTTGAGATTAATCTCATCATATTCTTAGATTAATCTCATAATTTTGCTAGTTCGACTTTATTATCATAATATTTTGACTTTTAAGTCAACATTTTATAACTTTATTCTCAGTCTGGTAAAAGAAGAAAAAAGGGTGACTCTTTTGCTCCGTGGCCTGTTGCTTTAGGCCTGTTGCTGTTTCCTCTGCCGTCTGCACACGGCCCTGCAGTCCCTTATATGGGCATTAGTGGGCGGTTACTTATGCTAAGTACCTATGCTAATGAAGCACCTGGCACGCGCGCTGTACTTACGAGGAAATGGGATTCATCAATCTGAGAGAACAGCTGCGAACAATTCAGCGCCTTACGAGTGCGTTGATGAATCCCACGTGGGGACTTCTTAGAAATCTACTTAAGGACAACTTGAGAAGAAAGTTGAGTAGTTTCTTACGAAGTTATTCGTGAATGAGGCCCAATATTTTCAAGATTACATTTACTGTACTGAACAGAATGCGGTTAAGATTTGGCGCTTAGACAACGGCAGAGCACTGTACGATTGCAGAAGGGGAAAGAGATTATGAGATGAAATCCCCCGGGGCCTAGACCCTGGTGGTGGTAGCTAGGAGAAGGATGAAGGAGCTGGCCTGGAACAAGGCGGAAATGGGGAGCGCTCAGAGCTGAGTTCTCAGGACCACTCTGAATTTGCGCTTAAGCTTAATTATAGATTTCTAAAATTTCTCACTCAGTAAATGTCAAATCTTGCCCCGTTCACATGCTGTTTTAATATCGATACTATCGATGCTAAAATGATACTAGTTTCACTCTATGGAACACATCAGGAACCTTCAAATCACTGCTCAAAACTCACAGGTTAAAAACTTTAAAAGCCTTTTTCATTTTAGTTTCATATTAATCTGTCCCTTTGTAAGTTTCAAGTGTCCAAAAAATGCTATGTACTGTAAGTATGATGTATTATTATTATTATTATTGTTATTATTATTCATTGATTCATATGTGAGTGGATGTGCGTGAGGAGAGCAGAGGTGCACGGACCTGAGGCTGCGGGAGCGAGGCCTCATGTGGGGGGAGCAGCGTCCTCCGTCGTCGTCCGTGATGCTCTCGGAACTCCCGAAATGTTTGGACAGGAAGTGCAGCTCGTCCATGGTGGGCTGGAAGGGCAGCTGGTGCAGCCGCTCCTGGGACGAGCTGGATGACTGAGGGAAACAAGTGGAGAACATGGAATGAGTTTAGTATTTTTGGACTTTATGGGGCATCTGAGGTTTAGCAGAGATATTGCCTGCTCACACAAACATCCCAAACACGAACTTTAATTTATGTCCTTGAACAACATGATGCAAGTGAATAAGCAAAATGATAATTCCCCAATATCAAGTATCCCACTATTGTGGTATGAAAGCTCACTTAAATATTTGTCATTTTACGGTTTATTTCTATTCTTGCAAGTGTGGGCTTGTATCCAGGTGTAGGCGATAAAACTGAGCTCCAGCTGCGGGCCTTTGGCATTTCAGTTTATGCGAAGGAAGCAGGAGAAATGTTCCAGGTGTTGTGTAAACCAGAGAGGAACTCTTTGAGAGACATAAAACACAGTCTCTATATTTTGATCATAGAGATTGACTGTTGGTTCATACAAACAGCTAGATTTTAAGGAATAAGACACAATAAATAAACACATGTGTTCAATATTATATCTGACATTAGAGCCATAATGGACTGTCCCAACCAGTGGGGGCGGGTCCCAGCTCAAAAGTGTCCAAAATGACGTGCGCTGACATGCTTGCAATACCACCCCGGGCCAATGGGGGTGGACCCGGGATAAGAATTAGCCAATGCTAACATATAGCATTGGATGTATTATATTAACTGGATAGGGTATTACTAGCTTGTAGCTGAATAACTCACGTGCTCAGGGGATTCTCGCGGTACTGCAGACTGAACCAGACTAAATTCACGTGGGCCACCCAGAAATTTTCCCCATAGAACTCAATGCATATTAAAACAGCTCGACCTCAGCTGACAGAGAACCCACAGCTTTCATAAAGATCGGATTTTGTGGGGATTTTAGTGTCCCTTGTCATCCTGAACTTTTTTTCTTCTTAAATCCTTTGGTTTTGTTTAAATCCACACTTTAGTGCCACAAACTCTGCTCCTCTGGCTCTCGCTCTAACTCCCGCTCTGAGGAACTGCTCTGATTGGTCAGAGCGCGGCCGAGCCCCTCTGTGCACGTGCGTGAGACCCGGTGTGAGACCCACACACGCGTGTTTGGCGCAACGCATTATGGGAGATCATCCACTGCGCAGAACCGGGAGGACCAGACTATGCCCAAATACAGGCGAGTTTCCCATAGATCTTTGCGAGTTTCAGGCAACTTCCGCTAATCTTTCAGCCCCCATGCCGTCACAAAGCGCCACTGAGCACAACCATTCATTTGAATAGGGCGCCATCTTGAATCGCCGGGGCTTGCCTCTCGAAAACGTCTTTACAGGATGGTCCAAAAGTTGGCTCTTGGCCCAAACCTCTGTTCCACATGTGTGTCAATGCTGAGGGGAGTGAATTTTTTGGACCAGTCTAGTTTACTTGCTGTGAATTTTTGAAGTCACTCGTGCCGGCGGACGCATGCGCAGATGCGTTTATTCACATTTTCCAGCCCCCGCGGCCATTTTGAATCACTCCATGAAAGCCCAATTTTTGGCCCATTAGTTAGAACGGTGGAGATAGGCGTGGCTACGTCCGTTAATATATACAGTCTATTGTCCCAACTTCAGTCAAGAATCAGTGACACTCATAGAACACTGTTTAAAAGACATTTTGTGTATCAACATTTCATTTGAATGCGTTGTTCCCTTTATTTACCTTTGTAACATATTTTTATCTTATTTATTTCTATTTTGGATTGTATTGAGGTCTTAAGTGCTTAAATAGTTTCAAGGTGTCTTTTTGTTGTCTGTTTCAAAAAAACAAAAACAAAAAACAATTTTAACAAAACCTAAAAGGTCAGAAAATGGAACTCTAAAAATATAAATACTACTCCATTTTCAGTTTAAATATGTTGAATTCTGCATGATCATTTATCAAACCGTCAAGTTTTTATTATGAATCTAAACTGAGTCATTTCAATAGAATGACTTGTTTTCATTCTTGATTATACCAAAGAAGCCTTGTATAAAACCTTGCTGTCATTATCTAAAAGAAAGGCTTTTGGCTGACGATTATGCTTTGCTGCAAAAAACATACAATTACTTAGAAAGTCCCAGCGCACAATAGAATGGTTTTGTCCGAGCAAATCTCATGCTGTAATCAAATCACTCCACTGCGCGTCCATCCAGGCCCATATACGTACACTCCCCTGTCCCATTAGAGAATTGGCCCCATTCATCTGACCCGGCTGTTACGTAACCATTCAGGATAAGACACGAGCCAAGACTTGGACGCGGAGGTTACGGAAGGGAGAGTTACCGTGGAGCTGGGCGTGTTGGTGCCATAACCGGACGAGGGCAGAGACGCCAGGGACCACCTCCGGCCGTCGGCTCTGTGGACGGGACACGTTACATCACTGCATGAATACAGCATGAATACAGCCCATAAAACACATCATAAAGGAGAGAGGGAGTGTGAAGAGATCTACGTCTGCACTACACAAAGTACAGCTACAACATGAACAGAGCAGAGGAGGCAAAAGTACTCGCCATACAGTAATGGTCATACAAATGATTACTGGGAAGGGTCAGGGGTCGCATTTGGCCTCCAGCCCTCAGCTTAGCCAGGGAGTAGAAAGTACCAAAATTTGGGTTTATACGTAAGGAGTAAAAGTAAAAAGTGTCAAAAAAAGTGCTGATACCAGGACTTGGAACTTTTGCGGAATACAAAAATATGTAGTTACTTGGCCCAATCTGTAAGCATCACTCTTATTGATCAGAATAAGTAAGTAATGAAGCAAGCAAAACCAAACAAACAAGATACAGAGGTTTAATGTGAATAATTACTCAGCACAATATATAAACTATGAACGACTTTAGATCCATAAATCAGTCACCATTTGTGTAAAAAGATGTTAAATACGTGTTATGTCAGCAGTCCATACCTTCTGGACGAGGTGAAGGAGAAGTGAGCCGGGTTATTGGGAGAGAAGTTTCGTGGACTGTCCAGTGGGCTGCTCCCTGTAGCAGAGAGACAGACTGTATGTGAGCAAGACGAGCGAAACAACACATGTATCTGGAGTTGTTAGAGCGTGCAGAGTTAAAAAGGGACAGAAATCATCACCACATTATTGGAAACATTGGGCCTCATTCACGAACGGTTCTTAGGAACAGATTTGTACGTAAATCCTACTTACGAGGTTTTTACGAAGAAAGTGGCATTCACGAATTTTTCTCGTAACCAGAATTTCTCTTGGGCAAGTACAAATCCTACGAGTCCTCAGGAGCACTCGTACGCATTCAGTGCCGACATGTTCACACGCCGGGGTTGTCCTCTTTGGTGAAGTTTAATAAAAATACAACATTCCAGTGATATTTCCGTCATATCGATGTATGTATTTATTTATTTGTAGTAATCTTTATTAGTAATCTTTATTTATATACCGCTTTTTTCACTGCAGATCTGGCCTACTTTTTAATTCATTTTGAAATGAAATGTGCCAACGCTTTATCAAATACATTGGAAATCTTGCCGTGTATTAGTGACCCCTTCCTATTTATAGGGGGCATTTCTTTATCCACGGGCCACAGAACAACGGCATATATACTGCTGCTGCAGGAGGTTACTGGGTCCGCGCTGAGTCTCTGCGCTGGTCTATACGGGTCTGCACTGGTCTCTCCCATGGATCTATACGGGTCTGCACTGGTCTCTCCCATGGATCTAGACGGGTCTGCACTGGTCTCTCCCATGGATCTAGACGGGTCTGCACTGGTCTCTCCCATGGATCTAGACGGGTCTGCACTGGTCTCTCCCATGGATCTAGACGGGTCTGCACTGGTCTCTCCCATGGATCTAGACGGGTCTGCACTGGTCTCTCCCATGGCTCTAGACGGGTCTGCAGTGGTCTCTCCATACGGGTCCGTGCTGCATGCTCCTGGATCCATACGGGTCCGCGCTGGTCTCTCAAGTCTGGTCTATGCGGTCTCTCTTCGGTCCGCGCTGGTCTCTGCGCACCGGTCTCTCCAGTCAGGTCATTACAGTCTATGCGGTCTCTCCTATAGGTCCGCGCTGGTTTCTGTGTGCTGGTCACTCCAGTCTCTCCTCGGGTCTGCATTGGTCTCAGCGCTGGTCCGCGCTGGATCTCCTCCCAGGGTCCAAAATATTTTGAGATTAATCTCAAAACATTTTGAGATTCATCTTTAAAATAATACAAAATATATTTTTAAATTAAACTCATAACATTTTGAGATTAATCTCATCATATTCCTAGATTAATCTCATAATTTGGCTAGTTCGACTTTTTTCTCATAATATTTCGACTTTTAAGTCAACATTTTATAACTTTATTCTCAGTCTGGCAAAAGAAGAAAAAAGGGTGACTCTTTTGCTCCGTGTAACTCTTTGCTTTAGGCCTGTTGCTGTTTCCTCTGCCGTCTGCACACGGCCCTGCAGTCCCTTTTATGGGCATTAATGGGCGGTTACTTATGCTAAGTACCTATGCTAATGAAGCACCTGGCACGCGCGCTCTACTTACGAGGAAATGGGATTCATCAATCTAAGAGAACAGCTGCGAACAATTCAGCGGCTTACGAGTGCGTTGATGAATCCCACGTAGGGACTTCTTAGAAATCTACTTAAGGACAACTTGAGAAGAAATTTGAGAAGTTTCTTACGAAGTTATTCGTGAATGAGGCGCATTGCCGTTAAGGAAATGATTTTAAAAAATGGCAGAGTTGTTGGTGAATAGTGGTGGAAGAAGCAGTAGTTTCCGTACCTAGGTGTCCAGGCAGAGGCAGGGGCGAGTGAGGCCGAGGCAGGGTGGGAGACGTGGTGGTCAGGATCAAACTCTTCCTGTTACTGGCACGACAGCTGGGGAAGAAGAAAATCACGTTAACATTTTATACGGCACTAAACGCACATAACACAGAGGAAAGGGCATGTTTGTAGAATGATCATTTCTTTCTGTATGGTGACATAAAGCAGTAGGCCGATCTGCACCTGTGAAACTAGATGTAACTCGTATCTTTTGGCTAGAACTCAAACTTAACTGAAAGAGTAGATGCAACACAATATAAGCACAATTGTATTATGCGTAACAGCTCAAAGGAAATCAGTCATGCAAATACTGCAAATACTGGTTCCACTGCTGAAGAAAAGGAGAACACAATTTCCTCAGTCATCCATCCTCGTCTAGATAAGAGCAAGGAAGGAGGCGAAGCCAAGAAGCATCAGAATCTGCAGCTTTTGATTAATGAGTATCCGTCTCACAGTCAAGAAACCACTCCATTTGTTTATATCACAAAAGCACTGCTATTTCACACAGACGCTGTGAGAAATATAGACTACTAATAAATGTCATTATAACAATGATCACACACAGAAGAAAGATTTGTTCTTTCCTGATGGACAGTCACTCTGCACAGAAAGCACAGGGACATCCTGACAGACAGAAAGCACAGGGACATCCTGACAGACAGAAAGCACAGGGACATCCTGACAGACAGAAAGCACAGGGACTTCCACACTGTCATAGCATCACACTCCTAATCATAACTGGACAAACTGACCCTTCAGACAGAAGATTCAGGAACACATACACGTGTTCAGATAAACAGGGTATTCTTTGTAAACTGACGGTATTCAGGTCTGTAACTTCATATTAATGTCAGATATGGACTGGTTCATTCAGCAGTGCACATACTGTAGAAGACAGAGGCGGAATGACTCAGGGGGAAAGTCTCCTCACTCTGACGGACTCTGCCTCCAGCCTCTAGTATCAGTGCTCGCTCAAATGGTATTAACAGACTCAACCTTCAGATCCGCCACTCTCAAGGTCATAGACTGAATTACATTAAACAACATGAATAAAGACACTTGTAGTACTGTTATATTTCTATTATCGGTGTGATCCTCCCTCTAATAATAGTATTACTAAAGGAGGTACATTTACAAGGTTAGTTTTGAAGAATAATCATAAGAATTTTTTTGAAGGAAAGTTATTCGGCTAAGACCCCAATACCAACTTTAGCCTGAAGCTGTTGTTAATGATTTTTGTTTTATACAGTAGATGCTGTGTGTTTCTAAAATAACTGTGAGCACTCCATCCATCTGTCTGTTTTCATTATCCGCACATAGGAAGTACAATCAATGGCATCTATAAACGCCCTATAGATATTGATGTGAAGAGCCAGGAGTCTGCATTCAGCCCAACACACATTTAACACTCTGTCAATCCCACTCTGCTGTTCTTTTGTTCAGGAAAAGATCCGCACTCAGTCATTGCAACGGCCCGCTGCACTGAGAAAGGAAAATGGAAAGATTCAGTATTCTACACAGATTTGGTTTGGTACAATGAAAAGCTGATGGTCCTGGTTCAGGCCGCATCACATGGGACTGGTATTTGCTTTTACACAATAAACTTTAATTAAGTTGCCTTCTTTTTCAACAGTGCTCGTGTGCTAACCCCGCTCCCCTTTAGAGCACACAGAATAAAACCAAGACAAACAGAAATTTTGTGGGTTAATGGATTCTCACCGCTGTGGAAAATCAATGCCGTAAACATCACAACACTGAGCACAGAGCAGGCTGCTACTTTATCTTTATGTAAACATGTAGACACAAGCAAAGCCTGTTTCAGGACACAATACCTGTGGCAATATGTTTGCTCACGGGTCAAACCAAAGAGATAAGACTTCGACAACTATCCTGCCTTGAGGAAGAAGCAGCGAGAAACCTGTTGTTAAGTAATAGTCATTTTGTTTTATACAATTCTGACAAGACAGAGCCAACCAATAACATAGATGCTCTGAAATCTGCATGGAAGCAACAACTCTCAGCTACGTGCCAATGTGTGTTATAACATTGACCTTTTATGTGAGCGTGTGCACTATAGAGACAGAGAAATGCATCATGCAGTATTATTATTGATTTAAACCTAAAGCTGTATGCAAGAGGTGATCTACAGCGGATAGACCGGGGTCTGAAGGGCTGCATTAAAGACAGACAGACAGAATTACCCTTATGTACGAGGCCCATGTTTGAAGCATTAGATATTTCCTCAAGCTCTGCCCATCCATCACGGGCCACGGTATCACAATCTGGTCATGCTCAATGCTCCTTCATTTATCAAATTAAACTGAGAGTCATTCAACTTTATGCACAAGCCAGTACTTTTACACAGCATGTATTGATTTCTGAAGGCCCGTTGTCATCTTCTTCAATATGTCTGAGCCACTTTAACTCTGCCAAACAACTTGAGCAAGTTTTTTTTCGGCCATAGAATGAAAATAGATACACAATATTCTGCCACTTTGCTCCATTGAATCTCACTTGTGACTAAACAAACAACACCAACAGCCCAAAAGATTTTTAAATAGGTTTTCCAACTGTGTCACATTTTACAGATCAAGGGTATTAAGTATAACTGAATAAATGTGGACTATATTCTGTTGCACACACAGTACCTCTTTGCTAGATTGGACATGACTTGCTTGTACTACCAAAGAGAAAACACATTGTAGATTTACAGGGATAATAAAATGTGTTTGTGTCTTTGAGCCTGGGGAGTAAAAGGTGCGTGTGCTCTGGAGGTCTGATGACATGCTGTTGCTAAGGAGATGGTAGTGAGAGGCTTGGGTAATAGCTCTAAGGGACCACCCCTACCTCCACACTCCCAGACGACCGCCTCGAAACAGGAAAGATGCACGGTCACAGAGACGCGGAGCGAAGGGGAACGAGGCTGATGGTTATTGACATCGTTTGACTGGGATAGTACAAGTTATCAGGAGCGGAGGGCATGTCATTTATCCGAAAAAACTATAATTATTTTTAAACGTAGGCTCAAGACACACCTTTTTAGATTAGCTTTTGATTAGTATTTATTGTGTTTTAGAAAAGAAAAGAAGCTCCCCCCTGGACTGCCACCTTAACGTGGTGGGGGAGTTTGAGTACTCAGATGATCCTGGGAGCTATGCTGTCTGGGGCTTCATGCCCCTGGTAGGGCCTCCCATGGCAGACAGGTCTCAGGTGACGAGTCAGACAAAGAGCAGTCCAGAAGACACCATGGACAGCACTAACACGAAAACAGTGACGTCGCCCGGCATGGCGCAGCCGGGGCCCCACCCTGGAGCCAGGCCTGGGGTCGGGGCCCGTATGCGAGCGCCTGGTGGCCGGGCCTTAGCCCACGGGGCCCGGCCGGGCTCAGCCCGAAGGGATGACGTGGGCAGTCCCTCCTGTGGGCCCACCACCTGCAGAGGGGTCCGTGGTGAAGCGGTGCAGAGAGGACTGGGCGGCAGTCGAAGGCGGAGACCTCGGCGACCCAGTCCGCACACACAACATCTGGCTCTTGGGACGTGGAACGTCACCTCACTGGGGGGGAAGGAGCCCGAGCTCGTGGGGGAGGTTGAGCGATACCGACTAGAGATAGTCGGCCTCACCTCCACACACAGCTTGGGCTCTGGAACCCAACTCCTTGAGAGGGGTTGGACGCTCCACTTTTCTGGAGTTTCCCGCGGGGAGAGGCGGCGAGCTGGGGTGGCCATTCTCATTGCCCCCCATCTCAGCCGCCACGTGTTGGAGTTCTCCCCGGTGAATGAGAGGGTCGCGTCCCTCCGCCTCCGGGTGGGGGACAAGTCTCTCATTGTTGTGACGGCCTACGGGCCTAACAGCAGTGCAGAGTACCCGGCCTTCTTGGAGTCCTTGGGAGGGGTACTGGACGGTTGCACCGCCCGGGGACTCCGTTATTCTCCTGGGGGACTTCAACGCCCATGTGGGAAACGCCAGTGACACTTGGAGAGGGGTGATCGGGAAGAGCGGCCCCCCTGATCTGAACCCGAGCGGTGCTCAGTTGTTGGACTTCTGTGCCAGTCACGGTTTGTCCATCACGAACACCATGTTTCGAGCACAAGGGTGTCCACCAGTGCACGTGGCACCAGGACACCCTAGGCCGGAGGTCGATGATCGACTTTGTTGTCGTATCATCTGACCTTCGACCGCGTGTCTCGGACACTCGGGTAAAGAGAGGGGCGGAGCTGTCAACCGATCATCACCTGGTCGTGAGTTGGATCCGCTGGCAGGGGAAGAAGCCGGTCAGACCTGGCAGACCCAAGCGTATAGTGAGGGTCTGCTGGGAACGTCTCGCTGAGCCCCCTGTCAGACGGACTTTCAACTCACACCTCCGGGAGAGTTTCTCCCAGGTCCCGGCGGAGGAGGGGGACATGGAGTCCGAGTGGACCATGTTCTCTGCCTCAATCGCCGATGCGGCGGCTCGTAGCTGTGGTCGCAAGGTCTCTGGTGCTGGTCCCGGCGGCAACCCCCGAACCCGGTGGTGGACACCGGCAGTAAGGGATGCTGTCAGGCTGAAGAAGGAGTCCTATCGAGCCATGATGGTTCGGGGGACTCCTGAGGCAGCTGTCCAGTACCGGCAGGCCAAGCGTGCCGCGGCCCGGGCTGTTGCAGAGGCAAAAACCCGGGACTGGGAGGAGTTCGGAGAGTCCATGGAGCATGACTATCGGTCGGCCTCGAAGAGATTCTGGCAAACCATCCGGCGCCTCAGGAGGGGGAAGCAGTTCTTTGCCAACACCATGTACGGTGCGGGTGGAGAGCTGCTGACCTCGACTGGGGATATTGTCGGGCGGTGGAAGGAATACTTTGAGGTTCTCCTCAATCCCCCCGTCACGTCCTCTGTTACAGAGGCAGAGGCTGAGGATGTTGGGGCGGGTACATCCATCTCCCTGGCTGAGGTCACCAAGGTGGTTGGTAGCCTCCATGGTGGCAAGGCTCCGGGTGTGGATGAGATCCGCCCTGATTATCTAAAGTCTCTGGATGTTGTAGGACTGTCTTGGCTGACACGTCTCTGCAACATCGCGTGG